AGAGTAAATCTTCAAACAACATCAATTTAAACATATTCAATCTCTTCTATCCTTCGCGAGGTGTCATTGTGTATTTCGAGAGCCTGTGAGGCCTGATCAACTGAACCCACTTTCCCGCTGCAATGGCGCAAAATCAGGCCGGTTCTAAGAAGAGACGCCGCGAGCCAGTCAACGTTGATACCAAGCTGGTGGAAATATATGAAGATCTCGCGAGCGAGAAAGATGAGATCAGACTGAAAGCTGCGCAAGCGCTGGTATCGCAATTTACGCCCGACAAGAATGCCACAGATGAACAAATCCAAAAGACCCTGCGGAGACTCTTCCGTGGCCTCTGCAGTAGCAGAAAAGCTGCGCGCATTGGTTTTTCTATTGCCTTGACCGAGATTCTGTCTCAAGTTCTTTCTAACCCTAGAGAGTCTTCAGAGATTGATATCCCGAAAGTAGTAGGGTTCTGGGAGTCACAGTCTAGCGCTTCCGGAAGTGAGTCAGGTCAGGTATGTATAAACGATAATCCTATTCGTGTCCCGTTGCTAATTGAGATATAAAGGAGCAAAGAGATCATCATTTTGGACGTCTATTCGGTGCAGAGGCCATTATCAAATCTGGCATTCTTTTCAAGCCTAACGCGCCTTTCTCTGAGTGGACAAAACTCCTTGATCTGGTCTTTGAATTGGCCAAGAAGAAGCCATGGATCAGGGAAGAATGCGGCTGGATCGTTTATCGCTGTGTCTACGAATTATCTGCTCAGAAAGCCGACGCAAAGTTTGTGGATTCCACCCTTGAGCGTCTTTGCACAAATGATCTGGCACGGACGCCAGAGGGAGTTGCTATTTGGCTAGCAGTAAAGGACTTATTCCCTAAAGTGAAACTTCCTAGTAAGGTATGGAAACATGAAGACCCACTGGACACCAAGGAAAGGAATCAGCTGGCAAAGGTCATGAAGGAATCCTCTGTGTCCGAGGCCGAAGGTGAAAATAAGGGTAGCAACCCCAAGTCATCGGGCGTGTGGAATTCAAAGCTTCATTTTGCTTGGGATGCTGTGTTGTCCAGGCTCAGCCAAACAGCAGCAAAGGAGAGCAAGTCGAAGTCCTCTCGGCTTAGCTTCGTGGATTTCTGGACAGAGGTTGTCGACAGTAGGTTTTCCTGTTGCTCTAACAAAGATATTGGCTCTAACTAGTCTTAAACAGATGGTCTCTTTGCCGCTTCTTCCTCGGACGAGCGTAAATACTGGGGATTCCTACTTTTCGTCAAGGTGCTGAATGAGAGCCCCTTGCCACTGGCTTCGCTTGTGTTCACAAAGAACCTTGTGAGGTGCCTGACGAATCAGCTCGCTGTTGAGGACCGGTACCTTCACCGTATGGCGGCTAAGGCTGCAAAGACTATCCAGACCCGTGTGTCAAAGGAACCCGAGTTTGCTGCAGCTTCGATCAATGGTTTGATGGGCTCGGCGGGCTCAGTGAACTTCGACCAAGTCACCAAGACCAAGACGGTGGAGAAGATCGTAGTTGAGGCCAACCTAGATGCACTCAAGCAGATTGTACCCCTCTTCGAAAAGCTCGTCGCATGCCCGGGTACAAGTGACAGCAAAGCTGCTGCCTCGAGCCGCCAGTTCCTTGCTGGCTTGCTTCTGTCCATTGTTAGGTCTCGGGCTTCCGCCAGCGATGAGTCAGAAGAGGGTGCCAAGGAAGTGCTCAAACACATTCTGTTCACTTTCGTGCGATTTGCCTACTTTGTGGAGAAGGACGGTGAAAGCCGTGATCAGGCCTCTGCTGAGCCAGCCCTCACCCAGCAGACTCAGGAGCTCTTCCGGAGCAGGATCAACTCCTGTCTGAACAGTCTGATCGCCAACCAGAAGTATGCAACTGATCTCCCTTACGCAGTTGTCCGCAAGATTCGGGATGCAGCCAAATCGGAGGAGTATGGCAAGTTTATCATCGCTATGGATGATACTCTGCAAGACTCAGTGAAGGGTGCATTCAAATCGTTGAAGAAATTGTCAAGCACGGTACGTCAACCCGAAACCCGCTTTTTACCCTATTTGGAAACCCAGTCTAACAATATACAGGAGAAGAAGGGTGATGCCGCGGGCGTTGATGCGTTCAAGCTACTTTACTCTATGACCATCCTTCAGGTGTACAACGGTGATGCTGATGCTGTTTCCATGCTGGATGAACTTGACTTCTGCTACTCAAAGATTTTTGGAGACAAGAAGTCTAAGAAGGAAGAGACCGCAGATGCTTCCGATGCGCTTGTGGAAATTCTTTTGAGTTTCGCTTCGAAGCCTTCCCAGCTCTTCCGCCGTATGAGTGAACAAGTCTTCGGTGCTTTTGCCGATAAGATTTCTGAGAATGGACTGGATTCTCTGGTCTCCGTATGTGCTTTGTTCCTTTCCATTCTGATGTTCACCAAAACTAACTACATATCTCTAGATTTTGGAAGCGAAGGAGAGTCTTGCGGGCCAGCAAGAGATGTTCGAACAGGACGATGAAGGTGAAGAAGACGAGGAAATGATGGATGTTGATGAAGACGACAGTGACGTCGAAGTCGTGGACGCAGAGGGCTCAGATGATGACGACGACGAAGACGAGGAGGAGGAAGGGTCCGAGGAGGAAGAAGATGGCAATGATGACGAGGAAGCTATCTTCGAGGCGAAGCTTGCTGAAGCACTCGGGCCGCACCGTGCAAATCAAGACCTGAACGATGACGAGGAAGGCTCAGACGCCGACATGAACGACGACGAGATGGAACAGGTAGACCAGCAGCTCGCTAAGGTGTTCCAGGCACGCCGGGATGCCCTGAGTAAGAACAAAGACAAAAAAGACGCCAAGGGGAACATGGTTAACTTCAAGAACCGTGTGCTTGACCTCCTTGAAATCTACGTCAAGAAGTGCCACTCGAAACTTTTGGCTCTCGATCTCCTTCTCCCCCTTCTGCGTCTTACTCGCAAGTCTACAGTCAAACAGATCTCGAACAAGGCCAACTCCGTGCTTCGCGATTACACGAGACTATGCAAGGGCTCTGCTCTGCCCAAGCTAGAGTCCGTTGAGCCTGCCTGGGAGCTCCTGAACTCGATCCACAAGGAGGCCAGCCACAGCGGCCCGCCCTCGCATGCTTCGGCTTGCAGCCAGGCAAGTCTTCTTATGGTTAAGGTTCTCATCGCACACGACAAGAACAACATCTCGGGCATCGTGGATGTCTACGCCGAGACCCGAAAGCAGCAGTTCCTCAGCAAGAAATGCCATGTCCAGCCTGTGTTCTTCAGCGAGTGGAGCAACTGGTGTGTTTCCGCCAGCAAGCAGATGAAGAACTGAGTTTTGCTTCCTTGTCTACCAGACTAGAACATAGATTCCTTTAATGAAAGCAGCAACATTTATGATATTGTAGCATATTCCAGCATATCCAGAATTCAGAATCAAAGGTATCTCAAATATAGAATCGACTACACAGAAATTAAGCGAAAAAGCCATCTTTCGCTCATTACATTAGCCATCAACCCCCACACATACACACACACAAAACAATCAAAACCCCTGAATATACCGATGCTCGCTCGTAACCTCAAGCACATCAAACCTCATCCCGACCTCCAAAGTGCCCTCCTTCCTGGGCGCACAAAGCATCCCAAAACAAGGCTTATACTTCATGCCCTCATCCACCCTCCGATAACTCATAAGCGTATCCCACGGCTGCTTTTTATGCTTCTCCGCCGTATCAGGATCAACATTCGGTACCTGACACCTAGCACACCTCGCTAGCACATCAAACTCCAGCACCTTCCCTTTCCCATCGACAACCCTAACAACCTTCCACTCATCCTCCACCCAAGGCTCACCCCCCTTAATAATAACATTAGCCCGAAACCGCTCCACCCCAATTGGCTCGACGCCCTTCTCCACAAGTCGAGAATTCAGCTCCGCCATCGACGCCTCCGAGGCAACAAGCACAGGATGCACATCGGGGAAATTCACACTCTGCTCACGACCTAGAAGCTCGGGGTCCCCGTTGCCACGCATAACCCTCGGCGTAGGACCCTTATACACGAGACAGACATCACGGCCCAGGAACTCACTAAACGGGCCATTAACCCCAGGCCCGTAGATGTAGGCGTCCGTCTCAATGTCCCAGATCTTGACCTGGCCCAGGGTCGTGTGGGTATCTAGCCACTGTGTGTCTGGGCGGAGGGGGATGCGGACCTCCTTATCAGCAACAACCCCTGTGAATGTGACCACTAGGCACTGGTTGTCGGCGCTGAGAGCGGTGTTGATGAGCGTCATCTGCGGGATTTGACGGATGGTCAGGAAGTCGTGGGTTTTGGCGTCGATGAGCATCCACCGGCGGTCGAACTCGAGGCCTTCCATGTGTAGGGCTGTCTTTTCTAGACTGAGGCCGCGGCATGATTTGATGGGGTAGATTCTCAGAGAGGTGATTTCGCTGCTGGGGTGCTTCCTTTTGTGTGTGTTGGGGAGGAGGAGTTTGTATGTGGTGGTTTTGAGCCAGGTTGGGATTTGGGGGTATAAGATGGGGATGGTTAGGAGAGCTAGGATGGTGGTGGCTACTGTGAGGGTTTTGGGGGTGTCTAGGTCTGGCATCTCTTCTTTGTCTTTTTTGTTTGCTTTTAAGGTTGTTTTTTATATGGGGTTTAAGTTTGGGATGCTGTAGATAGATTACGCTCGCAGTCTTTTTATTATAGCGTTGCAAAAATGACCGAGTTAGTTATGGAGACGGATGAGTAAGCTTGGGATCCACCTTCCGGTGGATTTGGCTTAGGGCTGATGGCTGTTGTCCTTCATACTTGATCCCTGTTATATGGCATGTTTCCAATGTGGTTCGGGATGTAGTCGGTGTTTGTATCAGATGATGTGTCTCGGGATTTGATAGGTGTCGTCGGAAGGCGTTCGATCCTTTTCCCCGGCGGGAGAAATCTACAAATATATATGAATACGGTAGAACTGAGTATCATGCTTGATAGCTTTTTGTATTCATCAATAGTAGCCAGAGGGTAAATAGTGTATCCAAATCCCAATAAACATGTATGACTCTACCCAGACAGACCGGGGGCAGTAGTACCCTATAAACAAATGATCACTCGAGGAATCGAGTGACTGCAACTAAAAGTGCATCCGGAACCTAGATAGTGCACCGCGCCCTAGAAATGCAAGTATATATATTGTCCAGTGCACATGATTTCGCTTTGTATAAAGATACTAGCAATCAGCATGCCGCTCTATGCCTGCCCGCTAACCCAGCATGTTACAAGAGCTTTGATCAGTCCAGCCGCAATATCCGTGCCTTTCTCGATATCCTCGTCGGCGCAAGATCCAGGCACATGGAAGAACACGACGTTCTGGTGCTGACCTTGTTGAAATGCCTGTGCCAGGCTTGTATAAAAGATGAACTCGCAGAGGTAGCGTCCAGCGTCCTCTGATATCCGGACGTCCGCTTCGGGAGATACGAATGACTTCCACGTGCTGAGAAAGTCGTCATTGGGTGGTTGGGGATGGAGGTTTTTCTGTACTACGTCCGTGGAATCCGATGCAGGACCAGCTTGGAGGACTGGCGGGAGCTGGTGCTCCCTCCATACCTTCTCTCCATCTTCATAGCCGATTCTGCCTTTGATATCAGACAAATGGTAAGAATCTCGATGTGCCTTGGTCTCAATCGAGTAGTAAGATCTTGTGGCCGCTATTCCCATATGAACCACGATATCTGGTCGTCGACCTCCATGGGACTTGGTGTAATCCTCTAGGATGGCTGGAATGGTTGTTCGCACTGTTGAGTAGGCGACGGGAATGGGAGATGGATGCACATGAATTGAGATCCGACGAGAAGCAGTCCCAGATCCAGACGGCTTCGCCGAAGCAAGGTCAAGCGACTGTGGCAGAGACGAGGCAATCAAATACGAGGCATTGACTATGTTGGTTTTGAATGGCTGGTACGTTGTTAGCATGAAGGCCGAATCGGAAGCCAAGACGGTCGAAGGACTCTAAGCCAAGCATAGAACAGATTAACTTACACCAAACCCTGTTACCAGTACTGAGACTTCATCTGGATCTATCAAAGATGGCGGAGTAGGACCGGTTACCTCCGTCTCGGGTACCGGCACGGGTGGGCCAAAGTCTCCCATGGCTGATGGATAGATTAAGGTAAGCTAGGGAATATGTGGTGGGAGCAACTCCTCTATAATTATATACACGGTAATGATTTAAGCCACAAAAAGAAAATCGAGATGAGGGATTAAAAGATATTTCAAAAGATATCGAAGGAAGCTTTCCCCGCATTACAACCACCGCATGCGGGTCTTGGCATCACGCGATATCGATATCGATAAGGTGATAAGGCACATGACTTCCCTACCTTCATCTTGACCACCAAACAAAGATTCTCGACAATTGTGCAATTGATTTGATCCTGTGTTATTACCCTGGGATGATATGAGGTGCTCTCGTGTCGCATGTCTTCGGGCCACCACCGATTCTGCTCTTCGCTTCCAAGTCCTGACCGACCATTCTCCCTTGCTTCAGCTGGGTCAAACCGCAGACTGTGCTTGTTCACGGGGCTTTTTAGAAAGTTCAATAGTGAGAGGGACTTGTACTCGATAGTTGAGAATCACCACTCGCTTGGTTAATACCGCTGGTCTTCCACCCAATTACCTTGCGATCAGGGATCCAGGAAGTAGAGTTAGGCAGGGATCCATCTAAGCGAACAAATCAGGGGGTTTCGGTATGTCATTTCAGAACTGACATACGACCCACTTCTTCCATCCCGAACATCTAAATATTAGATAGTAGATACAACTACTCACGGTGGCTCCTCCCGTCGAAGTACAACAATATGGGGCCAGTGTTGAACAGTTCCCTCTTTGAGTTTGAGCATAAATGAGCATTGAATTATACCGACAACGTCTGAAACCATACGACTAATCCTCCGAGAAGCTCGCGCAGCCGATGTGGCGCACTCAAGGAAGACAAACCTGAAGGCAACGACATGCCTATTTAGGAAGTTTGATTGCCTATCATCACTCTCCGCCCTGGAAGCCACCCCTTATGAACCAAACAAAGAACCAATTCTTTGCAGGGGTGGCCAGTCTGTCAAAGTGGTTGATTGACGGTCTCGGTCCACCATTGGGGCCCTGCTGAGCCACTGTGATTCATTGTTCACCGTAGTCGAGGTTTCCTCGTCGTATTCAGCGTATCGAACATATCCCCACTTCGGGTGTCACAGATTCCGTGCAGAGGGGGCCATAGAACCAGTCAATTGGAGGGCAGTTGTGCACTTAGCGTGGGTATATAAGGCCACACAGCAAAAGCAGCACAACAGGGGCACATTCTCTGAGTGATTGGCACGGGAGACTATTACAAGATGCCTGTACTTGCTGACTTTCTAGAAAGCCACTACCTCTTCCAAGGTATTGCAGTGGTGTTGACTCTGATATTTGTCTCAAACTTTTACAGAGAACTCGTAGATGGCTTGCCATACCGTGAAATTCCCCTCGTGGGGAGAAGTAGATGGGAGATCTCGAACACAAAAGCCAAAAAGTTCTTCGTCACCTCTGCAAAGGATTTGATGGTGCAAGGATTTAGTCAGGTATGGGATGTGCCTTGTCCTCTCCTAGAATGCAGAAAGACTAGAAGAGATTTGAGACACTGACACTTGAGTTTAGGGTAGAACCGTCTTTCAGGCCATGTTTACTTCTGGTCCTACCATAGTTCTGCACCCTCGTTATGTGGATGAGATGAAAAACCATCCGCATTTAGACTTCAGGGAGGCAGTTAGAAAGGTAACCACCTATATCGATCGGCAAAGGCGAGTACTGACAATCTCAGGCCTTCTTTGGTGCAACCATACCGGGGTTCGAGCCCTTCAGCGGCCAAACGAGGGAAGATATTGGTATAGAAGTCATCAATAAGAAACTGACGCATACGCTCGGTAAGGATTTGTTGCTAGCCAAGGAGTTTCATTGTTTTCTAATGATTTTGTCTTGTCTGTAGGCCAGTTGACTATACCCTTGTCAAAGGAAACCGCTGCTGTGTTGATGGACAAGCTACCGGGATCTGACGGTATGTGGTATGGCACAAAGTTTACAAAGACACTCACTGATGGCAACTGCTGAACGCTAGAATGGATGCCCTTCACTTTCGCACAGGAAATACCGCATATGGTGGCTCGGTTGTCATCGCTGGTGTTTTTGGGAGAGAAGATATGTCGGAATGAAACATGGCTAAATGTATCAGTCAATTACACCATCGACGCGTTCAACGCGGCTCGTGAACTCAGAGACTGGCCGGCAATTGCTCGGCCATTCATACACTGGTTTATGCCATCGATGAAAAAGCTTCGGCACCACAGAAAAGTGGCGGCTGAGATTGTTCAACAAGAGATCATTAAGAGAGACATGATCCGGGAGGGTAAACTGCCAGAGGAGAACCCTCCTAGAGCGCATGCAGATGCCCTAGATTGGTTTCGAGAGGTTGCGGCAGGCCGCCCCTACGACGAAACAGTATCGCAAATCGGTCTTTCTGTGGCGGCAATTCACACGACATCGAATATGCTGACAAATGTGATGTATGATTTGACGGCCCATCCGCAATACATCCAACCATTGAGAGATGAGATCAAGGCCGTCGTGGAACAAGACGGCATCCTGAAAAAGAGTAGTCTTACCAAGATGAAGTTGATGGACAGTGTCATGAAAGAGAGTCAACGCACAAACCCTGTGTCTATTGGTAAGTGGCATAACAGCAGTCTGTTCGGTTGAACCGCTCGTAGCTGCTGACGGGTTCCCCTTCAAATAGCCTTTTTCAATCGCATTGCAACGGAGGCGGTCGTGCTCTCCGACGGTACCTATATTCCCAAAGGTGCCAATGTAGTTGTTTCAGCCCATGTTATGGAAGATGAGTCGATTTATCCCAATGCCAAGGTATATGACGGCTTTCGTTTTTACAACAAACGCCAGGAGCCTGGCAACGAGCATCGATATCAGTTCGTCACGACCAGTCCGGAGCACCTCGGTTTCGGTCACGGCATGCATGCATGCCCTGGCCGCTTCTTCGCCAATAACGAGATTAAAATTCTCCTTGTCCACCTGCTGATGAAATACGACTGGAAATTTGCCGACCACGTTGACCGGCCCAAGTCGATCGTGCACGGAACTGAGATTATATGCGACCCAACGGTGAAACTACTTTATAAGTCACGCCAGCCAGAGGTTGACTTGTCGGCGTTTGGAGAGGGAGCAACTGACTAGTTAATTTCTCCTTTAATTTGCATGTCTTTCTTTGAAGTGGCATGGATATCTTTCGCCTTTCCTTAATCGCCGTTTCTTCCCATCGACGGCTAACTGCTGTGCTGCTGGACTGTACAGAAACAATGGAAATAGGACCTTGTTTATAACGGCAAGTAAGGAGTGACCAAGTTTTGCCTCCATCTGCCAATTGTATGCATGTCCTGGACGCCTTAGGGCAAGGCCTCTAACTGTTGGGCAACAAAGCACGTAAGGAGCTTTGACACCGAGCACGAGACTAAACGTCGCAACGATCTCATAGAACAGTAGTTGTTATTGTCGTTCATGAAAGACGCTTGTGGAGTTATTCGACCAACGTTAGTACCCATTATGATATCTTGCAGATGGTCTATATGTTTTACATCCCATGCACTACACACTGCTAAATTGGGAATCATTAGTCTCGCATATGCGATTCCAACATAGGGTAATTTATGATCCATGGGTAAATCACTGCAGCTGTGGCCATAGTTCTGATTGCAATTATCTAAAAACCTACTGGTGCATTTACATGAGAGGTAAGGAGCATGCAACATGTTGGGCTGGACACCATTGGCGGCGAGACCCAAAATACAGAGCAACACCGAAAAGGAAAGTAAACAGTACTAGGCTCTGCATTGTTTATATCGACGCGTAGTCCCGAGTTGATAACAGGTGTCATGGAACTATGGTAACATGCCGGGTTGATTCGAGCTAAATGGAAGCTATCTCTCGCCTATGGATACACTATGGAGCCGTACACCTCCATTTACTAAAATTAACACCCATTCCCGTCCCCCAACATTCACACGAGGCCACCGAGGCGTTGGGGGTTGATATTATTAGCATATTCCGGTGGACTTTTCACCTAGTTTCTGCATAGGATTTAAGCGATGGAAGTATGGACTCCATCCCCAGCCTCCTGAATTTCGGAGGTTCTTTTTTTGGAGATAGAAAGAGGAGAACCATTGTCTATATGGTCCATGCTTTTTTAGTCGATGGAGAAGTGGTTGATAGTGCCGATTCTGCTCAGGAACAGAAGCCTACTAAGGTTAGCCGCCTCAGGTAACCTCCCGCTAACGACTTAACCGCTTTGGGATGAAATTAGTTCATGTTACCCGTTGGTAAATCCCAGGGTACAAGTGGATCACGGGAGGATGCCAACTATACTTCATTGGACAGGTGCCTGAGGATATACAGTAATGTTACCAAACGCGCGAGCTACGCGCGAGTGACGCGTTGGCACGCGACACCCCACCTTCCACGCGTTTGGAGCCGTGGGCCTCGGAAATCGATGGGCGATAAGCGAAAAAGAAAGGAGAAAAAAGAGACCTAAGATCACTCCTCCCTAACTTATCGGCAAATGTCAATGCTTTCGCGCCGTCTTCTTTAGGGACAACGGCATCTACTGCCCTTGACCTTTATTTCAACCTCTTGCACTACAGGACATTTTTGGTACCCTTTGGTGAAGCTCGTGTTCCGAAGGGCGGATCCAAAATGTCTCAATCCGGCGGCGAGGCGGTTAGTCGCGTCTGTTCATCCTCCTAATGCCAGGTGTGGTAAGACTAATGCAAGCCCAGTCTCTGTTGGTTTGTTTGTGACGGTAGTGGAGTACGTTTCTGCATGAGACTGGAGTTCGAGATTTCCAAAACCACTTGGAATCTCTTATGACACTGGCACGAACCACTCACCGTGTCTCTCCGAGATTCCTGGCCCGAAAATTTCTCCCAGCCACCGACTTTGATCACACGGTTTTTCTGGATTTAAGTTTTTCTTTCTTTTTTTTTTTTTCTCCCCGGCTGCTCTTGGGAGAGAGCTCTTGTAGAAAACTTCTCCCAGGACTGGATGTAGATCAGTTGACGTTGTGTGAAAATTTGGATGTGATGATCTGATAACCATACGCACACGTCGGTCACATCAATAGGGTTCCATGACAGTGTGATTTTCCATGCATTCCCCCAATGGGAATGAGGTGTAATAAAAAGACTGAAAATTATTCCTGATCAGTGAACTGATTCGCCAGCAGTGGTGGTAGTGGACATCCCCCCCGTATGTACCTTCTACCACCTTACAGTTTGGGGGGAAATACCACGCAATTGGAGGTTCAGGGAGGGAGACAAAATAATAATTATTTTAATAAAAAAAAATAAAATTCAGGATCAAATCAAGAGCAGTGTAACTATACTAGACGTTCAAGTGGGCAATGGTATTTATTATGATCCAGATCGTGCAGCATATCTTGAGGTCATAACTGACTCCGGGTGATTTTTTCGATGGAATGGTTGGGCAACGCGGTGAGGCGGTCGAATATGACCCGCCAGTTACTACTAGGTGCTTCTGACTCTTACCACTAGTACTAGGGTACTGATGCTTGCTTGTTAACTTGTGAGTGGAGGGCGTCCCCGTTTTTAGAAACTGAGGAGATTCTTCTATGCAGCTTTCGAGATATTAAACTAAATGATGGTTTTTTCACTTTGATCTACTTTTTTCCTTGGGTCAACCTGCATTTGCCATCGAGGGGGAAAAGTAAAAATTAAAGAAAATAACAAAATCGAAGACGATGGCAAAAAAAAAAAAAAAAAAAAAAAAACTGTTGGGTCGGATGGCGGACTTGAGCAGTAACAATTTTCCGCATTCCACAAAACCAAGGCATCATTCGTTATTTATTTGGAAATTTCCCCATTCCGCGCATTGTGATTTGCTCGATGGCAAAGCTCTCTCTCTGCATAAATTTAATAACCAGAAGGTCCCTAGTTGAAGATATCTTGTTCACATTAATAACATACATCATCGGTATCTTGGATGGATACTGACCTGTGGACGTCACATCAATACTGTACACTGTACGCAGTACTTCGACGTTTCCAAATAATTAATTAACATCGACGCCAGCTAATTACCTCTGGAACTAAGGCTGTTAGTGCTTGACGTGGTTCCTTTTCCGATCCTGACTCGGGCTCCGTTGAGTGGAGACTCTTGCCAAAGCAAAGCCAAAGAGCACTCTTGCGCACCGCCAGTTTCTGCGTGCTGTCCCGGCGCCTTAGGCTTTGGGGGACCAACGGCCTTAGGCGTTCCCCCCTCTGCGTGATCCTCCCGTCCCGTCCTCGTTCCCCTTCCTGCCTCCCTTTCGTCTCCCGTTTTCTCCCTCACTTCCTCGTGCACAACCATTTGTTGCTTCTTCCTTTTTATTTTTCCTTGACTTATTTTTTTTTTGCCTACGAGCGCGTGGCTCGTAGATTCCGTCCCTTTCAATTTCCTTGTCGTTTCTTTTGTGTTGGTCTGGCGTTTTGTGTGTCAATGACGGGTTTGCCTTCTCTATAGTCCCCGGCTATCTTCAGGTACCAATGAAGCGCGGGCGCCCCTAGATGTGATCACAAGTCAAGATTATATCGCATCGCGTCGACATTCACACAAATACGATCGCTTGCTATCCTTCCGACCACTCACACCTTGACGAGTTTGATTTCCTTGTTTGTTTTCCGCATACTTGTTGTTACGATTAACGAAACGAATCCCTTCCCGAAATTACGCGCCTTGTCAACCTTGCCTCAAGTTTGACCAAAGAAGCTGCATCATTGACGAAAACCAAGATATTTCCTTCTAGAAAATCCCCTTATTGACTCTTACGAACTACTGGTGGACTGCTAGGATAGGAATTTCGGGTGCGCATTCAATTGGGCTAAAGAGCGTGTGCGACATTGGATCGAAAGTCCGCGCTTCCCTTGACGCCGAAGATTATACCTTTCAGGACGTGCGAAGGCTTTAAAGGAAGCGAAATGATATTGGCATAGGAAGATTGGAACTGAGACAACCGAATCAACCGAGAATTTTTAATCATCGCTACCCGGCTTGATTCTATACCGGTGAGAGATACAACGGGAACGCCGCGCATCATGACTCACCGACGGCAAGGTCTTTCTCGCACCTTGCCGAAAGACTTCACTTTTCCTTCAATAGGGGAGCCCAGGACTCCGGAACGCAACTCAATCCAGCTGGACGTTCCGCCGCCGCCCCCGCGCCATTCCAGTTGCCGCTTGCGCAGGTCCCGAGTGCGCTCAGGGACGGATGTCTTTGCGCACGCTGAATACGATCGCAATATTTTCCACCCTAACCCATCCGATATCCCGCTACCATCTATTGAATTTTCTTCTTCTCACGATGCGACAGACCCTGAGGCATGTCTATCCATACCTACGAGCAATGACCGCTTTTTGGCCCCTCCGCGGGATCGTGTAGCGTTAAAGACCCCACCTGCCCAGATCCGCGCGGCCCCAGTCGATCAATCTACAGGATACTGGTCAACGGATGATCCTCAAAATATAGGAGAGACCATCGAACGCCCTGGCTCCTCCTGCTCCGATTCTTCAGTTTCATCAATTGAAACATTTGCCTCCCGGCGCTCAGTGGGTGGAAGCTGTACGAGCATTGAAAGCGACAGTTTCGATCCCTTTTTCCTTGAAATCCAGCCAAAACACGTGGAATCAACTCCAGTGCCCAAGTTCCGGCGGAACAAACCCCCAACTCGAGAACGATGGACAAGGGATATGGACAATCACTTATGGAATACGTATCAGATTTACCTCCAGGATCCTACAATCACCCCATTTAAAATGACGCCGGGAAGCATCCCGCCCTTGGGGGTCACTCACCGAGTAGCACGAGAAGCAAAGAAGACGTGGGAAAAAATGCGTTACAGACTTACCAATCAGCTTCCTTCCACGTCGCAACAATATGCGAGCGGTAACTCAACACCAACTCCAAAAACTGACACCCCAAAGAATGTATGGCCCAGATCGGAGGCGTCGACCAGGAGGAGATTAAAATATTTGTGCAAGAGGAAATTCTGTATCGCGCCGCATTACCAAAGGCTGATGATGTCCCGAAGCCCGACACCCGCCTTGGATATGGTTTCTCACTCATCACGAGAATCGTCCCAAGCAGAGGTCCCCACAAGTAGCTCGGCAGTTTACGCCACGCGCGATCTAGGCATATCTCTTGTCTCCAGCTCAGTCCCTGGGCCCTTAACGCAGCTGGCGATGGAGGAACCACCCAGTAATAATAGTGGCGAATGGTCCAGTCAGCCTGTACCGTGTAACGCTCCTCATGGCGAGGTCGACCCATTCGCAAATAGACCGTTTAGCTTTGATGAACGGGAGATAGCACCTCGACTGGGATCTCCGTTTACCTATCACACGTGGGGTCCTAATAACTCGAAAAAACGTGTCCAACGCCATACGCCTAGAGCTCGAAGAGAAACGATTCATGTTACAGGCTCTCGGTTGCGGTCACCTCCCCGTATGGACTTATTGGCAAATGCGGACAACCGTAATATTGCTTGCGAGTCAATGACAACCGCAGAATCTCCGAGTGATGAAGAAACGCGACAAAACTTGGAGGAGCTTTTCCGACAAGGAAAACTCAATGACATTGGCCAGCGTCGCATACGAATTCGAAACCGTGGAGCCACGATGAGCTCGGTTAATTCTGGTGGCCTTAACCAGCTCTTTTCCCCACCATCGTCTTCATCTAAAAATGATGACAGCCATCGTGAGGAAAAGCCCGCTCCTCACCTGCGGAACCTTAGCGGGGAGGCCATCAAACGACTTGGCTCACCTTTTAAGATCGACCCGCCTAAACGAGCCGGCGATTCGCCGGCCAGGTTTATCAGGCATGCACCTTCCCGTTCAGAGCCATTCGCACGTGGACTTCTGCCTCAGGCAAGACAGACAGCTCAGGTTGGCGGACAGCGAACGTTGAATACCCTGCCATACGATCCCACTGAACCTGGTCTATCGGATGCAGAGCGGATCCGGAGACAGATTCTGAACATGTCTTACTCAAGACAATAAGCCTGGTATTTCTTTGCCCGAGCGCAATTGGCTGTTTACGGGCATGTCTTGATGGGCCTGTTTTGATTATCGTGTCGACTTCGAATTACTCCTTGACTAATGACCTGGACGATCTAAAGTGACTTGGCTTTTGTAGACCAAGCGAAATAATGACAGAAATGGCATTAACGACTAATGATATTGAAAGACAAAAACGAAACAAAAAAAGAACAATATTCTCCTGCTCTCACAATCTAAGACAAACAACGACACAAAACAATTTAAAAAAAGCAAAAAAAACCAAAACCATGACAACTTCGAGGTTACCTTCGATATCTGGGTAGTCCCACGATGCAAGCCCTAACCCACTTTGGTGTCGGATTGCGTGACACAAGTGCATTATGCTTCGTCAAAGCTGGACACAAATGTGCGTGTCAACTTTGGCCGATTATTCAACCAAGTCGACAGAACTTTACAGTTTTCATTTCCATTTTCTTTTAAATTCGAACATCAACTACTCTCTTTTTTTCTCTTTACTATCTCATCAGCATCGGATATCGAACGACCCAATGTACGGCCGCCTTGGATAGCATGCATGCTCCATGCTGCATTAACACCATTCTCTAGTCTCGTTTCATTGGGGTTCCACCGAACATGCAGTCGTACACTCTCTGAATTTCCTTTTTTCCAAACCGACCAATTCACTCTCTTCAACACACAGGATACATCGACAGAATACAGACTACATCAACCGAAAATCAAAAAAGAAATGGAAAAAAATCACCCACCCGCGTCTATCTTTGAACCGTCTTCATCTTTCCCCATTCCCTCTATCTCCCATTGGAATCCCTTCCACCAACATTTGCAAAAATCATCACACCGTTTGTTTTGTCTTATGATGAGCAGTGTTGCATCTTTTCTCTCAGCATGCGTGATGATTGGAATGGAGAGACGCCGATATTGATTGAAACGACATAGACGAAACGACCATGATGCTGCTGAGTGACGAAAGCGTTTTTACGGCCTTCTGCAGCGTTCCGTTCAGTCCCAGTCTGATTGATTTACACTGAGCTGTTTTTCAGTTGAACCTTTTTCATTTTTCATTTTCCATTATCCTTTTTTCATTTTTCTTTTCTTTACATTCTCATTTATCTTTCAACATGCATTGCATTCAACTCAAACCAACCTATTTGACTTACTCAATCATGTCGAGAAAATCAGATAGCATTTTGAAACGAAGCCAATCTCTTGATTACTTTTCTCTCGCCCGTCTTTGAAAGAATCACATCACATTTAGCCTCTTTCTGCAGTTCCAATTTTTATTTCCATTTTCATTCAAATCTTTTGCATCTTGCATTCTTTAGATGAACTGAACCGAACCAGACGTTTTGATATGATGACATGAGGGATGAGCCGATGTCTTGAAGTACCTGAGCGTTTGATATTTGAAATGAGATCATTCTTTTACAATCTTCTTCTTGGTACTGTTGCTCTTTTTAAGTAATTGTAATTTGGTAGACATTTTGTAGTGTTTCTTGGATCTTTTTATCTTGTGTTGAATAGAAGTTAAGAAAGTGGAGCTGAGTTAGGGTTAGTGGTTCGTTGAGATTTCACTAGTGAACTGTAGCACCCAGCCAAACACAGGTAGAGCCCATGTTCCAACAAACTACAAGGACTTCCTTAAGCTAGAATATATCTCGGGGTCTCTGTCCGCTATAGATATATGAAATTGAAAGTAATATGACGGTGGTGGGATGAGAGTATAAGTATAACGGAGCTTCGGTAGCTCAGCCGAACTGAATGTTGGTTCTAGTAAGAATATAGCACTTTGACTCTCTTTATTCTTTCTAGAATTCTATATAGCTTAGTGGGAGGTCCTTTTCACCCCGACTCTAGAAGTATGATAGTATCTTACTGAGAAAATGAAGGAGTCACCGTCGCGGCGCGTCCATTAACTGTGACCCGATGTCCGCTCTCCTGTTTCGGTTAGATCACTAAATATGAATGGTCAACTTCAAATCTATCAACACAAAGATCAGCTCTTTAATCCTCGCTCTAATGATCATGATCAGATGAGGACGATACTCTGTCTCTCCAGCGTTTGGAAATGAGACATTTCCAGCTCCCAGATACGTCCAACCCGTCGGTACGTGTGTTCCTGGCCCTGAACGGGGACTAGGGCCAGGCCGATACCGCCCCTAGTATCACTGGTGAAAAGAGGGATACACCACACCACTTGTAGTGATACGCTCTCAACCTCGACATCGAAGGCCATCTGTCCGTACCACTTACTCCCCGTATCGTGGGGACCGTGAAGGTAATAATACGAGGCAGCCGAGTGGTAGTCAAGAACCGCCGTCAGGATTGGGGCAGTCATATGCAATTCTGCCGTTGCGATCTGGCCGAAGGGATCTCGAGTCAAATGCGTGATCCTCCAGCCGTCAATAACGGCAGCAGTCTCCTCGGATACATCCCGAGATAGCGCCTTGGCCTTGTAAAAATTGATCGTTCCCATCACCGACGCCCAGGACCAAGTAGGAGCAACGTACGTGGCATGTCGCGAGGTTGAGAAGCGGGTGTCATTCATGTGTTCGTCGGGTGCCCATGCGATGCTCCTCCGCAGGTCAGCAGCCCACATGCCCGCCACATAGTCGCAGTGGATATATCCATGCACGATGCGAGCGAGGCCACTGAGGGCGGGGAATGTGTCCTCGTATTTGGTCAGACTGCGAGACGCGTAATCCCGAACGGTGTTTAACCACGAGGCGTAGACCTCATGAGTATCTAGTGCCTGGATACGGTCGAGGATTCGGAGGTTATGTCCGGAGTGGCCCTTAGAAAGTTCACTGGAGATATCCCTCGTCGGCCAGCCTTCCGATGCTTTGAATGCGCGACACTCCCAAAGAACCTGCGATGGAGTGTAATGTAATACTCGTGGCGACAGTTCCCGCTCCTGCAGGCACCAGCCGCGACTTTGTAACGGACCTCGCTTGAACAGAGTGACCCATGATGGTTGGGCCTTCACTGCACGAACCATCTTAGACGACCGGCCCTTTAGGGAGCTGCATCGAAATTCGACCGAGTCATTCTGTACGCCCCCTGAACAGAACAGCCCTACCGAGCTGGTTTGACCCGATTGATCTGAGATTGTACAGTAGGAATTCTGATACACCTCGGTCATCAGGGATGATTCCTGATCCCAGTCCTCTCTTGAATCCTGGAGAATGCAGAGCGAATCAATCCAAAGATAGTTGATCTTGAGCGCATATGTAACTTCCATCGCATGTACAAAGTTCCGTGGCAACGTATCAACGGTCAGTTGCTCAAGCCGTGGGAGAATGTTCTCCGACGTTGTGGACGCCGCAGCGGTGATTTGTCCGTCCCACCGGTGACTTAAGGCTATATATAGGATGGACTGGTCGCGATGAATGCTATTGCTTTCAACGAGTTTCGCGGCTCTTCCGCGGCCCCAGTCCGTCAGGTCAATTAGCCTGGTTGGTCGGAAACGACCGTTGGAGCCTACAGTACATGCGGGATGGTTTTGGATGCACTGTCGGAGCCAGGTCACAATTTGCTGGTATGTCTCGGCAGACTGGGTATTGCCTGGGAGCGCCTTGACCTTTCCTGTGCCTCGCCAGTCAGCATTAGAGTATGATAGTAGGAATTATTGTTTGATATTTACCGTCAAAAGGTTCTACACAAGCTTGGAAGTCTGCGCGTTCACTTCTGGGTCTTTCAATATCTTTGGGATATGGCTCATCTACCTGACTAAACATCTGGGCAACGTCGTCGGTGGAACTTCTAGCGTAAAATATTCGGACTCTGCTAGGTTGAGGAATCGAAATCACGCTGATGCCCAGCTGTTTCCAAAAAAAGAGGCAAAAAGGGCACCCCCCTCGAGCACTTTCTTCGAGGGATACCAGCGATGGGTGGAACCAAGGTTGGAAACGTCGTGACCACTTTGAACTAGTGAATATCTCCAGGGGTAATCTTAAACAGGTTGAACATAACCCCCTTTTGGCTATAGTGGACACGTCAAGTATCTTTGTTTCGTTCCCGTCGGAAGGCTCTAGAGCCTCTCTCATGTTAAGCAATTGTAGTATTTCTACGCTGCCACCTTTCTCGGCCGATCGGCGCACTGATTTTCCAGAGTACGACAAGGCATGAATGTTCGCCCCGGCATCCAACAGCATACGTGCCATGATAACGTCCCCATTCCGACAGGCCAGATGTAAGGGCGATTTGACTCTCGCTGGGGCAGCGTTTATGTCCGCTCCATACTCAAGAAGCAAACGGGCGGTACTCAGGTGGCCACCAGCCACGGCACTCTGCAATGCGGTCGTGGAGTGTGATGTGCGAGAATATCGGGAGGAGGTGCCATCCATTTCCGCTCCAGCATCAAGAAGAATTTTCACAATTGCAGTGTGTCCATTGGATGCAGTGTGAGGGACCAAAAGGGTTGGGCTGTCTAGCTCCAATATCGGTGCTCCAACTTCCAATAGACGGCGAACAATATGTTCGTAGCCCTGAAAGGCGGCCGCATGCAGCGCTAGGGTTAGGGGGTCATAGCAATGCTTCTGCGCTTGCTCTCCCGTTCTCTCTATCTTCTGGAGAAGTCTCGCCGCCACACTAAGATGTCCACCTTTGATCGCTAACTCTAGTGCGGGAGCGTCTTGCACATATCGGCGTGCCGACCTTTCCAGTACTGCTCCTGCATCAAGCAGCATGTCCACTATCTCTATACTACCAACCTCGGCTGCTTTCTGGAGAGCAGTGCGACCCCATTCCTCGGCGGGAGCATTGATATTGGCACCCGCGGCGATGAGATATCTCACCATCTCCGGGGAATTACAGGAAACCGCTGCTTGGAGTGCGGTCATACCTCGATCTCGAGGTAACGCATTCACATCGGCACCAATCCGCACAAGTGCGTCAACCACATTCAGATGCCCTCCGCGAGCTGCTTCCTGTAGCGCTGTGAGATGTCCGTCTCGGAAGCTGTTCTCGTACTCGTGACTTGCATCGATATCGGCGCCGGCATCCACCAGCCGATTGACAATTTCCAGATGACCCCCAAATGCTGCTGCATGGAGGGAATTGTCATCATTGGGCGCTGCCCCTGCTTGCAAGAGGGCATCCACTACGTCAGAAAAGCCCCCGGCCGAGGCTCGCTTCAGCGCCGAAGAATGAGAGCTTTGGGGAGCCGTGGTAGCACCGTGTCGCAGGAGATATCGCACACACGGCAAATGACCTCCCTGGGCCGCAGACTCCAGGGCCGTCATATACGGGGGGTAATCCCGTTTGGCATTGATTTGAGCTCCATTTGCCGACAGCAACTGAAGAAGCTCCAGGTTCCCACACTCAGCTGCCTCACGCAACGCCTTGCTTTTGGCACTTAACGATCGAGAGATGAAGTCCCGCTCTGGAATCATGCGCTCCACCTCTTCATGGTTTCCACTTCGTACTGCCCGCTCTAGTCGTTCCGGGGTATATATATGACGGGAGAGCTTGTCCTTTTCCGCGTCCAGAAAATATTGAACCATACGATCGTGTCCTTTACGAGCCGCTATTCGGAGTGCGGAGTAGTTGTTCTCGCTGCCATCATCTTGCATATAGATCTCGGCACCAGCCTCCACTAGGCGTCGGACCGCGACCAAATCGCCCTGCTTGGCCGCTTCTGTAAGCGACCAGGTGTGGTATAGGTTAAATTGATCCCATAATGTTTTATATTCTAGCTGAACCGCCTCCTGTAGCTGCCATTGCGGAGTGCTAGCATCTCTGGCGAAGTCCAAGGCGCTGCGTTCGGTATCATCAACGACCAGCAGCCATTTCAGGCCACCGTGCTCGTCTTTTTCTAGTTTTATATTCTTATGCGCGTCCATCCAAGCATAGATATTGCCAGTCGCAGGCATGGTGATCTATTGGTGGCTGCCACAATACCAGGCGACTGATGGTGAAGCCTTTGTAGGCTTGAGGAATAAGATAAGGCTGAGTTCGCCGATTCCACGTAAGCAATTTATTCAAATTCCATCTAAAACCGAAGTGATCTACCCGGGCGCAATCTAGAAATTCTTACTTTGCTAGGTGGATGCATTCGCAGCTGCACTTTTCAAGCCTTATATCGGTGCTGTTTCTGCCTTCTCGGCGTCCTAGTATGAAGGATGGGGAGGGGATAAATGATAGGTTGATTGATTTTATTTATACCTCCCGCGGTAGAACGGCCACTCAACGCGTGACTACTGCGAGTCGGCATATTACCACATAGCCATAGTTTACTATAATATTATTATACTAGAATTGATATAGACATCAAAGTATAGACTAGTTTGTTACACGTGACTTCCTGCAAGGGCAGCAAGGCAAGAGATTAATCAAGAAACCTTGAATACTGAGTAATGTGCAAATATGCAACTTAAAATGCAAGAACTAATATTAAAAAGGTATGCAACAATGACCAGAAAGGCGTTAAGCACAAAACAAGGGAAAACAAAAGACATCGACCAAAACGCCAACGCTGGAGTGAAAACAAGGGGGGTATAGAAAATCGTGAAGCAATCGTGAGAAAGTAGATACAACGGGCGAGAGACAGGCAGGTCAAGCTGAAGCAGATCAAGACCTTTCTAGCTTCTTCTTTCTCTCGTTAAAGATGGCCTCAAGCTTTCGGAGCTGGAGACCCAGGCCTTTCTTTTCCGCGTTTGCAACTAGCCAGACTTCCATTTTCTCTCGGACATATCTCATGGAGTTGACAACGGGGAGGATAGGCGAAGTGGGCGTGTTCTCATCGAACAGAGTTGCGGCGGGGTTGTTGTTGCCTTCAAGTTCCATCTGAACCCATCGCTCTGCACTAGGGTTTAGAAGCAGATCGAAGACATCGTTCCAGATCTCCCGCTCCCAGTACCGTTTTAAGGATTCTCGAATTCGATACGTTCTAGGACCATTGGGAGATGCACCTTCACTCTGACGGAGAGGGGACGACTCGATATACTTTCCGAAAAGCATGACGTGGACGGTGCCGGCAAGCCCATAGAGATCGATTTGGTGAGTCCATGGCCGCATCTCCTGAATCTCGTTACACTCATGCTTTTTGGCCTCCCAGTCCGCAACAAATTGAACGGATGGCTGGAAAGCGTGCATGTCTACGCCACGACCGAAGTCGATAAGAGACAGGCCCTTGTTGCGCCAGCCGTATGATCCGCGAGGAGAGTAATGCACTTCGCGTGGATCGTAAGCGTTCTCATCGCCAAGATCGATGAGTGATGGAGGTTCTGCTTTCTCCTCGAGCCGCACAAGGCAATTATCGGCTTTGATGTCGCCATGCAGTATACCACATGCGTGAAGGGCCTCCACAGTGCGGAATAACTCCACGGTAAAAAACATAGCAAGGACCTCATCTAAGCCTCCTTCGCCGTGGCCGCCACCTATGACTTGCTCATTTCGGACAATATTGACAAGATCCAGAAGGGTTCCTTGGCTGCGATAGTCTTCGACAAGGATACTTTCCCTCTTATACACATGCATCTCGTGAGCATCGATGATACTGTCCACCGCGCGCGACAAACCGGGTCGTTGGTTCAGGCGGTCATGCGCAGTCCGGATCATGTAAAATTCCCATGGGCTTGGAGGGCCAACTTCCATCTTGATAGCCTCAAAGCCATAGCGAGGCTTCCGTCGTGTTGACTTGTTACTGTTGGTCAGCTGCGAGCCTCCACTGTTACTATCTTCGGATTCGTCGTCAGAATCGGCGGGCAAGCTATCGATACTCTCCGCTAGGTATACAGGGGCAAATGCACCAGCTCCAAGCTCCCGCCGGATGATATAGCTTCTTTCTGCGCCGGGAAGCTCAAGGATGGGCAATTCAAATGACGCTTCGTCCCCACTTCGGGAACGCTTTGGCTGAGCCTTCATGAACTTCTGAATGTCAGAGGCATAATGGGCATCCGTCTCCATATGACCGTGATATCCTGCGTATGACGCAAGTGGTGGGTCCAAGGCTGAGAGAATTGTGTTCCGGATTGCTTTGTCCGTAGGATTGCATTGTGCATCCTGGATGATCGGTCCCTGTCGATGTTTACGGCCGAAAGGAGAGGCTGACTTGACACTAGACAATGCTTTCTTTGCAGTCGGACTCAGCGCAACGTCTTCAGGCAAGCAAATCGTAGTATCTCCTTGACGAGGAGTTCCGTCGATCAGTGGGGTCGACAGAAGATCTGCCATCTGAGGTTTGGACGGAGTCTTTGCATTGTACAAGTGGTTCCTGGCTGCTGTCAGGGATGCGAGGGAATGCTCAGTTTGTTCTACGATTGGGGTCATGAAGGGCAAGCGATTCTGGGCAACTATCGCTGGGTCTCGGTATGGGCCGCATGGTGGGTTGTAATCGTCAGGCATTTCTGGGATAAACCTTTGTCGGCTTTGGTTGTCTTCAAAATCATCGCCATCGATGCTGCCCCTCTCATCTGTGTGCTGTTGCGACACCGACTCCATGCCCGGTGAGCGAAGACCGGCCAAATCGTCGGCAGCGGAGAACTGAGTCCATTCACCGTCCACAACACTTTCAGCTCGAGTGTTATCGTCAAAACCATCCCCAACGGTTTCATCAAGGGGCCTGTGAAACGTATTGTCGTCATCACCGAAATCACTAGAAGCAGCCGATATGTGTCCCGTTACGGTGCTCTCCCCAGCGCTTGTGTAGTCATCGTCATCGAAGTCGCTACTTTCAGCTGCCTCTGTTTCTGCCTTGAGTGGCTGGTTGAAAATACTATAGATTTCGTCCGTTGCTGCGCGAGTGTGGATCGTCATTGTTGGCTCAGCTGTGCTCTTACGACGAATTTTGCCCCCAGTTGGAGAGTCGAACTTCATTTTGACTATGTAAACGATTAGTATTACCACGATATGCAAGAATTGGGTCTGTGCAAAGCAGCCTCACCCGTCTGCGTCTCCTGTTTAACTTCACGAAGCTTCAACTTTCGTGATTTACCAGCCTTTGCCTCATGATGGGCATCTGATTCCGGAGCTTGCTGCTGCGCCGAGATATCTGCTGCCTTGATAGTCAACTTCTCATTGAACTCATCAGGTAGTGCTCGGGCCGGATCAAGTCCAACTGAGTTTTCATTGCCCGATATCTGCCTCAGAGGCTCTTTTTGTGGTCGCCATTTCTTGTCCATCCAGCCACGGCGCATGGCTCGCAGTTCTTCAAAGCTGACTTCAATATTTGGGTTTTTAGAATCTGGGTATACTGCCTCAAGATTGACGAAAACACGCTCTCGTCTTCCCGTACGCGGGTTTACCGCTTCCCTTACACGATGCTCTGGAACATGCTTTGATTGCATTGACTCTTTCAAGTGTGAATTTTGATTTGACTGCATACATATAATCGTAAACCAAGCCGGGTTCATGCCACCAATTAGTCCTGTGATCGTAAATATATGGAACACAAAAACAAAAGGTAGAAAATCGTTACTCACCTCATCCCTGAAAATGGTCATCTTTTCCTTCGGAGCAGGCTTCTTTCCAGCCTTCAGAGTCTCTCCCGCCCATGGTTTTGCTTCCACCTTGTTCTCCTTCCGGCGATCACTCATTGACCCAATACTATCCCATCCCTTGGTCTGTCCAGAGACAGCAGGCTGGCTTGCCGAGTCGGCGTCAGAGAAAATGGCCATTTTGGGTTTACCAGATTTGGTCTTAGGCGCTGCAGCAGCTGGGGCCGCTCGTTGTGCCTGGGGATCCGGTGAGGGGGCTGCCGCCGCAGCAAAGGGGTCCACCTTGGCAGCCAGTGCCGGCCGGACTGCGGGCAATGCAGGAGATGAGGGTCCATTATCTTGTGTTCGTTGTTCATAGCGTTGTTGGAATTCACGATACTTCCGAACCAGTCGTTCAACAGGGCGGGCCTCCCGGTCGACACCAAGTCTATACACTTCATCCGCCTGCGTCCATCGTCCCGCGCCTTCGAGCCAGGCGGCGAATTCCTCATAGAATAGCGCGAGTCCTTCTCCGATCTGATGCCGTGCCAGGAAGGCAAAGGTTTCTCTTGGCGAGTCGGAGAAAAGTCGGATGTAATGGACCCATAACCGAAGGTAACGAGGATCGTTCTTATAGTGAGGCGAAGTGAGGAAGGATTTCACTGCCCGTTCCAGTAATGGCAGAAGACCTGATTCAGGAGTAGCCTGTGAGGATGGGTATGCGTCCAATGTCCATTTTACATAACGGTCGTAAATATCGAGCGGGTCATCTGACTCTCCTATTGCCTGCAGTTCTGCTTCGTAGTCTTGTCTGATGGCATCGTTCACAGTCCTGGTGTCGTTCGGTGATGGGGAATATAGTTTGTCTTCAGGGCCTCTTGGCGAGAAGATACGAGCCAGCTCCCTTGCTGAGCGGCCACCGGGCAAGGACTGAATGTTCTCCTTCTGGTTTTCGATGATATCGAAGTCGACGATTTCTTCTTGGGCCGCCATGGCGGCGAGATGTACCGAGTATATTGCGTCCAAGCGGGAATTGGCGAGTATGTATTCGACAAACTGATTGATAAAAATTGAAGCTCGCTGTAGAAGATTAGTCGGAGGGTCGTGGATGATGATTGTCGTCAGGGATTTGCGGAGGGATCGAAAACGAGCGGAGATTCTTTTTCTTGAGTTTATCGATAAACAGCATCCCTCCTGTTGTCCCGGTAACGTGTCACGTGGGAGTTATGCCATATGAGGCAATATTGGCTCCAAGAACTGCCGATAAGACAGTCTCGACCTTTTGGATCCCTGGGGGCATTTGGTGTGATATTTAGATAAAAGCTCGATTTTCTAACTCTCATCCGTAAACCACCGCATCAACCATGTACCTGAAATATGTACTGTACCTCTGATACGTGGCTCTGGTAAGAATTGTAGCTAACACAGGTCACTGATTCCCAAAGACCTTTTGTATGATCAAGAAAATCGATATCATAAAATAGACGCATTGTACATCTCTGCTATCCAAAACAAGATGCTAATTTGGGGAACTCAATATTCTCCTAGTGTAGCGACCCCTTAGGGCCCTTAATTATCAGTGCGGCTTGCGGCGGTCGCCCGGCACGCTACGCGCAAACGCGTCATTTTTAACACCGGCAGAATCGACTCTCGTTCATTAACACCTCTATCGGCAAGGTCGAGATATTCCACCAGCTCCTTGACGACAAGGGAATTAAAGGCTACTTTGGATAGTAGTGCATACCAAACAACGCTGCTATGCCTCCCCGTGGATCCCGTAAAGCGGCGACTAGTGCTGTCTCTCAATCGCCACCGCGCTCGCCTCAAAGCCCTGGAGCTAATAAACGAAAGATTGAGGGCAACCACGAGCCGAAATCCCCGTTAAGGAGATCGAAACGCGTCAAATCAACAGAGGCTCTAGGGAACCCGCCTTCGCCGGCGAAAGAAAAGGTTACTTCCAGAGGACGAAAGTCGCAGACTGGACAGTCTCAAAAGGGTGCGCCAAGAAGCAACGAGGAGGGTGTAGTACTCTCCATCAAAGAAGAGGTCGAGGAGGAAGTAAAGGCCACTGTCAAGGGAGAGCTTGATCAGGAGGGTGCGACAAAACATGAAGAAGCAGATGAAAAGACGGTAGTGACAGGAACAGTTCCAAAGAAAAGAAAGACGAAGAAGGAAAAGGAGCTAGAGATGGTACCCTTGAGGGCCAGGACACAGGGGCTGCGCATGTGCGTAGGGGCCCATGTTAGTGCGGCCAAAGGCGTCTTCAATGCCATCAACAACAGCATGCACATTGGCGGCAACGCATTTGCCTTGTTCCTGAAGTCGCAAAGGAAATGGGACAACCCACCCCTGCAAGATGACCACAGAGATACTTTCCGCCGTCTATGCATAGAAAACAAATATGATGCTGCAAAGCATATCCTCCCTCACGGCTCATATCTCGTCAACCTGGCCCAAGAAGATAAAGCCAAGGCGAAGCAAGCCTACGATTCCTTCCTGGATGACCTTCGTCGTTGTGAAGCACTCGGCATCAACCTTTACAACTTCCAGTAAGTACATACCAACCGACCTTATTTACGTTCCCGTCACCCTGAAGCTAACTGAGCAAACAGCCCAGGAAGTGCAAACCAGAGCAATTTCTCCGATGCCTTATCACGACTGGCTAAAGCACTTACCAATGCTCTTGCCGCTACGTCAACAGTCACGCCTGTTCTTGAAACAATGTGCGGCCACGGAACCACAATCGGCGGCAAGCTGACTGAATTCCGTGATCTCCTCGCCATGATTCCACAAGAGTATCATCCTCGCATCGGAATCTGCATTGATACCTGCCACAGCTTCGCAGCAGGATATGACCTTGCTTCGCCCGAAGGATTCAAAGCCTTTATGAAAGAGTTCGAAGATGTGATTGGCCTGCAGCATCTCCGTGCTCTTCACTTAAACGACTCCAAAGCACCACGGGGTAGCAAACGAGATCTTCATGCAAACATCGGGACAGGATTCTTGGGCCTCAGGGCTTTTCACAATGTCATGAACGAACCCCGCTTCGAGGGACTGCCTATGGTTCTTGAGACGCCTATCGATCGACCGGTGTCCGCGATATCTAAGGGTTCCGCGCAAAAGGGCGGCGAAGAAGACAGCGATAGCGCGGCGGACACTCCCAAAAACAAGAAGAAACAGCCGAAAAGACCGGCTAGTGCAAAGGAGCCTACGGTCGCTGATCCCTCCGTCTGGGCCCGGGAGATTGAACTCCTCGAATCCCTGATCGGGATGGACCCCGAAAGTCCAGAATTCCGTGCCCTTGAAGCTCAATTAGCTGAAGAAGGACGCGAAATGCGAAAGAAACAGCAGGAGCAATACGAACGGAAAATAGAAGCCGAAGAGAAAAAGAAAACCAAGAGTCCCGGGAAGAAAAGCCAGAAAACGTTGATGGATATGATGAACGGAGCAGGAAAGAAGGGCAAAGCAAACAAAAAGGTTTCGAATGATGACAGTGAAGATGAAGGATGTCAAAGTCACACCGAGTAGCGGTGGGCAACGATTTATGATCGTCACCATCTGCAGCACAAATGGTGTCCATTACTTATCTATAATGTATTCATACACAGCTTGGTTACTCTTAAGGTGCAATGGCGCGTGATATAGCTCCATAAGCTTCTGGATAAGATTTATGCAAACTACCAAATACAGATGCGGCAGCCTGCAGAATCCATTAATGAAGTTTGTCATTCAGGATAACTTAGTTCCTGAATTGTAATTGAAGTGGGTATTGTGTATGTAGAACTCAAAAGCCACGAAATTGGGGCCCAAATGCTAAAAGACGTAGATACACCTCCTATTTCGATGGAAGATACGGTAAACATGGTATCACACAAATCGCTGTCTATATGAGTGACTCGGCCAGAATATGCGAGACTCCCTGGGCACTTCCAGGCAATCCTTGAAGTGTTGCAATTGATATAAAAGATATGAGAGCGCCATGCCTCGATATCGCACTTGGAAATTCTGAATCCAAGCGATTATATCGGCCCCTCGACCTGTTCGTTCTGATTTGATCGGGGCGAACCCCTAAAACAACCAGATGAAACCTGGGCATGGAAGAGGGAAAGCGCAAGTGCGGGACGAACCATAGCCGTGGCGTCCAGCACAATGGAATATAGAAGAACCGCTAAAACGAGGTAGCAACCCAGCCTAACGCCTCTCGCGAGAGGATGCTCTTTCAGGCGACGATTGAAGCTGACTTCCCGTACCGAGACTTCGTCCCGCTTTCTGTAGTTCAGATTCGGCAGAGACCACGACCGGTGGCGCTGACTTCAAAGGAGATGGGGCAGACACTCGTGGCGAGCACACTTTATCATGGTCACTTAAGTTAGCGGTAGAAATAGTAAGCCCTTGTGTGCTGCTGCTGGCACCGCTGGCTCGAACACGGAATGACCGCCGACCAAGAATCGAATCATCAGCGGGCGTAATGTTGACATTTTGATCGCCACGTGTATCCGACGAAGCGCGTAGCATACTTGTTTCCGGATTTGCAACGCGGTGATATCCTCCGCGACCTCGGGAGGGATCCGAGTCTTCTGTTTCCGAGTCCGACTCTGGCTCAGGCTCCCACGTGCCCTTCCGAGCTTCGGCACGCATCTTGGAGATCTTCATATAATTGTAGGAACCGATGCTGCTGATGGTAATGACGAGACCCACAATATTTATGAGTGTGAGCTGGTCATGGAATACCACACCTGCTGCGCTTATCGTGACCACTTCTTTGAAGATACCACAGATGCTCAATGTGACGACTGATGAACGCTTGAGAAGCGCAAATTCGGATGAGATCATACAAAACGCCAGGATACCAGGGAATATGAGGAGAAAGGTCGCAAGCATGCCACCATGAGCGTCGCTGAGAGCGACGAAGCCCGTAACAATCTGAGATGGGCCTTCCACGGCCAGCGCGATAGTAATCAAGGAGATAAACATGACGGGAGTAAGGAAAAAGAGGGTAGAGAATGGGTTAGCCGTAGCTGGATGCCGCAGCAAAAGGATTTGTGTCAAGCCCCATCGGAAGCCCGAGAAGAAAGCGGATGCGATGACTAGCAGGAACCCGAGAATGTTGAAAGCAGTCTCGCCTGCGACCATCATGACGACACCGATAGTCATTGTAGCGATGATAACGATCAACCTAGCTGACGGAGTTTCTAGGCGGAAGAGGAAAGCAAATAGTAGGACGAAGGCTAAAGCAGATGATTTACACATAGTAAGGAACGTGAGAGAGATGAATTTCAACGACATATTGCCCAGCCCAATATCAAGGGAAGTTGCTGCACCGCAAGGAACAAGACGTGTGAAATAGAATGCTTTCGATACGACACTATTCTCGGACCCATCTTGCTGCCTCATCGGTGATCCGGAAGGCGATGACGCGGGCGCCCGGGGGCGCAGCGAAGGAATCAGGTACAGGATGAAGGATGATAGTGAGAACTGGACGAGCATGTGTAAACTGGTGGTAAATAACGGAAAGGGAAAGACGACATCATCCTCGGAAAACATCCATTTATTGTACTGCAACACACATTGCCATGGTCAGTTGTGTCACGCTCCTTCAATGCTATCTGATGTCCCAGGGATACCGGGGTACTCACGATTGATATCGCCAACGAAAAGAAATACCACATCAGAATCAACCCTGCGTTGACCAACAGCCTCCTCATCACGTTTCGATCCGCCAACCCAACCGAGAACACATCACTCTGGGAACCCTTGACTCCGGCGATCCGAGCATCCAACTGTCTCCGTTGCTTTCTTCGCCGCCGTCGCTGGCGTCTCTGTTTTGCGGTCAGACCGGTCTCTTCATCATCTTGGAGGTCGTCCTCGGAGCTCTCAGCGATCGACGAGAGGTCGGACACGTCTGCGTCCTCGGCGGCTTTCTGTTCTTCCCGTTTATAGCTGACAGAGTCGCCATTGGTGCGCGGGTTATCGTCCCTCTGCTCGGTCGGGCCTACCTGTGAGGGGCCCCCGGTACCCGTGAGCACTGAGCTCCGCCGGCGATGGTGATTTCCCGAGGGAGATAGACCCATCCTGGAATGCTAGCTTGTTGAAAGAGGGGGAGGGTCTTCAGGGGGGAGGGAGGGAAGAGTTCAAGGAAAGTGGTTAGAGGAGGGGGAAGAAAAGAAAGTTTTCGCTAGAATGTAAATGACTCCATCAGTGGTAGATCAACGTGAAATATACACTCGTGGTCCAACGATCAATTGTCGCAGCAACTGAGGATGGACACGGAAGGGGAGCACACGAAGTCCGGAAAGGAACGAGGAGAATCGGTGAGGAAATCAACAGGGCTGGCCCGGATAGGTGTCAAAGGAGATGAAACTGAGAGAAAAGGGAACTAATGAAAGGAGGGAGGGACAGGAAAGGAAAGGAATTCAAGACAAAAGGAGCAAAGAAAGGCCCGTGGAGCATGCAAGGGCGATAGGAAGAAGCATAAGATGGGTAGTAGCAAGCAGAAGCAGCAGTAGTAGCAGCGGCAACAGCAATAGCCCAGCAGCGCAACACAACCTTTCAGACTCGATGGGAAAAAAAAAAAAGTATGTATATGTATTGTAAGGAGCGTCAATTTTCATGGAAATTTCGGGCTTTGGGGAAACAAAAAGGAAAGGAGTTGCAGTGATTTGGTCGATTTGCAGGGTCAGCCGTCAGTTTAGTTTTGGTTTTTTGAAGAGAGCAAAGCAGTGACACTAGACCCGAACTAGACCTGCTCTCCTGAAATTTTAATGAAAATTATTCCTGTCGGCATTGTTGGTATGAAATGCTAGACTACTAGTAGTATGATGACTTATTGACTTATCGCTGAATCCACTTAATCTTACTCTCCACCACCGCCACCACCGATAGATGCGAATACGAACCAGAACGTCCGTCTTGAATTTGAGTCCACAGCACTAAACACTTTAGCAACCCTGATCCAGTAATCGAAACAACAGCTTCAAACAGGGGTCATGTTTAGTAAGTATAGAAATAATAATAATAATAATAATAAGTAACAATCACAATAAAAATTAAAAATTAAAAATTCAATAAAAATAAGTAAGAGAGGGGGGTTAAACAAACTACTTGTAAACTATACAACAAACTTCATACTAGACTAGTTTTGATAGTGATCTGTGATCACACACATCCTTCAGGGTCTTCTCTGGTATCGTGCTCTTGGACCTCTCATCTTCCGAGAATCCTCGTCTGTTGGAAGCGGGGGTTGCAGATATTTGGGTCCCTAATTTATTTTGGTTTTTTTTTTTTTTGGTCCCTTTCCGGACGATCCGGGGTCGTTCATTTATTGTTACATATGCCGGGTTCTTAAGAAGAGATGTTCACGGACTGTTGATCCCACGATTGGTTAGGTCAGCGACCGAAGGTTCAACGAAAAGGTCGACTATTGGAGTGGGTGAATCAGATACACCATATTTTTTTTGTTGTTGTTGTTGCAAGTGACCTTTCAATCCTTCCGCCAACTCATGATTTCTCATTAGGCATCAGTTTTTGGCCTGAACTCCATTTCGTTGCACACCGACTTCTTGGCGTCGAAGAACCGGCTCAATTTCTTTAGTTCCATTTGGTCCCGTCCCGATGGACAATGTCTGTGATTCGCCACAGGGAAAACACCCACTGGGGTTCCAGACAATGACATATGATCGGTACGATCTCCCAGACTCCCATGCTTTGGACATATCTGACCCGAGGGTGGATAGTTGATGATGTTGTAATTCCATCACCACAGGGACATCGCCAGCAGGGATAGCCATCATCATGTCATTGTACATCCAAGCATCCTACCCGCTGGTGTCATAGTTTGCCATGGTCGCCCTTGCATTCGCCCGGGGAGGGAGTATGATAATGCATTCTATCGCAACAACTTGTACATTTCTCATCAAATTGACATTTATCGTCAGTCGAAACCACTCTATAACGCAAGCTAAATGGGGCGAGGCCACGGTAAACATGCATTCCCGTGTCCCCTGTTAGCTTAGAATGTACCTTGGATCACATTTGCTAACCTTGTCTTTGACTTTCATGCCGTTCCCTGGTTCGCTTGCCCGAAAGATAAAGGGAAACACGGCGCACTTCTCCAGATTGCAAGCTTAAGCAAGCAGCAGTACTGACCTCATTCGACCTGTCAAGTGACGACAATGGTTTTGTTGAGACTTCGGGCCATCTGCCTTTTTGCCTAGGAGAACCGCTCGGCAGCCGATGTGCAGACGAATATAATAATAAAAAAAAAATCAAATCATATAAAACTAAATCGATAGGTCAATAAACATGTGGCCAGCCACTTCAACTCTTAAACTGCAACCTCCTGTCAAGATTGGGACGGGTATGGGCAATAGTCTTCCCTCCCGCCTTTCCTCCCGGACATAGTCCTGGCAACCATACTGCATGGGCTACGCTCGGTGGCAAAGTGAGTACTTTATATTGCAAGCAACTCATGTTGGAAGAGAAACTAGCAGTTATCAATGAGCCGGATATACCAAGGTACCTCGGGTATATATCAATGCGGAACAGGGCTACAAAGAGCCAGTGTTCGTCTCCCCGGGGCCTTTATAAGACATACATATCCCTTAACACACCTAAACAGAAGCTTAAATGCAACGTGTGTCCCACGGTCAATGCCGGAGAATTAATGTGAACTCACATGTTAAATCCATAAAATCACCACTTGCAGTACCATATACTCTTCGGAAGAACATGGATAGCAGTTAAAACTCGAACTACGAATATAGTCGTCGACGGTTACTTTCTCCCATCTTCAAACCAGTGATATTAGTAGTAGGAGACGCACCAAACACAACACCAAATCAACCAAGTTCCCCAGAAACCATAACAGCATCCCACAACACCCATAAACCCTAGTCCTTGAAAAACAATCAAGGAAAACCCCTGAACAGCAAGATAAACCAATATCACAAGCCCCAGTATACCCTACTATAAAACCGACCCCGGAATAAACGACACACCCAGAATAGCACCTTACCTGGATTCTCTCGGTCCTGTCCTACCTCAGCTTGCCAGAAACCCATCTACTAAATGTTGAGGGTGGTTTCCATGGACAGACAAACGGGTAACACGATGTCAGCATTCAGGCTCCATGCATGCATTAGCGTGGACTTTAGTGTCTTCATAGGGTGAGCTGCAGGGGTGCGTGTGAAGATCATGGGGTGACTTTGTTTTAATTTTATGGTTTTGGGTTATTGTATCACGTCTACTTTTACGTTGTAATTCACTAGAGAGGTTCGGGCGATTGTTTGGGGATTTGTTTACTAGTGCTTTATTCTTCTAGTCTCCCTTGATAGGGCTAAATTTAGCAGCATTGACTCAAATGCCTGTGGTCCTAGTTTGGAACAAAAAAAAAATGCAAAGTCGGTCATCTCATTCATAAAGATCTGTTTCTAAGAGTAAATCTAATGGATAAGCCAAACCATATGTAAAGGCTCCAATCCAACACCACCTCATCGTATCGGATACCACACACTCCCGGGCTGCAGACATACAGGACACATACAGGAGGCAGCCTTGTATCCCAACACCGGCAACATTCTCTCAGTTAGATAGCAAAGTATTCCCTACTTCGTTTATACCACGTGTACCTTCCTCGTGGTTCCTTCAAAATAAAAAGAAAAAAAAGTAGCTCCGCACGACCGTTAGTATGCTTCACATTGAGGAGTACGTATGCATTCCCTCTGCCGCGGTAGCCCCCTTTCCTGATGTGGCGCTCATGGGTAGTTTCATCCCGTGCGACTTATATGGAAAGGGGTCCCTTCAGTTTGGCAGTTAATTTGAAGCGTTATATTCAACCGCCCTTCCGTGGTCCAGCAGCTCCAGGCCCTGGAGATGGGTTTGGGTTGGTAGATGCCTTTGCGGAAGCCGACCGCGAGAAAGCATTGACTGTACCAATCGTCGCACTGGCGTTACGCAGCTCGATCTTCTTGCGTTCCATTTCAAGCTATTTGTAATTAGCGTTTCCTTCGTCAGATATTCAGCGAAAGGAGTAAAGGAGTGTCACATACCACCTTGCGCACTCTAGCAAGAGCAGCAGTGTCACCCGCCACCAATGGCTGACAGTCGTCCACACGGTACGGCGCGGCGATTGACACTGCATCGGCCACGATTATGCTTGTTCCATCCCATCTTGTGGGCATTGTGCGGCTAAATGCATCAAACAGATCCTGAGCTTCGCGAGTAACCCCCTTGCCACGCTTCGCCTCACCCTCTTGCAGTTTACCCACTGCATTAGCCTCTCGGGTCTTCAAAGCCCGAATGTCGAGCGCATGCACAGATGGCACGGCATCAGCGAAAGAAGGTCCCTCCGCACTGGTGGATGATGGAGCAAGGGAGAGAAGCTGGAAGGACTGTATACGCGAGATCGGGATGATACGATAATCACCTGCGGTCGGCTTGGTGTCGGCGGCAGTGTTAATAGCAACAAGGTTCGTGATTGGGCATGCCGTAAACAAAGTTCCCTCAATCGTTGTGGAGACCGGAGCAGTAGTGATGCGAACGCTGTTGAGATAACAATAGAGTTAGCACCAACAAGCGATGATCATTCTGTCTTGTACGAGCGTTTTCTGTTCAAAGGGCCTCGTGCCCTTTGAAAAGTCGCCGTAGCAGACAGAAATTTAAAGCAAGTAGCTGCTTACCGTGCACCAATTGCACCGCTCAAGGCGACCTCCAAAGGAACCATAGCTCCGGCCATTCCCTGACCTGTGGCACTAGAAGCTCCTTGCGATGACGCTCTCACTCCGGCACCGTGACGCTTTTTCTCTGCCATAAGCCACCCTCTCAGACTAAGCAATTTTCAAGCTTTGTCACTTGGGATGAAAGGGAGAGTCCGATCCCGCTTATGCAAGAGTGCAGCTGAATTGCTTCTCGGAAGGCAACGAAAGATCGCCTTGCACAATCAGCCCAGCAGGGACAATACGCTACACCAGACGATTTTTGCAGTTGTAGCAGGCAACAATTTCCCGGCCGCGGGGTTATAAGCTACTGTGGATTCGCAGTAACAACAGGAGCTGGTGCCCCGATCAAGCAGGGTGGGACGTAGCCGGAAGCTGGGAATATGATAAAAGGAGCGACGGAAGCAACACGGAAGGAGAAAAGAAGCCTGTCGACAAGGGTATGGCCAAGCAGACGAGGATATTGTCTCAGACTGCTGGCGCGTAGTCAAAGAGAGGTGTGGTGGTGCTCCGTCAAAGGATGCCAGCTAACCCACTAACGATAAGTTGGGTGAGGTCGACGTTCAGGTGCACGACCAATCAATCCCAATTCAGCTTAGTCCGGGCGGAGACACTACCGTGACGACGGCCGGCCCTCATCAGTCTTCACACTTTAGTACTGGAGAGGGGCTGCAAGTCGCCCTTTGATTTCTACAAGTCAATACTTCTTACTCTTCTTAACCTAGCAGAATCAGCCATCCGCTGTGCTATCCATCATGAACAATATCAGAACATATTCATTCAATCCGTTTCCATCAATAAAAAGCGGACTAAAGCATTTAAATACAGGGTGATGAACCGATTTCTTTTTACTTTATCATAATCATTCTATGTGATGCGGGAGCCCGACAAGCCCTCGCAATTTTGCCTTATCCTATTACCATCTCGGTCCAGGGTAGAGTTTCACGTCCAGCGCAGTGTCGTATCCTCGTTTAATTTAAGCAATGTAGGTAGAGGCGGACACGTTACCACCACGTCCAGTCCAGTTAACGTGGATGTCCTTGCCCTCAGGGTAGGTCTCGCTGGCGTGCTCGGGCTTGATGCGGAAGGTGTGGGCACCGAAGTAGTCACGCTGAGCCTGCAGCAGGTTGGCGGGGAGGTCCCGAGTGCGGTATCCGTCGTAGAAGCTGAGAGCAGTGCTGAAAGCAGGAGTAGGAATACCCCAGAGAGCACCCTTGCTAACAACGTTTCTCCAGCCGTTCTGGGCCTTGGCGATGGCCGCTTTGAAGAAGTCGTCGAAGAGGAGGTTCTCAAGGTTGGGGTTCTGGCGGTAGGCGTTGGTGATGTCCTTCAGGAAGACAGAGCGGATGATGCAGCCACCACGCCACATAAGGGCGATGGAAGGCTTGTTAAGCTTCCAGCCGTACTCCTTGGCAGCCTAGATTTCAAATAAGTAACTGCCAAGAACTAATGTTACGTGGGTCAGGTTAAAGTGGACTTACCTCCTGCATGAGCATGAAGCCCTGGGCATAGGAGATGATCTTAGAAGCATAAAGGGCCTGCTCCAGGTCATCGATGAAAGCCTGCTTGTCACCGGTGAACTGAGGAGTGGGGCCTGGGAGAAGGCTGCTGGCGCGGATACGCTCGTCCTTAATGGCACTGAGGCAACGAGAGAAGACAGCCTCGCCGATCAGGGTGACAGGCATACCAAGGTCAAGAGCGTTGATGGCGGTCCACTTGCCGGTTCCCTTCTGGCCGGCCTTGTCAAGGATCTTCTCAACGAGGGGAGTGCCATCGTCGTCGTTGAAGCGAAGAACATCGCGGGTAATTTCGATCAAGAATGAGTCCAAGACACCCTTGTTCCACTGGGCGAAGACTTCGGCGATTTCGTTGACGGGCATGCCAACACCACGCTTGAGAATATCATAGGCCTAAAAAAAAGTGCACGTTAGGATCTGTGTGCTGATAGTTCGGGCTAAAAGATGACGTACCTCGCAGATCAGCTGCATGTCACCATACTCGATACCGTTGTGGACCATCTTTACGTAGTGGCCGGCACCCTCATCACCGACCCAGTCGCAGCAAGCCTCGCCGTCGCTCTTGGCGGCAATGCTCTGGAAGATATCCTTGATGTGGTCCCAGGCCTGCTCGTTACCACCGGGCATGAGAGAGGGGCCGTAACGGGCGCCCTCCTCACCACCAGAGACACCGCTGCCGACGAAGCGGATGCCCTTCTCGGCAAGGTACTTGGTGCGGCGGTTGCTGTCAGGGAAGTGGGAGTTACCACCATCAATGATGATATCGCCCTCCTCAAGGTGGGGCAGGAGAGACTCAATGAACTGGTCGACGGGCTTTCCAGCCATAACAAGGAGCATGATACGACGGGGACGCTTCAGCTTGGCGCAGAACTCCTCAATGGAGTGAGCACCGACAATGTTCTTGTTACCTGAATAATAGTCAGCTTGGCTAATCTTTCTACAACTAATCGGTGAGTTTGGGATCTCACCCTTGGCCTCGTTGTCAAGGAAGCGGTCAACCTTGGAAGTTGTGCGGTTGTAAGCGCAAACAGTGAAACCGTGATCGGCGACGTTCATGATCAGGTTCTGACCCATGACGGCCAAACCGATCAGACCGAAGTCAGCACTAGGAAGAGGGCGCGCCGGTGCGCCGACATTGATGCCGGCCAAGCGGGCGCTGAAGTCAGTGGGTAAATTCTTCTGTCAATGAATGGGCAAAAACAAGGCAGAAATGGGGAGAATGATAATAGAATAGAGTAAAATAGGAGGGAATTGTATGAAGATGGACGCAATCCAATATCAGGCTATGACATTGGGAGAGAACCAGAACGTCATCCAATCGATTGTCGCAAAGCTATCAATCGTCTAGGACCATGGTCCATGACCTCCAAGATCCCACGCCAAATGTGTGAGGGTTGTTGCGAAGGAGGGTGACGCCCACCATAAACGGGGAGGACGAGATCGGAAGTGCAGCAGGGAGGGGGGTGGTCGTGATGACCTCAAGGGTACTTACACTGCCTGGTCAGCCATTATGAGAGAGTGGGGAGGACTTTTCCTGAGGGGGTATTAAGGAAGTAGTAAGTATAGCAGTATCAATATGACTGCCCCAAAGAAGGTAGATGGAAGGATGAAGATATAGGTAAGAGAAAGAGGAAAAGAAGAAAGGAGAGAGAAGAGACGGAAGAAAAGGGAGAAGCAGTTCGAAGATGTCAGACCCGAAAAGGCTTACGGAGCAACTCTTCCGTCATTCGGTGGGACAGAAGAGGGCGAAAGGCGGGGCAGTAGAAGACCATGAGGAGCAGAGTCGTCCGGTCCGGTGAAATAGTTGGTACTTAGTATACATGGGAATCCCACGGAATGCGAATGATTGATTTTAAAACAATATTGGCTTTAGAATGATTATTTTAGATTGTCTACAATGCCTATTCTATGTCAATTGTGCCCCTTCGATATAATGCCTTCAAAGAAACACTCTTTACAGTCAGTGACGCATACATAACTTTTTTTTTATGATACAGTAGCTTGCTTCGGAGATGACGGAGCATTGCAGCTGTACCGATGGCGGGGCACATGGAGGGGCAGAAGCGCTGCTGCAGTGAAAGGAAATGCAAACAAAAACCGCCGCAGCGAATGTTCAGGGTCAAAAAAAAAAAAAAAAAAAAAAAAAAACAGGTACCTTCGGTGAAGCAGATTCGGGCACGGATCAAATCATGTCCGCCCTTCTACACCAACCATCGTCCCCTCCGGAAATTTGTCTCTTCGGGCTTTATTTGTCGGCAATCAATGTGTACCCCCGTAGATAAACACTCCCTCCCAAATGCCGTGGGATAATTAAATGAGCTTACGGGAATATTATCCCACCTTCATGACCGTCTGATCACGTTAATGGTCGGCTATTGCCTTGCCGAAAGAGGCATAGGGTGGGGGTGCAAATCCGTCGGGGCTGATGAGACAATGACGCTATTGTGAAAAAAAGTGCTGACAAAGACACTGTGGCTGCACATTTGTGGCTGAGGAACATTATTTCCCCGTAAATAACTCTATCTCTACGGCAAGCAGGGCGGACCACTTGGGTCTTTTTTTCCACTCCCAACGCCTAAGTAAGTTCTTCGCCGTTAACATTTTGATCAAGATCTGGGTGACCAACTTCATTCTCGAATCCATATCTGAACAATCCCCATCCTTGACATCAAAAACTATACATCTTGTTTTCTATGCTTCAGTCACTTATTTGATTGCCTTGCGACTCAACTCTATACTTCGAAGGGAAATTCAATACTTCCATCTCGTCAACCACCCCGTGAAGTCGCAATACCATCCAGTAATACCTCAAAACATCACATATTCCACCTTCGGGACACCGACCTTCTGTCTACATTAGAACTCAGGACCCTTTTCAGGCGTGACGTCTGGCGTGAGACTGCTACGTCAGTCAAGCCCTGAAGGTACGTGTCTGGCTAATTTGCATACGGCGCATCACATCCATCGTCTCTATTCGAACTCTCCATTCATCATGTCCTTTCCGCCACCTCCAGGTCTGAAGCAAGCACCGTCTTCGCTGCCACCGCGGCCACCAAATACAGCATCCCCTTCCCCTGCATCGTTTCAGCCCGCATACTCGGCTGCGCCATCGTATTCGTCCGCAGGGACCAGCAATGGATATGGCGGCAGCGGGCCTCGGACAGGCTACAATGCTTTCACAGCATTTGCACCACGCTCCGTAGCTTCTAGTCAACCTTACCGTACCAGTAGCCCCGTCGTATCCGCTCCACCAGCCGCCTCAGCCGGATACTCCACCCCCACTACGGCAGGCTACGGTAGCTACTATTCGCAACCACAACAAACTTACCAAAGCGGAACCTCGTACTATGGCTCTGCCCAGTATAATGAAAACACATATGGTCCGTCCGTGCCTCGGATTCAGAATCCCTTCTCCGCTCCGGGAGCTGACCAAGCAAACAATTATGGTATGCGCGGGAAGAACTTTGGGCGCAATGAATCTGGTTTAGATCCGGAGACAGAAGCACAGATTGCACAATGGCAAAGTGCCTATGCGAACAGAGACGAAACACAGGCGACAAGCAAGGTTCCTGGCCGCCGAGACGGATACGCGGTATCCGGCGCCGGCTCCGGTGTCAATACCCCCTCCGGCACCGCTACAGCAGCTACCACTCCGGCACCCGTTGCAGGCCAGGCCGAGCCGCAGACGACCGTTGCTCGGGCTGGTGGGGGGCAAACCTGGACCGACTCAACTCTTCTGGAATGGGACCCCGCACATTTCCGTCTTTTTGTAGGAAACCTTGCCGGCGAAGTCACGGACGATTCATTGCTGAAGGCGTTCGCGAAGTACACGTCCGTCCAAAAAGCCCGGGTGATCCGCGACAAACGCACTCAGAAGAGCAAAGGGTATGGGTTCGTCAGTTTCAGTGACGGAGATGACTATTTCAAAGCCGCGAGGGAAATGCAAGGGAAGTATATTGGGTCCCATCCTGTCCTACTCCGCCGCGCCACTACTGAGGTCCGTCCGGTGGCTAACGCAAAGAATGGTAAAAAGCACGGCGGTGGAGGTGGCTCGGGGGGCGGCCACGGTGGAGGAAAAGTCAAGCATGATGGAATTAGAAAGCCTGGAAAGACCAAGGGTGGGCTTAAAATCATCGGATAGTGCGCAGGTATCTAGACTGTATTCGTACGTTGAGCGTTCTTAACATAAAATATAATGATACACATTTGAGTTCTTTATATCAATGGTCAACTCCTGAAAATCAACATGCAGCATCAATTGCATCTCATTATCTCATCAAAGGAAATAGATACTTATATCTCAAATCTACCAAACATATGATACAATCCCATCAATCCACATAAAACATATGCACATCATAAAATCATGTCAACGTATCCCAAAATCGATATATAACCGCAGCTCAAGAACAATATGAACACCAATACTTTTCCAACAAAAGTCATCAATAACGGAAAGCAACATGAAAGGAATACCCAAAAGTCACATAAACTCATATCAAGCCATAAAACGTAACCAGAAACATAAACATAAACATAATCAGCATCAAAGTTCCTCGCATCGCAGTTCATGATCCCATAATCAAAACCCATCTGACCCGATATTTATAGGACGTATGTATAGTGTAGCGTAGCATAATATAGAAAGTCCGATCGGCAGTATCCGAGATAAATTAAGGGTAGTTGGAGAAAAACAATCCATAGCGGCTCGGGGGGGTTGGAATGCGTGTTCCGGTGGGGGGAGGGCATGGAGTCAATAGCCCGAGTCGGGTTGTGCCGAGGTATGAATGAATACTTGCGACATCGTGCGTCGTCAGATAAAAGTTGAGTAAAATCCAGAGTTCGGAAATTTTTATCGCAGACTATCCTCCTTCCTCTGCACTTTCTTCATCGACGGCTCTCTTCTTCGAGAAGAATGAGACGTGGTTTTGCATGGCGTAGATTCCGAAGCCGGCGACGGCGAGTATGAGGAAAAGGATGATGATAATGAGTGCGATGGCATTGTTCTTTTTCATCTTGGTGGTCCGAAGATATGTTTAATTATTTGTCTCGCAATTTAAGAATAGAATAAGGCCCCGTCGGAATTAAGATCACAGGGATAAAGAAGGACAGGTGAAGATCGGAACCAAAAGACCGATGGTAAACAATCGATCTATTCAATCGGGTTATCGATAAATGAGTTGGTGGGGTGAATTGATTTTCTCGAAATCCCCAGAAGCATTCCAAGGGATATCAGAGGGAGAAAGGAATGGAATGTATGGGAGTCTCCAGTATAAGAGTGGAAAACGAGGTAGCACGACGTGGCCCAGCCATGTTGATTTCAGTCCTTGTGGTGGTGGCTGGACGGATTGGAGATTAGCTTAGTATCCTGGATGGATCTCTCCATTAGTTGGAGGATTAGGGTGAGTGGGTCGATAAACACGTGCTGATTGGGTATCTGATACATAAGCTGTCGGGCTAATTATTAGGGGGCCCAGGTACCAGGGACTTGCTTGGGCCCAGCCTCCAGATTTTTGCCCTAACACGGGATGAGAACCTGCTTCGGTTTGCTGAGGTAGCCCCATCACAGCGCCTGTTTACCCTGTTTTGTGGTCAATGGGCAGACTTTTATCTAAAGTTAGTAGCTCGCTCGAGTGTCGATCTTCGTTAGATCGTGTACCGTTTTGCCTGGAGATTCGAAGTTGTCATGGGTTCAGGTGAAAGCGGGAGCCTTCAACAACCAGAACCAATCGATCAATTTTGAAGCTGGCTCTCTTGCATGCACGACATATCATTATGTAGTCTAACTACTCATTACAGTATTTCTGTATAAAGACGTGACTATACAACAGAGAATATTTGGACTTAACTTGATTATATATAGTATCACCAGCGTCTGCTCTTATTGTGCTTTTATGGGTTGTAATACGGAGTAACTGTAGGCGACGGTGGAAAGTCCATGGTTATGCGTGGTCTTTCCACGTTGTGCATCGCTGCCTTATGCAGTGAGCCTTGACTATACCTAGTTTATTTTAGTTTATATTTGCTTTGAAGTAGGGATTAGTACTCTATCTAATATACTGTTAACAGTCGACACGTGCGGGCCACTCTTTAAAGGAGTACACAGTTCATCTGAAGAGCTAACAGCATATTGCATTGAATTGCCAAATAAAAATAATCCCCAGTACGATATTCAGAGCGCGTTAAAAGCCATAGACAGCAGAATGCATGGTCGGTTCGCTAAAATGACAGAAATACCAAGATCCACTTAAATAAACCGCGTAATGGTACGAAAGCCCTGGTCGTTGATAACTATATCGCCTTCTGCTCCCGTAGGCTGCCGACTAAACATGGCTTTGAAAGGGATCACAAGAGGTCCTCCTGTAATTGATGTAGGCGTAATGATTACTTCCTGAATAGAGAAGGCGAGCTGGCTGTTCGCCTGCTGCCGGACAAGAGGGGGCATCAGGTTGGATTGTTGGCGTAGCTGATGGATTGCTTGCCTTGTAACGGGTCTTGGGATGCTTGAAGGCGCAAGCTGCCATTTCTCGAACGTGATTGTCTTAGTGACTGCTTTTATTGAGACGAGAATAACTATTCTGGTGTCCCCAAAGGAGTTTTGGAACCACCAAGTGGCGTCTCGCTGGAGCTTTGACAAAGACTCTGAAACGCCCGTTTCTATCACGAGCGACGGCCAGCCATTGAACTGGCCACCCAGAGGCTGGCGGTTGGGAGGGTAAAAACAGTCGTCCGGCTGTTTACCATGGGTAGTAACAGTGCCAGGTATCGTAACTGTATGTCCCCAAACAAGGTCGCTGTCTGCTACACCCATCCGAATGCACTGCCGATCGATGTAGTGGTCCACACTAGATGTGGTCAGACCATGTGGAATAGATGGGACTACTTTGATAAGTCCCATTGTCCCAATCCACATAAACCGAAACACGATGTCCGACAGGCAGTCGGGGGCATTGCTCAGCTTGTCAATGGCGGCTTGTGACATACCCCTGATAACTAGCCATTGATTTCCTTGCCAATCATTCTGTTCCAGCTGGCCATAGATAGATTTCACCACGCTCTGCAATTGCTTTAGGGTGGAGCATGACGAAAATGACCGGAGCTGGTAGCCTTGTGGCAAGCCAGCTCCAAGGTCGTACCTAGCACTGATCATAGTGGGGAATGACTCGCTCAGGGTAGGGGAAGTCGCGATAGAGAGGTCACGGGTATATTTACGCTCGAAGGGCTGTATTCACATACCATTCTCCATTAACACGAATATGCAGCGGATTGAATTAAGATTGAAACAGTGAATCCTGTAGTTTGTTCTCTACGGAGTAAATTAAGTGCCTTCGTAGGTAGTCGTCACCACCAAATCATACATGCGCAATCATGTAGTCGTAGTAATGTTGATTAGGGTTCAGGGCCGGATAAAATAATTATCCTATGTCAAAGCAAGCGATCCTGAAGAAACTCATGAATAGTTACTACCTAGGAGAGGTAAAAGGTCATAAATAAGCTCACGTCCAGCATGTGGTCGGCCTAGATGATCGTAATTCTGCAAGTTAAATGCGTGCAACAAGCCCTTCATCCGACGAGTACTCCTCCATATAAGTCTATCGACCACATTCAAGTAGAATACGGTTAGCTCTAGATCTAGATAAGGTGTAATTTCGGTATTAACTTACAACTGAGAATCTACTACTTTGTAAACTTTCAAAGTCAATCCCGTAGCTCTATACCTTATAGGAAATATATTCCTGGCTCGATCCACCTATAACGGGGAATTGTCGGGGTTTCCGTGCCTACAACAAACTGTAGAACCTGTGGTTGACTTCTAGAAAAGCTGCAGCGGTGACCTTAATTCCTTAACCAAGAGGGAAAGTGGGTCCGAGAAACACTATATCGTCCATCCTGAATGCCGTTTGCGATCCGCACAGCCAAAGCCTATTTGACCCCAAGTGGCCAATCCTCGTATTTGTCTAGATTATCAGGGGCTAGTATATACGGTATTATACGAAGGGGGACATATCTGGGGAATTTTACTCGAATTCAGCCTTTCTTGCTAGCCCAGCGTCCGTCTTCTGTCTTCTATGCTCGATGCTGCCCTGCGAAAAGAATGCAGCCATTATTAGTCTGCCAAATAGCCGTGCAACATGGCTCCCCTGGCAGGCGATCGCAAATCAGTCCTGGAGGGAACATGGGCCCTTGCTGCGGTAGCGATTCTGGTTATGATCCTTCGGGTTGTGGCGAAACTAAAGCTTCACCATTTCGGGAGAGATGATTGTGCAATGATTACAGCTCTGGTAAGAAGAGCATCTCAGGATTATAGGTAGTCAAACTCGACGAATAGGCATGGCTAACTAGTCAAAATTCATATAACAGCTCCTCGCACTCGTCGCATCTATCCTTTTCAGCGTTGCTGTCCTCGTCTACGGTTTTGGTGATGGTCTGGATACGCACAGCCACTCGGACCAGGTCAATGCTTTGAAATACTATGCCATTTTGCAAGTTTTCGGTATAGCCAGTACCTGTATGGGTCGAGTGGCATTCATCCTCTACCTGCTGCCTATTCTCTCGACGACGAAGGTCTCTAAGATCATTTTGCGGGGGCTTCTAGCACTGCAGGTGGTGAACTTCATTGCAATTATACTGCTCCTCACACAGTGTCGCGATATACGAGGCATATGGGATCCCCAGTTCGAGGAAAGAACAGAGTGCGTGGATGAATACGTTCAAATCTATTATGGATACTTCCAATGCTGTAAGTCATTCATCTCGAATTCCAGCCGGTTTTTTTCAAGAAAACTCAAAAGAAATCTAGCCTGCAACGGTTTAACCGATTTGATCCTCTCCGTCTACCCGTCCTATATCTTCTGGAATCTTAAATTACGACGCCGGGTCAAGATCAGCTTAGTGATTCTAACGAGTCTAGGTTTGATGTAAGTAGGGATCTGATCTGTGGCGGAGGCATTCATCAATCTTTGAAACTTGAAAGATACCTAATTCAAAGCTCACCACAAACAGTGCAATGGTAGCAACCATCATGAAAGCAACATATCTCGAGCAGATCATTACCTGGGGCAGCACAGCGCGCGCCATCGACCTCACATGTTGGGCGATGATCGAAAGCTATCTCGTTATCATCACCGCGTCGATTCCCTGTCTGCGATCGTTTATTGTTTCCTCCGCGCGACAGCTCTTCGCCAGCGACCATTCAGGTACCTTCCATCTTACCTCGTCATCTAGAAAAAGAGGCACTGCTCGCAGACTGCATTCGAGGCGATCAGGGCATAGAATGAAGTCCGGGGCTACACAGCCAAACCCTGAGGCCTCGGGTAGTACGCAGAATTTCTTTGGCGAAACGCCAATCGAGGAGATCGAGCTGGGTAGCAAGGCATCGGAGAATATCCATGAAAGTTTGGATGCGTCGGAAAGATCTAGAGGGGAATCGCTAAAAGTGTGAGCATTTCTGTTACTTGGGATGGGGACCACGATAGGGTGGATATTAAAAGGTAATTTTGAAAGGTCTTTCCTATGTAAAATAAGTTGACGAAGCCTGGTTTCTTTTAAGATGAGATCTTATGATACACAAACCTGCAAAGAACTGAACTACTCTATTTAAACAAGAAAAATAAAAAAGCGGCTTTATATGCATGATTTGACGCCACTGAAAACACCATATACAAATTCGCTTGCTATATACAACCACGACGATATCAAATCACTGTCCCCATCGTAGACTTGAACAAGTCCACCCGTTCCTTCATCTTCTGAATATTCTCATGACCCGCCACCGCAGCCGCTTCATAAGCCAGTCGATACGTATGAATGGCCTCAGTAAACAACGGCCGAACATCACGCCAACCAGTCACAGCCCTCAACTTCTCCGATCCCGTCCACTGCGGGAAATCAATCAAAGCCGGGGGCCACAGATTCTCAGCCGACGCCAACGACCCAGGCTCAACATACTTCACTCCAGCAGCGATACCATACTCAGCAACCAGATTCTTAGCAATCTCATCGACGGTCTCGTATCTCCGCGAGGAGATATTAAAGATCTCCCCCTCGACCTCCTCTCGATGCGGATGTCCCGCAATAGCAACATAGGCATCTCCACAGTCATCAACATGAAGCGCATGACAAATCGAGCTAGGCGACACAGGTATCAACAACGGTTGTTTCGCATCGACACTCTGGGCCGCAGCCTCGAAGAATCCCCGATAGTAGCTCGCCGATCTACCGTATACGTTCGTCGGTCGGACAACAACAGGGGAGAAGACATCCCTGTGTTCGAGGAACTTCAACGAGTGATATGTTCTATCGGCGAGGATACCCGGAGGGTTAAGAGGGCTTTCTTCAGTATGGGGTGCTAGCGCAACATCCCCGTCATAATGAGGTCCTATGCCGTAGTCCTTGCAGCCAGATGAGAAGAGGACAATTGGACGGACGCCGTTCGCAGAACTAGCTGTGGCCAAGGTTCGCAGGAGATGGATTGTGTTGTTGTAGTGCGGGATGTAATCGTTGATGTTTTCTGTGGTGGAGATGATGGCGTCTAGTGTTTGTGGAAGTGCGTTACGGATGGTTTCGTGTGAAGCGGTGTCGTCGATGCTGCCGATTATGGGGATGATTTCTTCCACGGCGAGGGATGTTGCTGTGGCCTTGGATCGGATGAGTCCGTATGTGATCCAGCCGGCTCGGACGAAGGCGCGGGCTACGGCATTGCCGATGTAGCCGTTGGCGCCGGTGATGAGGACTTTGGGCATGGTTGATGGGATTTTTTTTTTGTGTTGTCTAGTTGGGGATATGGGGATTTGCTCTGTATAGTATGGTTATGGATGTGTTGTTGAAGGGATATTGTAATATGATGAATCTCTTATAGATGTGAACATTGATGTATTAGAAATCCAAGTGGATGCTGGTTACAAATCCATGGTCAGATACTGATGTAAATTTATTGAATGCTGGGGTTGGGGCCAAAATGATTGTTATGACACACACACACATATATATATATATACTTTAGTAACAGATGGATATGGGAGTTATTAACAAGAAACTCATGGAATCTATCTATAATTGTACCGGTAAATAGTAGGCGCTTGTGAAAGTCTGTGCTGCTTATTCACCTCATCAACTCATATTGTTTACAATTGACTCTAGTATTAATATAGTACTCTTTCCTTCAACCTCTAACCGTCGCCTGATGTATCCTCCCATAACTACTGGAGTTAAAGCCCTAATGAAATATACATCTTTAGTGGAAACCGTCCTTGATATAGAGCTATTAGTACATTTTATTATAATTATGCCATATAATACATTAGACAGGCTTGAGCATGAGAAAAACAAAGACAAAGGATCCGAACCATTCTACGCCTGTGCCCCCCTTTTGGCTTTCCTTGTACTAAACCACTTCTTGATATCCCTTATGCCATGCAGATAAAGCCACGAGAACACATAAACAGCAGCAAAGTTAAACATGACAAATGCCCAAAAGATACCCTGTTATAAGTAGAAACATCAGCTTAACTGGAAGCTAATAGAGAATGACCAAGTGGAAGTAAGGAAATTTTAGACTTACATAGTCTCTCCACTTGTGAGAGTAATATACATTGAAGCTTTCGGCGGCCTTGTAAATAACTCAGTATATGTGACATTCAATAAAAGAACTCGGGAGAAGGGGACCCGACTTACAAAAGTATCGCCATCCGAATACGGACAGTAGGAGCAAAGTCCATTGCCCGCATCTTGCACGTAACCTCCAGCTTGCTGCGCAAAGGGACCGGCATAACTTTGGCAAGTCTCTCCTGGCGGCGGGCTGAACTGAGACACTTCTCTCGAGACACATCGCAACGGGACATTATGGGTTACAACTCCGAGAAATCCTTCCAGGAGGTAGTGGAACGGGGTGAGCCAGTACATCCACGACCGCCAGAAGTGGATCAGAGCCTTGTACGGAACAACAACTCCGCAGAAGGATACGACAAATATAAAGAAACAAGGTACGAGGAGGGAGGCGAAGAGTTCGTTAGGGGCAAGGGCGGCAATGAACTGGCCGAATCCCACATAGAACATCTCAAAAAGCATTAGAAGCATCCAGACATAGCCCGAAGAGAATGAGTCTCGGGGGAACCAGACGCCCCAGTACCTGTTATCTGAATGAGCGCAGGTGTACTTTTGGCTAGGGGTTGGAATGCCATGCGTACCAGCAATTGAAGTAGATAGAACCGGCAACGATTGAATACGGCAGTTCGGGGAGAATAGCACTAGTTACAAATGCAACCCATGAGTATATCTTGGAATTTGCCTCGCGAGACTCGTATAGATTCCGGAAATGGAGGAACCGCGGCTGCAGTTGCTGGATTAGTGGTGGCGCTATAGTGAGTGTCATAAATATAGAAAACAACCGAGATTGCATATCAATGTAGCTGTTTCCTAAGTGCCAGAAAGTGAAAGTATTGAATAAACCTGTAAATATGTGTAAAAGGAACTTTCCCTAGTGAAATGGTTAGCAACCCGTAGAGGGAGAATCTTGGGGCCCGCATACGAGATTGTATTCAGGAGATCTCCAGTAAGCAACAAAGGCACGTTTTGTTACTGCTACGACCTGCACCCCGATGGGCATAGCATACTCGCGGCGATCGTCATCATTGTCTCCCTCATTCTTATTCCGGCGTGATTGAATGATGCTCTCAATTTCCTCCGTCAATCGCTTGTTCTCAGAGCTTCTGGCCCAGACTTCGGACCAATCTTGGCCTTCATAATCAGGATTACCGGCACCGATGACCTCAAGCATGTACTGAGAGGTGTGTTAGTTCGAATAGTATTTATTTCGTGGCAGATTATTGGGTACAGTACCTCTGCAGGATTCGCATGGGGGGGACACTTCTTGCCTCCGTTCCGCTCGAAGTAACTAATGAGTTTGCTGGAATCTTGCCCCAGCTCACCATTATAGACAACCTTGCCCCCACTTTGCAACAGTAATAGGTCGTCAAAGTGCTCGAACAACACCGCAGAAGGCTGGTGAATTGTACACAGAATTGCCTGACCAGCGTCTGCAAGCCGTCGAAGGAAGCGCACAATATTGAAGGCGGCCAGAGAATCAAGACCAGAGGTTGGCTCGTCCAGGAAGAGCAATAGCTGCGGTTTACTTGCTAATTCAACGGCTATGGTCAGTCTCTTACGCTGTTCTTCACTCAATCCGATACCCCCAGAGCCAACGGTAGCTCCTGCAATTGATCTCATTTCTAAGAGGTCAAGAATTTTCTCGCAATAGTCATATTTTTCGTGAATGGGTACCTCCTTAGGCTGACGAAGAAGCGCTGAAAACCGCAAGGATTCTCTCACGGTAGCTGTAGGCTCATGGATATCCATCTGCTCGGCAAACCCAGTTGCTCTTTGGAAGCTTCTTGGAAGAGGCCTAAGAGAGAAAGTGAGTTAGAGAAACAGAGAAGCAGAGAAGCAGTGTATATAGTACTCACCTCCCATCAACTAAGAACTCACCAGTAACGACACCAAAGTTTATTCGTTGGGCCAATGTGTTGAGAAGTGTAGTCTTCCTATTCAATATCGAATTAGTCAGTAAACTTCCTCATAACTAGTTACGGTCTTGATGATAAACATATAACTGACCCTGCCCCAGAAGCGCCCACTAGAGCTGTAAGGCGTCCAGGCTTGACATAGCCCTGCACATCTTGTAAAAGCTGTTTCTCTCCGCCTTTGTACGGGATTGTATAGTTCACGTTTCTCCAAGTAAATATTGATGTACTCCGAGCAATGCCTGTGACCTCTCCAGAGCCATCTGACATAGATTCGTTCATGTTACCGCCAACTCCCTTCTCTTTATTCCCAGTTTCCACGTCCTCTGGCAGTTCCTTATTCTCGAGGGCTCGTTTCACAGTTTCTGGCTCCTCGCCTCTTTTGAATATAGTAGCGGCACTACCCCCTTTGTTGGGCTTTTGAAGCTCCATTCCAAGCATGGTCAATGCAATGAACAGAGCTAACCACGCGATTATGATACCGAAGTTGCGCCACAAATGAGACCTACTGTATGTAAATGCGCTCTTGATGTAATTGGAACCCCTAACAATTAGCTGGTTGACACCACTCCCTTGAATGGCGCAGGTTTGGTGTCCAGAAGCTGCATTCGGACCATCCGGTACAATGCTCGGTGGCTCACATTGAATGTCCAAACTATAAAATTCGTTTGACATAATCCCTTCAAAAGCATATTGTACGGGATTAATCCAGATAAGCCATTTCAGCCATGGGTGCATTTTCCAAGGTGGTATAAGATAGCCTAAAGCAAAGTAGTCAGATAGTTGCTTAGAAGCACGATCCTTTCTAGTCTTACCTGTGTAGACGATGAGTGCTTGGATAGCAACACCAGTAACACGCGTGGCTTTTAATATCAATAAGCATCTTCTTCATCGAAATAAGGAGAATAAGGAGAAGAGCTTCTAGCATACCAATGTCAAGGGAGCCGCATAATGCTCCTATAGTGCGAAAGAAGGAGTACATAGTCATCGTCAGGGTGAATATGAACAGAAAATTGATGAAGAACTGAGAAGCGGTTCTTGAAAGGTTGGCCATGCTAGACATACAATTAGTAACTTAGCCATGTGAGTATCCTCGAGTTTAATTGGACGTACAAATATACAATCAGCTCAAACAGCGTAACTTGGACGAATATTATGGGAATATCAACGATCACCTGGGCCAGAGCGAAAGCAGAAGGTCGATAGAAAGAGCTGAGTCTGTCAGCATTTTGCTAGAATCGAAAAACATCCTTTATACATACAAGCTTTTGTGTTTTAAAATAACTGGTCGGGTATCGAAAAACGCCGTTAGTTCGGCCATCGCAAGTAGAGCATTAAAAAGTAAAACATAGAACATCACACCCCCTCTTGTGAATACGCCGGCACTAAATTGGATATCAGCTGCATATATACCTCAAGAAAAAATATGTATCATACTAACTGACCTTGTCTGGGGCAAATCATAGAACAGTGAGCCAGTTATGAGGGCTTGTCCGGTCAAGATCACCCATTTACCTATTAGGGTCGTCTTGTCGCCATACATGATGAGAAATTGACGATGCGTTAGAATAGCAACCTGGTGGTAGAATGAAACAGTGTAGTTTTTCTTCCTCGATTCTTTTCTGGCAGCTTCGCGTTCCTCTTTATGAGACTCTAGTTCTTCCTCGAAACCTTCATTGTCAGCTAGGGTGGCCTTATAGACATCACTCTTGCGGTAGATTTTCCGAAACTCTTCTGCAGTTCGAGGGATTCGGTCTTCCCATCCCTGCCGGACACGACGAGCTTGTGGGTCAGTGACCGATAACAAAAAGTCTGGGGTCGTCCACCTAGGGGCGCACTCGAACCCCAGGCTCTCAAAATAGTGGCGGGCAGACTCAGCACGGCCGTAGTAGACACATTTGCCTTCTTCTATGAAGATCACCTTATCGAAGAGTTTGTATAGGTTCTCAGAAGCTTGATAAAGAGCGACAAGTGTGGAGACGTGTGCCATATCAGTCAGGCTTCTCAAGCTTTGCACATACTCCAGTGCTGTACTTGCGTCGAGTCCCTTCGTTGAATTATCCCAAGACTGGGTGGATGCGCGAGTCACCATTGCCTCTGCAATAGAGACACGCTTCTTTTCACCTCCAGAAATTCCGCGGATTAGCTCGTTGCCCACCTTTGTGTCAAGGGCATGCTCAATCCAGAATAGCTTAGCAATGGCAGATAAGAATGTCTCCTGATACTCTTTTCGAGACTCCCCGGGGAGGCGTGATTCCTTATCCGGAGTCCGAGTCTTCAAAGCGAATAACAAAGTGTCCCGTACCGTCAAGGTTGGGTAGTGAAGATCATCCTCGGGATTGTAGAGCACTGAAGCATCTGAGTGGGTGGTCTATTCATCTAGAGGTCCAAACTGGGGAGAGTTACGACATACCCTCAGAGCGGTACTTATCCGCCATAGTTTGAGCATCGGTACCCCCATAGCGTACGTCACCTTTGACGCTTTTGTACCCTGATCTTTGGTTCCCAATCGCTTTCAAAAAAGTTGAGCACCCCGAGCCGGGCCGGCCAAGAACCAGCAGCATTTCCCCAGGCCGCACGCAACCCTGTCAAAGAATATGTGAGATCTCTATTGCCCGGCCACCATACTAGTGACTTACTGTAAAATCATCTATGATAGTGCGCAATGGGGGTTTATTCCTGCCACGAGTTAAAAGGCTCTTGATCTTTCGAGGCAAAGCAAGGAGGATCTCTGCGTTCGTTGGTTGAATGGCAGCACCCTAAAATGTATAAGAGCTTTGCTTTGCATTTGCTTCAGCGTAAAGAGTGAGAAATTGCTTACAAGTCCAACACCCTTCACAGTTAGGTGCTTCCATACGACCCCAAGATGCCTCGTCTTTTCTTCGTCGGAGTTACTCTTCCTCTCATGACCAAACATTCGCGAAACAAGTTTCATGATCTGAGTCATATCCTCGGTCTCCCCTTCCGTATCTTCCTCAGATCCTCCGGTACGTCGCCGAGAGAGTACACGTACGATCTCATCTTCAGTGAGGCGTCTGTTCAACGATCCTGACTGACTTGGCTTTTCGGTCTCATTGAACTCTGCATTCTGGGCTGGGCTTGAATCTGAAGATATACTAGAGCTGGAGGCTGACACAGATGACAGATCAGAGGCAGTATCTCGAGATAGGTGTCCTTCTGGCTGCACGTCCATCATGACGTTGCTATTGATGGTATTCTTGTGTCAAAATTGATCTTCTATCATTGGAGGTTAATTCTGACACTCGTAACCATATGTGCCGAGTCTAAAGAATAATGGAATAACAAATGGTTTAGAATTAGTTTCGGTGATATTAATAACCGTGCATGGAACCATAGAAAGTGACGAGAAACGGTATATGATAAAAGGGAACTGAGATTGTACCCAATTGAAACCAGAGAAATGGAGACTAAATACGTCAGAATATTGTATGGAGACAACTATTACGCATGATGTATATCAGATGTGGAATGAAAACCTGTCTCACCTTTCTTTTTCCTTTTCCATTTTTTATAGTGGCTCTCTAACCGCCTGGTGTCGTATATGACAGGTGCGGATGTAATGCAAATATCCATCCGATATGACAGCAGAGCAATCGGACGTTCTGAGGCCCGAGGTTCCGAGCCAGGGTTGAACGTGGGAAGGAATTTCAATTGCGAGAGGTTCATAGTCCTTCGTCCATGGTTGTCGATCACTATGAAGTCATTGTCCCTCGATGGCGAATGTTCCTTGGGTTCCGACTCGGTCTTAATCGGAGGTTTTCCTTTATTCCCGATTTCGAATGTAAAGCGATCGAGAACATTTCTAATTCAACCATGGCCTTCTATGCGCATTTGAATGACATCTTTATTAATCAATGCATAAGAATGTCCGATTTCGAAGAACAATCGACGGGAATGCAGCTCCGCCTAAATAGGCATCTGTCGTTGTTCTCGCCATTATCAAGAGACTGTTGATGACTGCATCACTCCCGCCATATGTCATATTGGGAGGAATCCCAAGCCTCACTCGGGATAATGGCAGATATCTATCAATGGTCCAAGCATGTGCCAAATATTATAGAGAAAGCCACATCGGGTGAAAATTACCGAGAAAGGACTCACCTTTCATGGTTGGTATCTGCAGCATCAAATCCCACGGTATGACCTCTGATGCTACCAGGTAATTAACCCCACCAACCAAAGGCTCGTTGAATAACCTCGCACGCCAGTAGTGACTTGTAGTGACGAGTTTATGGACAATCTCGGCGATGCTAGCCTGAGGTGTACTACATAGTCAGGTAGACTCAGAGCCTAGACGTACGGCATTTATAATACTCGTGACGCAAGTGAGACGACGTTCGCAATGGTAAAACCCGCCAGAAGCATCCAGAAGTGGAATATATGGAGTATGCAATGACGTTCAATGCGTAAGTTTGGACATCCCAATGGCGATACTCGCGGGCTCACAGACTAGCAGGATGGTCATAATCTCGATGGCTGCTCCATCGTGTTATAGCTCTCCTTCTGGGGCCTTTGTTCTACTAAAAGTATCAGGTCCTCGTCTATCAAGGGGACTCACAATGATACCCTAAATATGACCATTTTAAGTTTAATCTATCTTGGTTAGGAAAACTCACAATCAGGTTCCACAGGTCTTGATAGCTAGACCTAAACTAACTACGCACGAATATTTTATTTAAGGTTGAAGGAAAGATGAACTCTAATGATTCACCTATAGTACAGGTTGAATGATGAGGTAGAAGCGGAGAATACAATACCGCCTGGGTTTGCGCTTGGTCGGTCACTTCCCTAAAGTGAAGTGGGCGTGGAAGCTGCAATTGTCATTGAATCTAGTATCTATCTCCTTATCTCAGGCAGCAGGCTTCACAGTGTCTGGCTGTCCTTATAGTAATGAGATGCCTTGCCTTGCCAGTGATTCATCTCTTAGATATAAATTCTATTTATGTTTGCCCGTGCTGTTGCAAAGGGGAGGAGATGTATGGGCTATCAACGTCCGATGTAGAATCTTAGAAAATCTGGCTTAACTGTGCAGGATAGTATAGTCGCATTGGGACTGCATTGGATAAGTTCACATATACGGACAGTCACATTATAGTTACACATTAACTTGAAGTTGAGAAGATGTACAGTAAAATATTCCAAAAATCGAATCTGACCAGGGTTGCAGTCATACTATTTTATTTACTGGACTATATGTCGAGTCCCATAACACTACACCCACAATGTTCTGGCAAAGATTTCGTAGGTACTTCGATTGAGAAGGCAGCAACAAACTTTTGGAATGTGCTGGTAACAATGAAAGCATTCATTTTTGTGACTGCAAATGGCGCGCGTGAGCAAGTATACAGAGGATGGTGTGTGCGTGTGAATATGGTATGGCTATCCGAAATACCCAACTCACGGGCCGGAGGATGATGGTGGAGGGGTAGGACCCGAAGGCCCAGTGAGATTAGAAACTGTGAGGGATTGCTGAGGATTCCAGGGCTTGGAGGCTCCAGTAGGCTGACTTGTTGACGGGCTATTGGATCCTTCAGGAGCGGCCCCTGAATGATGACCATTCATCAGACGTGGGCGCTTGGCTTGAGGCCCTGCATTGGGACTTCGGGTGACATCATGTGGTAAGTATGGAGAAGCCTGTTGGCTAGAAGATGCAGATGGGCCCCCTGTCTGGATTGGTGACGGGGCAGGTGGGCTCATAGCCGCTGGGGGTTGCAGTATTCTTGACCTGGACATGCTTCCCGAGTCATCACCAACACGTTTGCTATCCCTATCCGCAGTACCATAATCATCCAAAACGGGACTAAAGTGTCCCACACCGACACGGCCCATGCTCTTGTCATGCATCACCACGCGTTTCCACTTTGCTACCACACTATCATAGTCCCAGCGGGAGGAATCGGGGCTGATCTTGCTTTCTTTGGTGTCCAAATCTCGAGCTACATCCCGAGGTAGAGGTAACGTGTCTGGAGGAAAGAGAGCAAACTCCCTTGGCCATTGACATGAGCCTAATCTTTCTACTTGGGCACGAAGCTGATTTGCTTCTTGTTGCACCCGCGCTAGCTGGTCATCCAATGACTTGCGCTTTTCCATCTCTCGGGCGAAAGCTCGGGTAATCTCGAGCTGCCATGCGTCTCGCCTCGTGTCAGAAGTGAGCGAAGCCCAATGCTTGAATGCCAACTCTAGATGCCGCGAACTGATATCTTCATGCTGTTGCGCACTTCGGGCGATCATGGTCGCATCCAGACCAATACTTGGCCTTCCCGACTGAGAATTGCTCATAGAGTCGGTAGAAAGTTGATCTGACTGCCACTGATCGATCTTAGCACGAAGAGCCTGGCGAATGATCTCAACATGTTCTACACCAGGAGGCTGAAGCGGGAAAGAAGAAGGCGACGGGAACGGGCTAGTCGCGAATAAGCTTGGAGGCGGGGGTAGCAGTTGCAGACAGAGTGAAGGAAACGTTTGCGACTGAATATCAAAGTCGAATGGCGACAATCGAGGGCGCATTCTTGAACTGTTATCCGTATAATTGGTCAGTGTACCGATACGCAACAGGGCAACTGGAAAAGCCCATGGCAAGCAGCGCCATAGAGTGGAAAACGTACGTTGCAGCCTTGATATTGTCCAATACTTCCCGCAAAGCCAGCTCCAGCGCCCTCATCGTATCAGGATTGTTAGCGCTAGCGCCTCTGCTCGCATAATCAGGGAGGGGCTTAGGGGCCCGAGTTTGCGAAGCGGAAAACCGTGATGTGTTGGAAACATCCTGCGACTGACTAGGATTTGGAATATCGTTGATGACACCAGTCGCATGCCAGGTGGGGGTGTTAAACATCATTCTAACACCATCGCGTGGCTTCGCACCTGAGTCACCCGCATACGGATCCAACTGGCCTTTCCCTATGATTCGTTCAGGAGTGTCCCGTTTCCCAGACGAGGTGCGAGCCTGTCGTCGAGTGATGCCGCTTCGAATGCGCCGGATTTCCTCAACATCATGAACACCGTCTGGTTTCTTCTTGAAGAGGAACTGGTCGAGGTGACGGCCTAGGGAAGACGAGGTAAATGCCTGGTGACAATATTGACACTTCCGATCTTTGGCAGCTGCGTTCTTTGCAGCACCCGACTGCGCGTTATCATCTGCCCCAGCAGAACCTTCCGGGGTATCTGTCGGACGATTAGACACGCTTTCTTCCATGTTCCACAAAGGACGCTATGGTTGTGGCTGCAGGTAAATGTAGAATCGCGGTGGGACGGAGCGAGACGCGTTCACGAAACAAAGGATAAATCGCCTTCCAACAATATTACCCAGTTCAAGGCATGACAAGAATCAAGCATGCGTAGACGCTGGCGGTGAAGAGGCTATGGGGTAGGTTATTAGAATGCAAGGGACTCGGCAAGCCACAGTATCATCGAATGGTAGAGTGGGCAGAGAGGAGCAGAGGAGACCGACCAAAGGGAGAGGAGAGAAATAACGAGGGAACGTGACGATCAACCGACCGCCAAGCTTTTTGTTGTGGGGGACATTTATTTCAGCCTCTTATTTCTCCGATTAAGACAAGCTCCTTCCTGACCACCACTTGGAACGATAGAGAGTATGGTTCGAGCGTGTTCTTTCAATGGAAACAGATTTATGAGATAGTATACAATACTTCTCCCCCCCTTGCATCGGGGTGTAACAACTACTAAGCATACAAAGCAATGCGGAAGCTAGTCGTGACTAGTCACCCCGATGGCACTAGCCACAATACTCGACCAACAGAGGCAGATAGAAAGCTCAAGGTATAATCGATTTATTTAATTTAAGCTTAATCAGGCTAAGACGATGGATAGTATTGAAAATGCCACTGGTATAGACATTGAGAATTCCACCAGCATCATTATCACCAATTCTACTATCACACTGTGTCCTCACGCATTCTTCGAGCACACTAGACCAACAGATTCGCCAAAGCCAACCATGCCACTTAGTTCTGGCTAATTTCGGACTGCAAGCTCACCTCTTGGCTGATGTAGTCTGCTAAGGTCAACATCTTTTCCTCCTCCAGTCGTCGCCCAACTAATTGAAGACCGGCAGGAGCACCATCGTAAGCTTCAGGATCATCTATCTAGATGTTAGTAATTCTGGAACATGTCAACTTATGCGAAAAGAGCTCACATTGCTCATGAACAATCTTGTCCACCTCACTCAGGAAATCTTCCTTCGGTTGAGGCAAATCAACCTTTTTGTCTGCATGGGTTACCGGGAACACGACGCTCGTGTAGTCCAAGAGGTTAACGAACGCGGTATACCCGACATGGGCATACTTATGGGGCATCACTGCAGCGTGGGGCGCACATGGGCAGATCACACCGTCGACAGGGCGCCCGGTACCGGTTATCTCAGCCGTACTGTTCCAGTAATCCATGTAAAGCTTTTGATATTGCCGCTTTTCCACATTGAGTGCAGCGATTTCTAAGGCATTCATGTGTGGAATTCCCTCCCCCACAATACATTGGAGAGATTTTGGCTCTCCTGACAATCCAAGATGGTGTGCTATGTCTGCTCCACCATCAGCCACGCAAACTCTACCCTACTATGGTCAATATCACTGACGTTAGGTAAACGAGAAAGATTAGGAACTTACAAATATGTCTATGCCAACTTGGTGGGCAGGGGGTTTCCAATCGATCACCTATGATATATGTCAGTATATATATCTTGGTATACCTCTTGACCTTCCAGGCTTTCCGTTACCTTATGACCCAATCGCTTCAAAGTTTGCTCGACAATCTCGACAGCCCTCGCTATTGGTGGATGAGGCTGGACCATGCCATCGTGGCGCATAATAGCAAATGCAAGAGAAGAAGAACCGTCAGCTGATTTCCTTATCAGCGCTCGAGTCCTTTCTTCAATATCCGCCCTCCAGGGCAGCTCCAGCACAAGTGGGTCATGGTACCATGGCTGCTGACTGAGAACAGCCTTGAACAGTAGTGTCAGAGAACGTGCGGTAGTTGCAAGTGGTCCAACGACCGATAAAATCAAGTTTTGGCCGTCAATTGAGTTTGCCGCGCCCTCGTAGGGCATTCTTCCGGACGATGGACGAATCCCGAAAAGTCCGCTGAACACAGCTGGGATACGTATGCTCCCGCCGATATCAGTTCCAAAGCCACCGGGAGATCCTTTCAAAGCGATCAGTGCCCCTTCACCACCCGAGCTACCTCCACTGGAAAGCAGTCGGTTTTTAGGATTCCACGTATACGAGATGATGTTGTTGACGGTTTCACCTGCCATCAAGGTTGCAGGCACGCTCGTCTTGCAGTACAATACCCCTCCTAGATTCCGAAGTTCCTTGACGAGTTCACTCTCGAATGTGGCCCGCCTCGAATCATCCTTCTTGCCTTGAAACGTTCCGATCCATCCTACGTAGCCCATCGTCGTCTCGACACCTTTAACATGGAATTGATCCTTCAAACTGATAGGCAGGCCATGCAGCGGTCCGACCGGCTTCTTATGCTCTGCAAAGTATGCATCAAGTCTCTTTGCGTCCTCGATTGCAGCGTCGAAAAATACTTCATGCAGGCAGTTCACCTACAGTAACCATTGAGTACCGTATCAGACAGTGAGAACCAACATGAAAACATACAAGCTGGTGTGCAAGTGCAGCCCTGTGACAAAACGCCTCGGTCACTTCAACAGCGGTCCAACTGCCAGAAGTTGTCTGCTCTGTAATCCCCACCGCATCAGTCTCGGTTATCTCTATTTCTCGTGGAGTCAAGAACTGTTGAATATAAGCGCCGGTCACATCACGAAGTTCATCCGCCGGGGGGATAGGATTCTCAAATCTCCATTTGGCAGGAATCGCCCCCAAGATGGATCGGCGTTTGAGGTCCCCCAATTGTTCATAAGTAGTGTTAGTCATAGCTATTAAGCTAGTGGGGATCGATTTTGGGGAAGGTAGGAGGAATATGATGTCGCGCTATGAAACACATCAAAGGAAGCTTTATAAAGATCCGGGGGGGGGGTTGCTTGCTTATTTATAATATTCGTCTTATCGCCCTAATGCTCTGTTGAGACGGCAAATGGGATACCTACCAGGTCCTAGGAGGGGACGGTGCAACGCTGTTGGTGTTCTGAGCTAATTTGACGGTGGGGTTGCGGGGCGGATTCGTATCGTTTATTGATTCAGCGTCTCTGTTGAGATGCAGTGAAACAGATTGAGTTATATGTTACATGTTCTGCTTCTCTGCCGGTGTCGGGCTTGGCCAAAACTGCGGTTATTGATTCCGTTTTGTTATGGACCTCGGCTAACCGATTTCAAGCCATATTTGACCTGGACGATCATGCGCTTGTATACAGATATCTAAATAAACGTAAAGTCTGAATGCAACAGCACCAACGATGACCGAATTCCGTTATACATGTAAGCGAAGCCACCTGAACGTACTAAATTCATTGTACAGTTACCAAAGATGCCCATCATCCAACAACCGGAACATCTGATGATTCTCATAGAACCACTCTCCCAGCTCCATCCCCGTTAAGTCCATTTCCATATTATTATTAAAATCAGTCTGCGCGGGCGTGGAAGCGTACATACTGGGCCCATACCCAGGCATCTGTGTCAATAGCTGCTGGCCACTATTGACCCACGAGTTAGACAAACCAGCCTCAGACACACTCTGTAGAACTCCAGGGATAGAAGAAGCCTGACCCGGGTTCATCGATGATGACTGAATAAGCATGCTAGGCCCTATGGAACTAGAATTTGCAACATGAACACCCATGCTGCTGCTGCTTGGTACATTCATTCGTACTCTGGGAGTGCTGGCCTTCACCTCTACGTATTTTCTCGCCACGTCATATAGGGCTCGAAACAGGCGGACCTGATTTCTGGAAGTTTTGTAGGTAACTGTGGAACGAACTGACTGGAGTACCTCGACAAAAGCGCCGAGACACTTCAGGTCGTCGGGCTCAGATGTCTCGACGATGTAGCAGAAAAGGACTATGAAAGGAAAGAAAGGAAATTGGAGTAGGGTCCTGGTCAAATATGTTCAGCAGTTTAGTTCATTTGGTGGGTAACGAATGACTAACCAGTTGATGTACACTTCCAGGAAACTCTCATGCCAAGGGCAACTGAGGATGAGGGCAATACATTTTTCATGCTCTTCGAGGGCTTCTCGTGCTGTAGCTATGCATTCGTCACAGAAGGCAGTTCCCGATGGTTTTTCAGGAGGGATTGCTCGATAGATGAGTGATAGTAGAGATAGATTCCAGACCTTATCTGAACGCAGAATAATCTCGTGGAGATCGTCTCCAATGGCACGGCGTCTTTCGTTGTTGTATCTTCTCTAAAATAATCTATTAGTCTGGACAACTAGATCATGATCAAGCCTGCGAATTCAGCATAGGTATAACTCTCGCATATTACAATGGTGGGGTAGAAACGCCGGAGCATACCTCTAATTCATCTTCAGAATCCATGAGTTTCTTTACCTCGGCCGCCAGAGCCCTTGCACGGGAGATTCTGATATCTACCGGCTGCATCAGAGCACTAGGGCTATAGATATCGTCGTATGTCTTCCCCTGGATTTTCGCTAAATCAATCCACTTAGGTACTAATAGAGACTCCATACTCTGCTCGAAAGCCATCCGCGGTATCGTGATGTCTTCGTCTCGAAAAGTGGACGATCGTCCCAGTCGTAAGCACAACGATTTTTCCGTGAGAAACACGGCCCAAAATAGACGAATCTTTTTGTTCTTAGTTTCTGAGTCGTCGGTGCTTAGAGCGTGGGCGCTATGAAGGCCGAGCGTTTGAGATAGATGAGATGCCGTAGTAATGAAACTCCATGCTACTGATGGCTTGGCCATTTGGAGACAGTATGTTGCCTTGGGGTAAATTTAGCACATGCTGCTTATTCGACAAGGGGAAATGAGGTTAAGGGATTGGGCGAAAAAGTCCATAAGCTTACAGCAACATTCATAGCAAAGACAACATCAATGGTGACTGGCATATGGAATGGGAGATTTGACAAAACTGTCTCGAGATTATCCCGGCACCGCATAGCCTGGTCCATATAGTTCTCCTTAACTTTTTGATCTACAAACAGGCTAGCACACTCGCAGTAAAGCCAGTAAAGGCCTCCGTTGACTATTATCATATCAGCATCTGTGGCTGGGCCAGGGGAGTAGACTCTTAAAAAGTAATCGTTGAATTGCGAAATAGATATCAATTCGATAAGCCAGAAACACTGAACTCTGGGTTGCTCTATCAGTGTTATAGTGAGTTAGTAAAAGGCACAAGCACTATCAAGATGAAGGGTTGCACCTTTGGCCATCCGTAAACACGCAAGAGTCATTTCAACTGGGGGCATAGTAAGGTGCCTTATACTAGAACCAGGAGGTATTGGTTTAGCATGTGGGTAAAGATTGTCAAGGGTGTCCCTTTGCTGTTTCAAGTCTTCGATTATGCCATGTAGCGTATCAAGAATCGAGGTCATCTCCTGCGCGATCTGGGGAGAGTTTGTGTTGCTAACCACGTCCTGAAGATACCTCGTGGCAAAAATGGCGTGGGCAGACAGCGACGATCCGCCTTCATATTCGGTTTTGGAGGCTACAGTAGAGCTTCTCAAGTCATTCTTGACTAGAGGATGAGACACTGATATTGATGGACAAGTTTCTGGGCCCCGTTCACCCACAGGAGATGGTTCGATAATCGCAGACTGATGGGAGCCCGGCGGGATGAATGAAGCATTGCTCAACGTGGCCACCTTTTGGCTGAGCTCATCCAGCTTCTGTACCATGTATTCCATTCTTTGCTCACTTATTGATACTGAGTGAGTGCTCATAAGAGATCCGGTCATATGGCGGAGTACTCACTACTGGGCAGAAATCAATACCCGTTGCCTTTTTTCTCTAGATTTATAGCGCCCTGAGTACATACATCGAGTCTTTGCACGAATGCATTGTGAACAGGGGGTCGAGCGATCACAGCGAATCTGAAAAATGAAAGGAAGTATCTGAGTGGCGTAATTCTACAGATTTAGGGAATATGGAGCCGCCTACTTTGCGCTGTCGACAGCGGTTACACTAGCATGGGTTAACAAGCGATCTGATGAAGGTTGTACAGGGAAACAATGCCGGAGTGAATTCGTACAGCTCGTGCTTGGCACTCTAGTGGTCTTTCATGCTCTTCTTTCTGAGGGTTATCCAGAACGGAAGCGTCATCAGTCACGGAGTCATCGGTATCCCCCTCCATCTGTGCGGAAGTAATAGAACTCGGAGTAAAGAGGCTTTCGGAGACGCTATCAGTAGTATAATGGGGAGTATAGAAATACTCCTGAGTGGAGTGAACATAGGAGTTGGCCTGCTAGGGGAGATTGAGAACGGACTATTCAATGAAGTCTGGACTCGAAGTATATGGGACTTGCCTAGGATTCGTTAGTTGGTCGGCCTTGCGGGATGCCAAGGACCCGTACTCCGGCGTCCGGAAACGGGCTCTTGGCATCCCGCAAGTCCGTCTGACGGCCTTATTATGGTTGTTCGTAGAGAGCATGGAGTATATCCATGCTGTAGAATCTTACCATTGTGTCCACATGCCAGTTCAGCCACCGTAGCACCTTCTTGGTTGAATATGACGATTGGTAGGGACACTCCTTATTCCTCCACTGTGGTCATTTCTTTTGACTTTTTGATCCGGCAAATTAGTTTACTATTATGCTTAGTGTCTCAGTCAAAGATGACTGCGTGAGTCTGATTCATACAGGAGGAGTATATATAAACCTAGATTGCCCCTGGAGCTCTCAGTAGTGATGTGTACATAAGAAATTCAGAGGAACTTCTTTTCATTCACTATGGTTATTCGCTCTTAGAAACGTTTCTTTGTCTATTCATATAACTACACAGGTATATGTCCAGCCATGACCGATTCATCAGCAATGGAGAAACCAGCTGCTGGTTCCTCGAAATCTTCAGTCAAAGATAACAAAATTCAACATGAAGACTTACAAGGTCACTCCACATTCAAAAGTTTTCTGGTATGACATGAGCACTTCCTTATCACTGGTCACACATGCCTTAACTGAACATGATTATATAGAGGGTCTTCACATTCGGCCGACCCATTGATTATGTCCTCACATTGATCAGCTTACTTGCTTCAATTGGCTCTGGCGTCGCCTTGGCCATGGTAAACCTCGTGTTGGGCAAGTTCATGACACTTCTCAGTGGCTCCACCTTAGGCAGTAGTTTGCCAGACAAGTTTATGTCTCAAGTCAGCAAATTCTCGTGAGACTCAGTCCCTGGTATGGAAGAGACTTCTTCTACTCCGAGCTAACAGATACTGTTTATTTGCAGATTATACTTTGTCTACATCGGGATAGCCAGGCTTGGTTGTACCTACATCTACTCCTCGCTCCTTACATACGTAGCCTACCACTTGACTAGAAATATTCGATACAAATACCTTCGTGCGGCCTTCAGTCAAGAAACGGGATACTTCGATCAAGGGACTGGCGGCTCAATATCAACGCAAGCGACATCTAATGGCAAGTTGATTCATTCTGGAATTTCAGAGAAACTAGGAATCTTTATACAGGCAATTGCAACATTCATAGCAGCTTTTATCATTGCCTTTGTCAATCATTGGAAGTTGACATTGATTATCAGCTGCATCGTTCCGGCTCTGATTGTCGTTGGCGGGGGTCTTTCGTTCATTGATGCTAGATATGAGACTAATATTCTTAAAGTCAACGCTCAGGCAGCTTCATATGCCGAAAATATTCTCAGTGGTGTTCGAGCTGTCCACGCGTTCAGTCTTCAACCCAGGATCACCCACAAGTATGGACAATACTTACAAAGGGTGTTTACAATTGGAACGAAGAAAAATCCAATTTATGGCGTCATGTTTGGCTCCGAATACTTTATCATATATGCTGGAATGGGTTTAGCGTTTTGGCAAGGCATACATATGCTCTCCCGAGGGGATATCCCAGACATTGGTACTGTCTTCACGTATGTCAGACTTTCTCTCTCTTTTCCCAACTTTGAGCAAACGGACAATTTATGATCCTCTGCTAACGTACGAAAGTGTCCTTTTTTCCGTGGTTATTGCGGCGAGTGCCATTACGTCCATCGCTCCTCATACAGTAACGTTTACACGTGCGGCTAGTGCGGCAGCAGAACTATTTGCTTTGATTGACAGGGAATCTGAGATAAACCCGCTCGATGAATCTGGGGATAAGCCGCAAGATACATATGGTGTGATACACATCGATAACATTACTTTCAATTATCCCAACCGTCCAAACGTTTGTGTATTAGAGGACCTTTCCCTTCATGTCCCGGCGGGGAAGGTCACCGCGCTGGTCGTAAGTTTCCCATATTCTCTTTGTATATGAACCGGGAGTGTGCTAATCCTTACGACAAAACAAGGGTGCTAGTGGGTCTGGGAAAAGTACAATCATAGGGCTTCTAGAACGATGGTATAAGCCGTTGGCCGGTTCAATAAAGTTAGATGGGAGAGATATCGCGCAGTTGAATCTAAGATGGCTTCGCACAAACGTCCGGCTTGTGCAACAGGTGACTAGCAGCCTTGTGCATCAAGCAAATTCAAGACACTGCTAATGTTATCAAGGAACCGGTCCTCTTCAACGGAAGCGTTTTCGATAACATCACGAATGGCCTTATTGGTACACCATGGGAGACAGCTTCATATGAAGAGCAACGCAAACGTGTGGAAGACGCAGCTAAGCTTGCATTTGCACACGACTTTATCATGAACCTTCCGAATGGCTACGACTCGCCAATTGGTGAAAGAGGTGGCCTTTTATCAGGTGGGCAGAAACAAAGAATTGCCATTGCACGCAGCATTATCTCTGAGCCAAAGATCCTCCTCTTGGATGAAGCTACTAGCGCTCTGGATCCACACGCCGAAGGTATAGTACAGCAGGCTTTAGATCATGCTTCCAAGAACCGAACGACTATAGTAATTGCGCACAAATTGGCAACTATCCGCAACGCGGACAATATCGTCGTGATGTCAAAGGGGAGAATTATCGAGCAAGGTCAGCATAGCGAGCTAGTTGCCAGGGGTGGTGCATATGCGAGCCTAGTAAAGGCACAAGATCTATCAGCAACACGATCGGCAGATGATGAGGAGCAAAGCACTGAAGACGAGATACCTCATAAAGAGGCTGAGCCAGTCCAGTCAATTGCTCGGTATCAAACGGCCGAGGCACGGCAGCTGACAATGCTTCAGCATCGCGAAGACTTTGGACTATACAAAAGGAGCGGCATTCTTCGCAGCATAGCCAAGATGGTCATCAGCACACCCAACCTGAGGTTCTGGTACTTCCTCACTATAATATGTTGCGTGGCAGGAGGTAAACATATGCCAATTCCACTATTGTCCGTTAAACTAACTCTCTTTTAGCTGCTATTTTTCCGGGGCAGGCGCTACTCCTAGCTAATGTTATGGACATATTCTCAGCCCCTGATATGGTTGACCGCGGAAACTTCATTGCTCTGATGTATTTTGTAATGTCGCTTGGTTGTCTCGTTGTTTACTTTGGTCTAGGCTGGGCCACAAATATTATTGCGCAGGTACGGCATTATCTGCTCTGAATATGGCATTCTCACTAACTCGCGCCACCAGACTTTCAACAAGATTTTCCGCCACGACCTTTTGAGCTCCATGCTTAAACAAGACCTCCGGTTCTTCGACCGACCTGAAAACACTGTTGGTGCATTAACGAGTCGGCTTGATTCGCACCCACAAGCGATTTTAGAACTCATGGGTTTTAACATTGCCCTCGTCGTTCTCTCGGCAATCAACGTACTTGCGTCTAGCATACTCTCTCTGACTATCGCCTGGAAGCTAGGTGTAATGGGCGTCTTTGTTGGGCTACCGCCTATGCTAGTAGCAGGCTATGCCCGTATCCGCCTTGAAACCAAGATGGACACGGATATGGGAAAGAGGTTCTCTCAGAGCGCTTCTATGGCGTCGGAGGCGGTACTTTCTATCCGAACAGTCTCCTCGCTCGCTATGGAGAAGAATATCTTGGAGAGATACACCAATGAACTAGATCAAGCAATTCAAACATCGGTTCGTCCTCTGTTCAGTATGATGGTGTGGTTCTCCTTGACTCAGTCTATTGAGTATTTTATACTTGCATTAGGGTTTTGGTATGCTTCCTTCTTATATTCCTTCTTTTGTTGTCTCCAGTTCATTAGTTTAAACTGACCATGATTCTAGGTGGGGTTCTAAGTTGATCCATGACGGAGACATCACATTTTACCAGTTCATCGTCTCTTTCATGGGTGTATACTTCTCTGGCCAGGCTGCTGGCCAACTATTCAGCTTCTCGAGCAGTTTCACGAAAGCTAATGAAGCGGCAAACTACTATTTTTGGTTAACAAATCTCTCTCCTATGATCCAAGAAACAAAAGAAAACCTCAGCAATAGACCCGCAAGCAATTGTCAGGCGATTGATTTCCAAGATATCCAGTTTTCCTATCCTCTAGCACCAGATACCCGCGTTCTGAAGGGTGTGTCTTTTAACGTACGTGTGCCGCCTGTCACTTCTATTCTTTTACCACCGCGCAGAACTAACATTGTTATGACATTTTAGATCCGAAAAGGCCAATTTGTAGCTCTTGTGGGTGCTTCCGGCTGCGGTAAAAGCACGATGATCTCGCTGCTAGAACGCTTCTACGACCCAACGCAAGGCACCATTAGAGTCGATACTTCCCCGCTGGACAGCATGAATCCAATTTTATACCGACAACAAGTCGCCCTTGTGCAGCAGGAACCGACGTTATTTCCGGGAACCATCTTAGAGAACATCTCGTATGGATTGGACATTGCACCATCGGAATCAGCTAGTGCTCCAAGCTCCGAGGTCGAGAATGCTTGCCGGGCAGCAAATGTATGGGACTTTATCAGCTCCTTGCCGGACGGACTCCAGACACCCTGCGGAACGAGCGGTAGCCAGCTTTCTGGTGGACAACGACAGAGGGTTGCGATTGCAAGAGCCTTGATCAGGAATCCTCGGGTGATACTCTTAGATGAAGCGACAAGTGCGCTTGATACAGAATCAGAAAGAGTTGTGCAGGGGGCATTGATGCAAGCTGCGACAAGTGGAGAGAGGATTACAGTCGCTGTCGCTCACCGGCTTTCGACGGTTCGGGAGGCAGACTGTATCTTCGTGTTTTTGGGTGGCAGGATTGTTGAGTGTGGTAGGCACAGTGAGTTGGTTGAGAAAGGTGGTATTTATGCAAAGATGTGTGAGGCGCAGAGCTTGGATTCGGCGGCATAGGCTTTCCTTTATAGTTAATCTCGTCTTATAGATCCTTGGATATTCCTTTTCTAATATTTTCTTGTTCTTATTTTGCTTTCATATAGAATGATGCGAAGCTAATTATCTCTTTTTGATTTGATATGACACAAGCATCATGCAGATAACTGTTGACTCCACAATATTCTAATACTCTTTCCGAAACAGCATATACTATTGGCTTGCATCTCCGCTACCAAGTTGTTCTATAACCATGGCAAAGCTTCACAAGAACCATTCGCACCCAACCATCTGCTAACGTAACCACCAAGAATTCACATTTTCGCTGTCTTTCTATATGCTGTTCGAGGCTGCCGCTTAGAGAAAAACTTTGCAGTGCTATTTAAGACGAGTCAACGCTTGGTACAAAAACGGATCGTGTGCCATATGTGCGTATCAGGTCAATAACCTTCAAAATATATACAGTAGAAACTGCTGTGTTAAATCTTTCGTGTTTGGGGAATTATTGTGGTAAGTTGAGACCATGCTTCTTCTTTGTGTCCATATCCATTCGTGACAATAGTTAAGTGTGGATGTCTGTGACCGTCATTTGTCGAACGTTCAGATTAACTCTCTTGCCTGACATCCAACCCTTCCACGTGTCAAACTTTGAAGTGCCTGCATCATCGACAGCGCACAATGGCCAATCTGCCAGCCAATCTGGGCATGTTCCTGGAACTATCTTGGGTACAGCATGCCATGCAAAGCGTGACGTGCCGTCCATATACACAGCATCCCCGGAGCGAAGTCGAACAATTTCACAACCCTTCCCATCGTCATGACTAATGAGGAACAGGCCATCACAGCCAAAACTGACACTGATTAAGCCGACATCGCATTCTTCACTGACATCCCGATGAGGGCTCAACGTATCTCCCGGCGAGTAGACATTTAAAATGGCTGCTTGGGCTTCCGTTTGTGGGAATGCCGCATGTAAAACACTTGCAACATCTTCTGGGAATGCTGGCGGGCGCTCCACCGGATACTCTTTGGTGGTCCAATTATACTGGCCGCCCAGAGTTGCCCATCGGAGCTTCTTATTTAGAATTTGCTGAACAGTCAATGGCTTGTGTACGCTTGAATCCTTGGGGTAAACCACACGAGCCGGATTATCTTCGAAGAATGACAGGACGCCATTGCCTTCTGAGCCATTACCCGCCGACGACGTCGATGTTCCACCTTCAATGGGGACATTTTCCGTTTCGCCCGGATAAGTGATGTTGTAGTGTAGATGAAGGTTTGTTTGATGCTCCTTGTTAGACAAGTCTCTATGTAATAAACGAGACAACAGCTCTACTTGTACCGCCGGAGGGAGCAATGACGGGATCATTTGCAAACCTACCATTTGTTAGAAGCTGATTCCGCTATGACTTGACAAAGACAATAGGGCATGATGCTGACCAGAGACAGACTGATGTGTATATACTGGGATATCCTTATGCAGAGTATCATCATCCTTTTGACTTTCTCCGTATGCACGGACAAGTTGGTGGAACACTGGCTGCAGATGCTCACCTGGCATCCATTGTGCGAGAGAGATGTCACTTGGAAGCCTATCAGGATTTAGAGCTTGGAGATCAATAATATTATGATCCAAATCTATATCCGATAACGTGGCTTTTTGGATCTCTTTATAGCGGTGACGGATGGCCTCTGGCGGGCGTTCATGAGCATTGAGTTCTTTAATATGAGCCATAGCGGGAGATATATGCAGTATGATACTCGGTGAATCAGTTCACTGCATTTAACATTAGTCCCAGTATATTAGTGCGAACTATCTCAAAAAAAAAAGTATATCCTCGATTTGCGACCGGTTATTATATATGCAAAATCTCGGTGTCTATTGGAAGATATGAGGATGTCTCGTTTGCCTGGAAATGTATTTTATGTATGCATATCTACATCCACAATAAAAAAAAAAAAAAAAAAAAAGGAAGGTACTCACCGCCTTGAGACGCGGGTTTGTTTACTGTTGTTGATATCATTTTGACCGCCTTCGCTCCCCACCACAGAACGGGCGAAAAGACTCCAGTGAACTGACCCATCGATTTGACAACGCAGGTTTTTCGGAATTGGCTAGTCAAAACTCTTAAAAGCTCGAGATTGGAGCTTAGTCGGCGATCAGTCTGCACTTCCCGTAGCTGTTGATTACTATCCCTTGAACCGACACGCAGCTACTTGACGCCAACCAGACAACCCCCGTTATTGTTGTGCTTCTCGCTTCTTCCCCGGGCAACACAACTCTGTCATTTTGCAGTGCATTTCTGCGTACTGCCCCGCGCTCCGGTGGCTCAGGAGAGACGATTGACTTAATATCCTTCGCTTGAACCAAGCCTGTAACATTATCCTTTGGATATCACGTAGTCACCATGGAGAATTATCAGAAGATCGAGAAAATCGGAGAGGGTAAGGTTCCGAAGAATGACCCTAGGCTCTGCAACCCTTGAACCCCCCCCCCCCCCCCTCTTTTTTTTAAACAGCTGAGGCTCCTCAGTGGCTAATTCGTATCCTTCTCACTAGGAACCTACGGTGTTGTCTACAAGGCCCGTGAGCTCACACATCCTAACCGCATTGTCGCCTTGAAGAAGATTCGGTTGGAGGCAGAAGATGAAGGCGTTCCAAGCACGGCCATCCGTGAGATCTCCTTGTTGAAGGAAATGAGCGACCCCAACATTGTACGACTCCTCAATATTGTCCATGCAGATGGCCACAAACTGTACCTCGTTTTTGAATTCCTGGACCTGGACCTCAAGAAATACATGGAGGCTCTCCCTGTAAGCGAAGGTGGACGTGGCAAAGCACTCCCGGATGGCTCTGCACTAAGCAAGAGTATGGGACTGGGGGATGCCATGGTCAAGAAATTCATGGCTCAGTTGATTGAGGGAATTCGCTATTGCCACAGCCACCGTATCTTGCATCGGGATCTCAAGCCTCAGAACCTCTTGATCGACCGTGACGGCAACCTGAAATTGGCAGATTTTGGACTGGCGAGAGCTTTCGGTGTTCCTTTGAGAACCTACACCCATGAGGTATTTACATTGGAAACTAATTGTTCTTGTTCTACATTGGCATTGACCGTTCAATCTTAGGTTGTAACATTGTGGTATCGCTCTCCCGAAATCCTCTTGGGTGGACGTCAGTACTCTACTGGTGTTGACATGTGGTCTTGTGGAGCTATCTTTGCAGAGATGTGCACTCGAAAGCCGCTTTTCCCTGGAGACTCTGAAATCGATGAAATCTTCAAGATTTTCCGGTATGTTGACTCACTTGTCGAAGACAAACGAAAAGGGAGAAGGAAAAAAACGACGTTATGATCTCTGACTGCTTTTCTCTACACAGACTCCTTGGTACACCGGATGAAATTGCCTGGCCTGGCGTCACCTCCTTCCCCGACTTTAAGCCGACCTTCCCCAAGTGGAAGCGTGAAGAAACCCGCGCACTCGTTCCTGGCTTGGAAGAAAACGGCCTTGATCTCCTAGACGCCCTTCTCGAATACGATCCAGCACGGCGTATCTCTGCTAAGCAGGCCTGCATGCATCCATACTTCCAGAACGGTAGCTCTTACTATTCCGGTCGCACCCGCAGGCACTAAGAGAGACCCTCATGATGTGTAATGTGTTCGTGGGCGGCTGCGGCAGACTCAGTGGCGCTATCCGTGCAGCGTAACAGCGCTCCTACCGCCTCCCCTCCGAATATCTTCGACGCTCTTATGCTTTTTCTCTTCTTTTATTCATTTTTCCTTTTAATTTTACATCTTCCTTTTCCGACTGGTTTGCGGTTTATTAAATGTCTTCTACTCCTTTGTTCATGGCGTTAATCATGGTGCGATGACCGGCAGGAAAGAGATTAGGTTACTGGATATTGCAAGGAGTGTTGTTGTCTTGATGTATGCATACATACCCATTTATAAATCTTTTATATATTGTGTAAGTTTCAAGGGGTACAGCAAGAAGGATCGTAACTACTCTGTCGTGCTGGATCACGGGTTTGGGGTGCTTTTTGGTGGGTGGGTGTGCCCAACGCGACCCAAGCAATTGGCCAGTAAGATAATCTTCGCTCAGCCTCAACGATTCCTTCGCCTTGGCCTAATTCTCTTCTGAAGGCCTGTGTGGATTTTCCCGAGTGGGGAAATCAAGAACTAACTCAAGTGTCACTTTCGACATCCCAATAGCCCCATCGCTTATCACTATACCAACTAGGCTAGTGATGAATCATGGCCCAATAACATCAATTATCGCCGTGCTTTTAGCTCTATTAGACCAACTTCTAACGTTTGGTAACGGAGGCTTGCAGAATTCCACAGCCTCCAAGTGAATTCTGGTCTGGGCCTGTCGACCAGCCCAGCCAGAGAAGACTCGCCAACATTGAATTGTCGGCTGTGTTCTTACACAGAAAACAACGCAGTTATTTCCCTGCATATGCACCTGTTATTATTTGCCACTCATATTACATGGACTTTAATATACGCTTACCCCGGTATGAAATTAGTGGACATGTTACATTCGAGGATGGCGGTTCGGCAGCCTGCAGAGTCCGTTCAGCTGCCATGCTTTGATGAGTTACGGCGATACCTCCTATTTTGAGCATGCCAAATGGGGGCCAAATGCAATATTCGGGAATCCCGTTAGCAAGGGCTATCAGCCCGTTGACTCAAACGGTTTAGAAAGCGTTCGGCATAAGCGCGGCTTGCATATCATTCGCTTATGCTCCGAATCGCTGAACTAAAGAAGACGAGCTAAACCCTGCCATTGCGTACAAGGCGTCCCGGGCTAAATTTTAGACTGTATATCATGCGGCACCCCGATTGGCTCACTTATCATTTTGTATTAAAAGGTGTGTGACGAGAGAGGTCCAGTCCACTAACTTTATCAATCTGATTCGCTCAGCCTCAGGTATCGACACGAGGTGGCCGTGTGAAGCCTTTGTTTCAAGGCTATCATTAGATTGCGCCTTGATTTTTTCTTTTTTTTTCTTCCTTACATTTTGAGCTGAAAATAAACGTCTTCCTTCGACGTATAAAAGCCCCTTAGCTGTATCGGTGACTCTCGGTGCTGCGACCAAATCTCAAACTCATCACCACCCCACCTGAGGCCATTAGCCAGTAGAGCCCAGAAAAGGCTCGCAAAAATGGACCACGACGACGACCTCACCGACATGGTTTTCACTCCACCACTCTCAACACGCTCGGGGGGTCGAAAGCGAAGGGCAAGCCAAACGCCGCAGGAAACCCTGCGGCAATTTTGGAACCAGTTCAACTCCAAATTCCCAGGTAGAGTCTATACTGTACTGCCCGACAATCCCTATGCACGTACCAAAGCAGAAAGGGTACCGAAAGGTGTTATCCAGGGACAAGACGCGGGCAAGTCCTATGAGGAAGCCCGCAAGGAATGTCGACGGGCCGTCGATCGCATTGTGAAAGAGTGCGAGCGGCTGAACCAAAAATATACAGACCCGCATTTCGACATAGAAGTTGATCTCAAGTCAGGAAAGAGGAACTGCTTGGATACGCTCGAGGAGGAAAATATGGAGATGCGCCCCAGAGGTGTGAAGAGAGTGACAGTAAGTTATGCAGCGCATGCCGCTGCGATCAAAAAATAGCTATGATCTGACAGGTGGTTTTAGGAAATCTTTGAGAAGCCACGATTCTTCGTCAATGGACCAACTGCTTCCGACGTGCGTCAGGGTCGCGACGGTGACTGTTGGTTCATGGCTGCCCTCTGCACAATGGGCAATAAACAGGGTTTGATTGAGCAGATTTGTGTAGCCCGGGATGAGAAGATCGGCGTCTATGGATTCGTCTTCTATCGAGGTATGTGATATCTTGTGTCAATCTTTTGCTGATGCAAAAGACACTTACACTTTCCAGATGGTGAATGGCAACAATGTATCGTGGACGACAAATTGTACCTGCGAGCGGCCGACTACGATGAATCCGTCGATGAGCGGCCGATTTGGGACGACATAAATCGGGCTGATACAGAAGAAGAGTATCGAAAGGTCTGGCAGACTGGATCGCGAGCTTTGTACTTCGCTCGGTGTGTAGATGAGAACGAGACTTGGTTGCCATTGCTTGAAAAAGCTTATGCAAAAGCCCATGGCGATTTCTCGGCCATCGAAGGTGGTTTTGTAGGGTCAGTGTTGCCACTACCCATCGAAGGATTCTATTAGCAACTAACATTATATAGGGAGGCTATTGAAGACTTAACTGGTGGTGTTACTTCCGAGATCCTGTCGAGCAGCATCCTAGACAAAGATAGATTCTGGAAGGAAGAGCTCATGAAAGTCAACAAAGATTTCCTTTTTGGTTGTGGTACAGGCTTGTACTCTAACTGGCTGGACCCGAAGTATCAAGGCCCTCCAAGAGACAGAAAGGGTATATCCGAGAACCATTCATACTCGATTATGGACGCAAAAGAAATCGATGGAGAGCGCTTGCTTCGTCTAAGGTATGTCTATCCTAGAATGTGACACTGCATCACTAGCTGATCAATCCAGGAACCCTTGGGGTAAGAAAGAATGGACCGGCGCATGGAGTGACGGGTCAGAGCAATGGACACCGGAGTGGATGGAAAAACTAGGACATAAATTCGGCAACGATGGTGTATGGCCCCTCAGATCTGGTCTAGCACGAGATACAGGCTAACAACACATGTCACAGTTCTTCTGGATCTCTTATAACGACCTTCTCAAGAAATACCAGCACTTCGACCGCACCCGTCTGTTTGGACCGGAATGGTCAATCGCCCAGCAGTGGACTACCGTGAATGTGCCATGGTCTGCCGACTACCACAGCACTAAATTCATGGTGAACGTGACCAAAGCAGGCCCAGTAGTCCTCGTTCTCTCCCAAGTAAGCACCTGCATCCAGGCTGCATTAGCACGCATGACTTAAGAGAAACCCCACTAACCTAAAAAGTTGGACTCGCGCTACTTCAGGGGACTAGCTGGTGAATACGGCTTCGTCCTCAAGTTCCGGGTGCAAAAGGAAGGGGAAGATGACTACATGGTGCGCAGCCAAAGCAGCCACTTGATCTGTCGATCCGTGAACGCAGAAGTTGATCTCGAGCCTGGCCGCTACCATGTATTGATGAAGGTCACGGCGTACAGAAACGGTGAGATGGAGTCGACCGAGGAAGCGGTAAGCCGCTTAGCACCGATCAAACGAGAAAAACTCGTCCAGATCGGTCTCTCCTACGATCTGGCACATGCCAAAGGCATGGTAGCCGAGACGGAGGATGAGAGGCGAGCACGCGAGGAACTAGACCAACGTCGCAAGGCAGCAGAAAGACAGAAACGGATTGAGGCCACCAGGAAGAGGTTGCAAAAAGATTGGATTCGGCAGCAGAAGATGACCGCTCGGAAACAAAGAATGGCTGAGAGGCTTTCTGCCAAAAGCCATAGCAACGCCGTTAGAAACAAAGCCATCGAGCAGATTCTCACTGACGGCCCAGTACAGTCTCCGGTAGAATTGGGTAACGGCTCAGGCGGTGGCTTTGGTGCGGAGCATACAAGGAATGAAAGCGTGCCAATCATACAGTGCAACGGTGTTCATGTTTCCGAGGCCGAGATTACCGGGAAAGGACAGTCGGTACAGTCGACTTTAGACTCCACGTACTCCAGTGTCTCATCGTACCATGAAGATCTGGACATGTTGGAAGGATTCGAGTTTGACCCTGACCTTGATATGCCCCCTGAAGAGCCGGCAGAGCCGAAGTCTGTACCCTTGACATCCAATGGCTGTCTGGAGGAGATCACCAGTGACCCTTGGAATGCTGTATGTGTCGTGGGCTTGCGGGTCTACTCCAAAGATCCGCAGTTGTCACTCGAAGTAGTTCGTTCCATGTCTGGAGGTGATACCGGTGCCGCGCTTGATATGGATGATCCCCTGAAGAGTGCTTCCTTTAGTCGACTGGAAGCCAACTAATTCTATGATCATGAACACGTCTCGGTTAATCAAAATAGGGGCTTTTCTTTGGCGTCTCAGCGATTGATAGCAATAGTGATTTATAAGTACAAGCATCATGTGGATATAATTTAATTTTTGGTTCATTCATCCATTCATTATTCATCATTGTCATCTCATTGCCATATTTTATCATTACTATTCTAATAGCATCAGCATGTCATGAAACCAGGCGTTCAACTCCCCATGTCTAGGCACAACTTCAAACCTGTTAAAACAAATATAACACAAAAGAGGCCCTGCAAAAGACTTGGATAGCAAAAAGAAAAGAATAGGAGAAAAAAAAAAAAAAAAACCCTCTATTCACCCTTCGTCATAGTCTGGCCGTCGCTAAGATTTGTGGATCATTCTTGAATTCGGGGCCTTTAACCGTGCCCTGCATGGGGGCCAAGTCACGTTCCTCAAGGGCACCTGGCTCGCCAGGCTCAGGTTTGGAACCATCATATACTCCAGCCAGGAACTGCATAAACGCTTCCAGGTACTGGACAATTCTCCCTTCAGGTATACCCCTCAGCACCTCTGACAGGATACCGGGTGCGTAGTAGGGAAGAATGGCAGTGCCATCTTGAATGCCATTTACACTCAGTCCCTGCACCAGATCCGTCTTTGTAGAAGATGGCAAATCCGAAAAAGCGTTCTGAAACAGCTCTGCTTTCCCCTTCGTCTCCACTCGCCCCATGCAAAGAAGTCGAAGAAGTGCACGCTGTTCCGAGATTTTAGTAGATAGTGAAGCGAACCCATCGGCCTTCAGAATATCAGCACGGTAAGCCAAATAGTTGTCGTAGCATTCTGGCCAGTCTGAGTTTTCCATCTTGCGATATTCATCCAAGAGCTCAATTGCCTTCATATAGTGACTGAATATCGGCTGCGTCATCACAATGCACCCGCGCGGGTCACTATGCGCAGCAGCCCCTCCGACATCCAGCAACGTTACCATGGCCTTGATATTGAATGCATCCTGAAGCTTGTGGCAATTATTCAGAGCAAGCATGCTGTGCGGGACTGTTTCCCCCTGAACTATTTGTGAAATATCAAGTTTCGAGCCGATCCTCAGGCTCTGGATGATATTATGTTTCTTGGTTTGGTCTGTGATGGTTTCCAACGCAGGCACTAATCCCTTCTCCGCAGCCTTGAGCAACACTTCTCCATGGTTCTTTTCTGGGATTTCCACGCTCTGGGCAAGAGCTTTATCCTTCCCGATATCGTCAATTGCAATTGCAACAATAAGAGCGTATAGATCCTCTGGGTTAGGCAAGCCATGGCAAAAGAACTCCCGCAACTTCATGAAGGAGCCCTCTTCAAGCTTCCCGTTATCTTGGCCGCTTGTGAAAGTGTTATAGTCGCCCGCCAGGATCCATTTGATGGCCAACATGCTGGTTAGTGTTCGATTCACTTCATGGAAATCCTTCCCGAAGACTTTCTGTGATGGTGTCCCGTTCCAATTCCTCGTTGCGCCGGATTCCACGGTGGGACTTGCATTCTTTAGATGATTGAGCTCCGTCTCAAAGGCGTTCTTGAAAAGTTCAAGAACCTCATCATCTGATTTGGTGATAAATTTGTTCGTTTTAACAATATCAACAAGAGACTCCTGTTGATCGGCCATATTGGACAACAATTATCTTGAGACAATCTATCTCTGCATAAATTAGTGAAAAACTGGGCTCAGCGCCACGATAAATAGAAGGATGCACGGAGGCCGCTTTGGTGAGAAGAGGCTGAGCTGAATATACTCAGAAAGGGTCAAAGGGTCATTCATTGCCCAGCCGGCTGGGAGGGCGGCTAGCGGTATTTTACACCAAACCAATCGATAAATTTTAACGAGAAGAATTTATTTAAATCAAGGTTCGAGGAAAGATTCCAAATGAGAAAGGGCAAGGGCAAGGACAAGGGGGACTGAGTGACAGCATTCTTGGACGATAGAAGAGAATACACAAAAAGTAATCCATTATTTCTATTCTGGAATACAACGAGGATTTCGAACCCTCCCGCTATTTATTCTCTGTGGCAACGTTCCCTTGCCGTTGTTGGAAAGTTCCCGCGACCGTCTGAACTTTTTCCTTTTTGTATATGAGCATACTTGCGCATTGCTTTCAAAACACCTCTGAAACCACCCCCTTTGCCTGTCACACGACAGACTCGTCGTTCAGCCAGTCTACAAGAGCACAAGGCACGTCTCGGTTTCATACTAATCTCAAGTCATTCGATTCCTGTCGGTAATAATGAATACATATCCCTAAAGTAAGCAACCCTAGACATCATCATCAATAACCCGAAACTAGCAAAATACCCAGTATAAAGACAAACCAACCATCATCCTCACCACAAAGTCATCCAAATGTAATCATCTGTCTACTAGTACAACCAGATCCTTTATTCAAGGACCCCAGTTCGACACCACACCATAAAACCACCGAAACTGCTAAGTTAAACCCAATACCACAATCGTAACAATCGATTACCCGGAAACTTCCAAACACCAACCCTCAGAAAGAATCCTACTATTACCCAACCTCACCAGCTTCGACAGGAATCCTGCAGAACCTCCAGCCCATGCGTTTAGGCATCCTAGGCACCCACATCGGCGGCTCTGTGATATTCATGCTAGCGCTTACAGAAGCGAAGTCGATCAATGCAGTAGTAGCAGCGCTCTCGAAGCCGGTCTGTGATTGGACAGCGCTAGACAAGTACTACTACTCTTACTAGCCATTACTACTTGCGCCCGCTCAATCAACATCAGTGAACACCGCCACAGTTGTTACCGTCGCGAAGAACCCCTTATATACAGGATTTGCTCACATGGCTTTACGCGCGAAAAGGGGGGCTTTTTTTTTGTTGGTTAACTCCGGAACGGTGTTTTGATGCATTTGTGTCCCCGCTGCTCTTTCTTCGATCGCCAAGGAAGGATATTCTGGGATTATTGTCTCCTGAGTCTCTTACTGGGGCGAGAGTATCCGGTTCCTGGGGACAATCTAAGTTAACTAAGAGATGCTGCTGACTCAGAGAGTTGTGGACATGGATGGATGGCGATGATGAGGAGGATCTACTAAAAGAGGATATGGCGATGAACGGGTCATTTACAAATACGAGCTAAGAGCCTCGTACCCAACCTAATTGTGAGCATGATACGGAGCTGAATACTGTCCCCGCCGTCGTCGAAAGACGTCTTTCACGATAGTCACCGGATGGTTCAGACTACGGCGGAAGCCGTGCGAGGCGACTTCTACTTCGCCGCAGTCGACCCACTAAAAACCTACAAGTGACTCTACCGTGCATACGGTTTTTGGTGAGCAAAGATATGCCATTGCCTTTTCCAGAAGGAAGTGGGTGCGGTGATATTAAGCCAAACCGAACTGCTCCACATCCATGATGCTCGATCCTGTGTCAACAGGGTCATGAGATGGTCGATGCAATGCGGTGTGTGCTTCTGGTATCACGAGGAAGGCTTCGCTTTGGTGAGGAGCGAGTTACGCTGTGTTAGGTCCCTCCTGGACGTAGGCAGCCTCTGGGCAGAGCGGTGGTAGGGAATAGGATGGTATGTTGCGTGATCAAAGGACCCCCAAAGATGGGGATGATCCAGTTAAAAACAAGATGAAAAAGGAAAACAGGCAAAAAGGATATCAGAATGCTCCCACGCGGATTTGAACCGCGGACCTCATGATTACTAGTCATGCGCTCTACCAACTGAGCCATAGGAGCTGTTCTTGAAATATTGCTTTTATGAAGCATATATGATCTACGATGCATCAGATGTGAATGTCGAGGATAGGTTAATCCAATCCTATCGCATTGATTGGGAAACAAGAAGGTGCGCAGAAATACAATGCGCTTATATATGGCCTGCGACCCATTTAAAATCAAGAACAAGGTTGAGGACAGGTTAACACATATTAATTTCTATTTTATAATGTCTATAAAGAAGACCCCCCGAAAGTGTTCCCATTTGGAGTATCCCACCAGGGCTCAATATCCGAAAGACTGGGCAATGCAGGGTCCTCCCCGAACGTATTGACGTTGCCAAGTTGAGAGAAACTACTATCTCCAAAATTGCCCGAAAGCAACTGCAGGTCAGAATTGCGAATCCAATCGAACTCCCCAGGCACCCCGATTTGCTGAGTCGCGTCGAGAGGGTGCTGTCCAGAGGGTTGCGGTTGGTTAGGAACGGCGGTAGTGGCCTGTGATGTCGCTGTCGCAGTGACTAGGTAGTTGACCTGGCTTCTCGGGGCTGTGATTCGTGTTTTTTTCCTGGAAGCATCTGCGTCCGAGCCAAGGCCTACTAGATGTTGCGATGATGGACGGTTGCTTATTTGGCGCTTCAGAGCTGAACCTGACCTGCGCATATGGGCCTGCCACCTTCGTTGTAGACTGACTAGGAAGTCACGGGTCCGCTTAGCATTCTCGAACGACTGGCCCAGTTCGTCCAATGCACGGAAACAAAGATTCAGATAAGCAACCATTTCCGCATTGTTGTTGGGGTTGTCACTGGGACTTCTGCCAGAAGTGGAAGTGTTTGAAATTGTGACGTAAAGGAGCATCAAAGCCGCGCTGAATATGATGGCCACAACTTGGTTGTTCATGCGACGGAATGTATAGAACTTCTCGTAGATATGGAGCAGCCGTGCGATTGCCGTCGAAGACTCGATACACATTCGCCGAGCATGGTGATAGCCCGGTCCCTGACGAGGAGCGCGCGGCTGGATGTAACTTTTCGAAACCCAAGGTCTGTGCGTGAAAATCACGATTTGGTGATATTGCATACTGCATTCGAGTCAGCTTATCCGTTTGATGATTTTTCTATTCAGACAGAACACATAGACATACTGGAGCATTAGGAGCTGGGGGAGTTGAGGAGTTGTATCGTTCTCGAGGTTAATATCCAGAATAGACGGCAGATTTGCTTTCCAGGCAAACAAGTCATCTGTTACCCTATGGCATAACCTTTGGAGGTCATGCCGAGGGATATCGGAGCAACCATACCTGCACCGCATTAGTACACGTGGTGGGAAATGATAGCATTAAGCCGTGCTTTCAGAAAATTGAGCGCTCACAAAATATGACCAACAGGAGAGATTATCTCCCATAGAACGGCAAATTGTCTGCTGATCAATTCATTTGGATTCCTTAGACCGTGCTTCAGGATGTCTGATTTCGTTGGAAGTCCATAAGGATACCATGTGCTTTCTTTCTCTGCGCCTAGATCGGACGCAAGCTTCGGGACGGTGATGTCCCCTGCATTCATTCGAAATGGCCTTCCTAAATAGAAGCCCCAGAAGCTATAGCAATGTCAGACCGTTGAAATACATCACCACGGGTCAACCAAACATACTGATCGGCAGTGTAACTCCCCCAGAACGCTATTCGCCGCACATCAGCCTCAAAGGCACCTATTTCTCCTTTCTCAACATAGGGTGTCATGTCAATGTGTAGTCCAAGGTCGAACGCGAGCCTTGTGGACATCCCTAAACCAGTATCAGCGTCATATGCCTCTAATCCTCAGCATTTACTACATACCACTATACAGCCACCCACGAGCATCACGGTTCGCAGAACCTTCGTGGCAACTCAGAATTACAAGTGCCTGTACTGTGGCAACACAGGGAGAGTCCAGCTCAATCTCTAGAAGAGCCTTCGCCCTGTCTGCGAAGAATTCTGACAAAGATTTAGGAAAGGTGATAAAGGTAGGATGATATCTTGCTTCAAAAGCGCTTCCAATAGCACACCTAGCTTTTCGTTAGTCCGTATACCGCTAGGTGTCTAGCATGAAACATACATCGCATTCGTAAGAACTTCCGAATAGAATGGCGTGTCATCATACTCATTCCTCCACTTCGATCTCGCAATCATATACATATCTTTATCAACCACATAAGTGCTTGTATTCTGCCAAGTGAAATACAGCTCCACAAGGTGGTCTTCAAGTGCTTGGTCAACGGGCTGTCCAACTCGTAAATGATTCAGGATATCCTGTCCATCATGCCGGACTGTGCGCGCATCAGGACGTTGGCGCTGTTGGGTCGCAGAAACATCTACCAGGTTGAGGTTCGACGTCGCTCCATAAAAGCGTAAGTGACCATCGCCCGCAATCTTTAGAGTACCAATGCGATTCGAAATTTGCTCGATAACGTCTTTCTCCGCCTCGTCTTCGTCGCCGCTGTCTGATTCATACTCTCTCTCGTAACGCGCTTGCCTGAGCAACTCTCCGGGCTGCTGCTGCATATCCGGGGTCAACTGCAGACTTTCCGGACTAAGACTGTTTTCCTGCGAAAGACTGGTGCCGTCATTTAGATTGGCATAGATCGTGTCCAAACTCTCCGCCGTTGGAAGTGTAAAACTCCAATTCGCAGGAACATAATGGCTTGTAGGAATAGAATTGATCCCAAACGAGTTCACTGTTTCTCGGTCTTTCTCAGCCGAAGGAACGAGCTTTTGATTAGACAACGCATTCTGTGGCGGTGAAGGAATCTCTGGAGGGCGCTCATTTGTATCCTGCAAAGCTGAAGGGCTGCTGTGCGCCGGTGAATGCGCACTAGCTTTCGGCGGAATAGAGATCATCTCATTAGATACGCTCGTTTCTCTTTTCTTCGCTAGCCCGCGAGGAATCTGTAGCGTATCTAAAACTCTGTTGACCCCCGCCTCATCCTCGGGTTTCATTGGGGGCGGTTCCAGCCCATGGTCATAAATGAACTGGCACAGTTGATCTATTCTAGCAGAGAACAGCTCTGTGGCAGCACGAAGAGATACCCTGAAGTAAAGCTAGTCAGCGCCTGTCTGCCGTGCGCGAGCGTAGATCACAAGCCTTGCCTGCCTTCTCGGGAACGCGAGATCTGCTGTACTCAAGACACGATATGCAATTCCAGATTGACCAGCAGTAGACATAAGATGAGCTAAACATACTTCCGTTTGTCATCGCCGTGTTGGTATTTACAGTCTTTGCCTTTCCTCTCACAGTTATGGCAATGTGGAGTAGCTCCGTCGCACTGGTAAAGAGCCGTCAGTTGGGAAAAATACAATATAGGTCATGTGATGATCGATCAAAGCATCTCGAACAAAATCGCCCACGTACCCTGATCTTGCTCTCCCGGCAAGGAACACATGCCGTAGTGACATGTTTGCGAGGCGCCCTCTTGGGCTTCTCTGAATCAGGCTCCATCGCACAGGTTAGTGTGGCGGGAAGCGTGGGGGAGACGAAATTCTCTCCGGTTTTTAGAAGCAACCGGGGCGGCTAATTCACGAAACGAAGAGAAAGCATGGGTCAACCGACATCTACAGAGGATGGCTTAGCAGAATACATGTCCATAGCAAGATTTGCGAGAATGATGAAGTTGCTCAGCATGGCAGCGCAAAAAAGCTGTTGGGTCCCTGGGGTGTGGTTCCTGGGGAAGTCTGGAAACGATAGGAGCGGATGGCTTCTGACTGGGCGGGGAGCTGCCCCACTTGCACCCCAGAGTGCCCTATGAGACTCGTCGCAACACTCATCACTATCCACCTGAGGTAAAATTTCCCGCTCTCAGGTGATCCATTGCAGTTCCTACTTTCAATGGACATTGATATTGACATTTATAAATAGCTACAAATATGCTCTCATTATACTAACATTGATAATATATATTACTAGCTAAAAGTGCCACGCGCTAGACGGCAGCCGTGATACCTAAATCAGCAGAGAGCTCAAGAGCTAGTCTGAGATTTACCAATTGCTGGTGCGCTTGAGTGCCTCGTTCTGAATCACTTCGATCCAGTATCCATCAGGGTCCAGCACAAAGGCAACGTTCTTCATCCTGCCGTCAGTCAAACGCTTCTTCCAGTTAACTTGCAATGATTCAAAGCGCTCGCAGGCGGCATTGAGATCGTCAACAGAAACGCCTACAGCAAGTATGGCAGTGTCAGTGGTAAGGGCTCTTCCAGCTTCATGACGGCATCGGCAAAGAGCAGGTCACTTACAAATATGGCCGAACCCTTGTGGCTCAGCGTTACCATTGTGGTAGACAGGTCCTTCTTGCTTCTCCGTTCCATAGTTCCAGGTGAGCTCGAGCAAACCTTCCCACTCGGCCACGGGATTCTTGGCATCCTCCTGCACTTTGGGGTTCCCTGCAGGGTATCCCAAGAAATAGAGATTGAAGCCTGCATCCTTGTTCTCGGAGGTTCGCAAAAGGGTCATGCCCATGACTTCTTGGTAGAATTTCAAACTTGTCTCGGCGCACTTCACGCGGAGCATGCTGTGGTTGAGTCGGTAGTTGGCGGTATCTGTCGTCGTACCCACATCCTCATTATGACGACGGATAATCTCGACCCAGTAACCATCAGGATCCTTAGCGAAGGCAATGTGCTTCATGCGACCATCGGTGAGCTTCTTCTGGAAAGGATAGCCAGCATCTTCAATTCTCTTGCAGGCCGATTCGATATTGTCAACAGAGATGGCAATATGACCAAAGCCGCGATGAGGTTCCGTATTGCCGTTGGCTACGCTGTAATTGGGGTCATTCTCTGTGCCATAGTTGTGGGTAAGCTCCAGAACAGCATTGCGGTCCGTCCAGTGACGGTCACCCTGCAGGGACTTCGGGCCATTGTATGCGAGGAAGTAGAGCGAAAACTTGTTATCAGGAAAATCGAGTTGTTGAATCTGAGAAAGTCCGAGGAACTTGTAGAATTCCACTAGGGTAGAAGATTGAGTAAGCACGATTATTTTAAACCAGCAATGACGCCATGATGCAGAGGTACTCACGGGACTTCTTCGGGTCCTTGACCCGGATCATAGTGTCTGTTCAAGCCGAGCCATTGTCAGCCTTTCATTCGCATTCCATGAATTGGAAACTAACTAACGATTGAGCTTATACTTGGAAGTATCCGTCGCCATGGTTGCGATATACCGATTGGTTCCTGTATTAATTCGTAAGTAGCTGACAAGACCACCAGTGGGGTTAATCTTAGCCTAAGCTTTTGCTTGAAGCCGTACTTGATGGGATAGAAAACCTTAGGTTGAGGACCCTGGTAGAGGATGTGCAAAACGAAGGAAAAGCACGAAAAGCAAACATAGGGACAGGAGGGGTAAGAGGGGGGAAAAATAGGTGTGGTGTTCCTATTGCTTAGTGAGCGGCGTGAAGGGAGAGAACCTGCAGTGGAAAAGGTGGGGACACCCTATGACGCTATGGCACTCCATCGAGTATTGCCTTCGAACGATGGGAACTTACAGCAAAAGTACTCTTAGATTAAGGTATAGATGAAAAGAATATATCAGAACCTGTCAATGTACTTATTCACTAAACTTACAATCGTCCTTTGGTTGAGAGTGAAAGAATGATAATGTACCTGAATGCACCTCATCTGTACAATTTCACGTGATATATACAGTACTAGCACCAATCAATCACTAGAGGCTAGTAGGTAGCTACTCTGTACTAGTAGCCTACTGACCCAGTCAAGCGAATACGGCCCTGTAAGTGGTCCAGCGGTTTTATGCTTTCTGTTTCTTTAGCCTACTACTTTTTGGGCATCACATTCCCAGCCTCTAGATGTGACCTAGCGTATAAATCAGAAGATGTACAAGACTATGATGGTTTATATAATATCAGATGTCCCTAATGCACACATCAGGGCAAGGCCCTAAATTCCCTCGTATAACTGCAAGTCGCAGTCCTCAGGTGGAATAGGTTCGAGACCATAGCGCAAATATATAATGTTATAACAAATGAGTATGACTCAAACAGCCTGGTGATACGAATTGATCTTCGCATTGTGGGACTGAGACTCTGCTAATTTTGGACTCCCCATGGGGTTTAATAGCTACACAGTAATTGCGAGTATAATATTCAAGATTTGACTGACAAACACTTGTATGTAAATCGAGCTGGAGACCAAAGGGCTATACCTGTTTGGGTAAGTCAAATCAGCAGCAAAGGCGGTGGCCTGATAGGGAAGGGGACAACACCCAATCGGGTGATGACATGGGCGTTCATTCATCCATTCATTCCTCTTACTTTCCTCTTCAACTAGTATACATACTATCTGATCCCCTACTTCTGTCAGAGTTTACCTCGAAGTATCTACATCTAGTCTGCCGCATTTGCCGGCGATAATCTGATCAAATTGTGGCTTCGGATTAGTCGTCCAAGTGCAGGTCGCCCTCTTCCTCCATCAAGGTTTGTCCGCTATTCTCTTGTTGATTCCCCTAAATTTCCCCCGAACGATCTTCGTCTGCTTAGATCACACGCGACTGGCGTGGATTCCGTTGCTTGCTTTTTCTGTGGCCTTGTCCAACTGCATCTCGCATTCTTCCTTGCCTGCCCAACCCGGCCTGCATCCCCCACGGTTTACTTTCCCCACGTTTTCAATGTTGATCAACTCGTGCCTACAATGGATTGCGCGGCATTGGGTCTAGTCATGGAATGGGAGCGTTAGCCCGTTTTCTGGCCGCATTCCCTCCTCGAACTTGACCATTTTTGTGCCCCTGATCGTGTGGTGCGCTATACATCGTCTAAGATTAGCTTCCCTCTTCCCACCTTTTAAGACTATCATCCCCATGCCCTTGCGCTTCTAGATTCTTCTAAACCACTTTTGGTTGCACCACTTGTCCTGCTATCACTAGACGCAAATGGCTGAGTATCAACTTTCAGTTCGATTTGGTTATTCCTCTAAGGAATCAACTGCTCTCTACGAAGCGGAACACTGTCCATATTGGGCACAGAGCCCGGTCAAGTACGCCCAAAACCTCTTAGAGTACTCAGACGAGCCGATCGAGTACGATCACCACGACAGTGACTACTCAGACAACTGCTTCTTCTTCCCTGAAGACTGTTCTTGGTCACCACCTCGTGACTGGATCCTAGAAAACGAAGAGTCCTACGACGATATCTCAAATAGCGAGGACCACGACACCATGATTCCCGGTCTTCCCGATATCAAAATGCTCGACGCGGAGGCCCTCAGCGACTTGCTAGAGGATAACCTCTCGCCCCCGGAGATCACCACGATTCTGTACGGTATATCGTGATCGCTTTACTACCCCCACTATTGTGCTAATGGGCTGTCATTCATGTAGAGTATTTGGCACTAATGGTGCCATATTTGCGTACGCCTCATCTCTTCCATCCCGGCAGCTGCGGAATCTGAGCGCAACATACGGAGCCGCTTACACAGCCTACGCAAAGAACGCCTCATGTGGTAACCTAACAGGTGTAAATCCTGCAAGTCACCCATCATCATATGTGACAGCCCAGTCCGTCTCTCTCGGCGACGTAGGGTCCATCGTCTTCGAACTCGACGAGCTTGTCGCCGTAGTCACCAGAATAGCGGATAAGGTACTCCTTGCCGCCGTTGGACCGTCCAAACTGGAGCCCGAGGGAGAGACGGGCCCTTCAAATGGTGCGCAGAATGGCTCCATAAACCCCAGTGCGGACGAGTTCCCCCTGCATGAGCCTAGAACAGGCGCCAACGGTACTTCTACTCACCAAACTCCCACCAACGGAACCCCCAACAGCACCAGCCGAACTCACAGCGAGGTCAATATGCAATCAGATGCGCAACTTGAAGCGCAGTATGAAATCGACCGAAGCAACGACCTCGCGCGATTGGCAAGCCTAAATCTGTCATCCTCGCCGTCCATTCTGCTCGCTCTAGAGTCCAAATCTGCAGCGTTAGGTAAATTCCTTAGTCAGAAATTGGAGGATCTTGAGAGTCCTGAGGACTTCTAGGCATATACCACCATAGCTATTTTCCTCGCCTAACCCCTTTTTTTTTTTTTTTTTTTTTTTTTTTTTTTTTTTTTTTTTTTTTTTTTTTTTTTTTTTTTTTTTTTTTTTTTTTTTTTTTTTTTTTTTTTAGCCTATGATTCCATTTTTGATCGATACTCCCGTCTCGAAGCGTCTTGTCATTCAACCTCGTGATTTATGAAGGCCGTGTTCGATTATGTGTTTGGACAGAGCAGAAATTGTGTACTGAGGACTACTCAACTTAGCGGACCCAGCAAGCATTGTTCGACCAATTGATTATTATGAACTAATTAAAATTTTTACAACAAGAAAGGAATTTAGGTACCAAACCTATAGCAATTTGCTTAAGTGGATAATAGGTTAGACGAGAACAATAGCGTTCTGAAAAGAAAGTATATCGCTAAATCTCTGCTTTCAAGAAGGAAAGATATTATAGTAACCGTTATAGGCAAATTATCCAAGTTAGATATAGAAAAGTAATGGGCTGACTTATGCTTTGTCGCCGGTAGTGGCGGTTCCGCCCGGAGCAGTATGGAAGTGTCCACTGGCCGTGCTAGCGGTTCGAGACACTGCAGGGGGGGAGACAGGGGATTGAGCAGTTGCCTCGCTTGCAGCAGGCTGTGCAGGTTGCGCGGCCTGAGTTGCGCTCTCAGGGGCTGTGGCCTGAGTTGCGCTTTGGGGAGCCGTAGCCTCAGCGGGGCTCGTGGCCTGGGCGGGGCTCGTTGCCTCATTTGCCTTCTCACTGTAAGCCGGGGGATTGGCGACGGCAGGGCTTGCAGGCTGGGAGGATGTGGGGGCGGCGGCAACAGCGGCAGCGGTATGCACCGGGCCACGGGTGCAATCCTTAATGACGGTCCACCATTTTTCGGCGTCGTTGGCAGTGTGTGCTTTGAAGTTCAGTTCAGTGGTGGTGTGGAAGGCGTTGCCGACTTTGCTGCCCGAGACATCCTTGCCTTTCACGCTAAACTTGACGCCGTCGATCGCGCCAATGACGCAGTCGGGAAGGTATAGGGACAACTCTGGAGCCGGATCGCGGCGGAAGTCGTCGTCATCCTTGAACTCATGGAGGTACCGCGCAGGGGTGACAACGTAGTAGCCAGAGCTATAGCCCTTAAGCATGGCACGGGACTTGCGTTCCAAGGACCCTTCGATCAGTGCCTTGGTTGCACGATGATCCATGTTGGGGAAAGTGATGTTGGAGAGGGTCCTCGGGGGTGCATCCGGGTTGATCAGGACATCATCATTCTTCGTGATGAAGTTGACCCACTCGAAATCAGGGGGGATCTTCTGAGCGGAACCCAGCATATCCTGATACATAGTGCCCTGATGCTCGAGCTGGCCAGAGACGATCTGGACGAATTGCTCCATGGCCCCCTGAACGGTCTGCAGAACATGGGCCTCGAACTGCTGGAAGTTATTCTGTACAGCAATGATATCCTTGCGGTTGTTGTTCTCCTCGATGATTTGCTTGTTGAGACGATGGTTGACACCCCGGCGCAAGATGTAAGGGTCATGGTATTGTTCAAGTTTGTTTCCTGCGGCAGCATCCATAGATGCGGTTTGTTGGGCAAGGAGCTCAATATGCTTCTGGGTGACAGCTCGGGCCTTGTCCACAGCCTTTGCGCTCTTGGAAGCACCACTGGCAAGCTCCTTCGACTTGGCCTTGATTTCCTTATGAAGACGCTCCAAGGTTGGAGACACGGTTCCCTTCAAGTTCTTCTCCGTCTCGAGGTACATATTCACCATTCCCTGTCAAGGCATTAATGGCGAGAGAAATATTGGGAGTGGCGGAGCAGATTATACCTGAGTATTAGCGCGGATGTTCTCAAACATGGAAGCCACGCCGCCAGTGTTTTGGGAAAAGTGATGACCTTCCCTCAGCGGCTCACTGACGGTCTATCGTGACAACCTTCGTTAACTAATCTGGACATATGGGGAGATCGATAAATGATCGAAAGAGCGCCCACACACCTTGAGGACTTTCTCATAGTCCTTCGAATGCGACTTCTGTACCTTCGAAGTCACAGTGACATAGTCCTCCAGATAGCCACACATATGCTTCAAAGCGCGCAAACGCTCGTTGAGCAGACTTGTGGTCTACCGAAACTTGAACGTTAACATTTGTCCACGGATAGAATGGCAATGTGGCATATCTAGGCGTACCTCGCTGCTATCAGAGTCCGGGATGGCCTCATCATCACTCATAGAGGCTCGGCGGTCCGGAGCAATGGAACTCGTGAGGGTCGACGACCGATGAGGGAGCTTCTGGTCCACGGGACTGGTTGGGGTAGACATGGTTGTGGGGTGAATGTGCGATGCGCGATATCTGCAGCAGTTGTGTGACAGAACTATTCAGCAGCAGGATAAATAATGGAAGTAGCTGTCGCTGTGGAGGAGCCGGAACCGCCAATGAATTTAGTCGAGGCTATAGGTACCATTATTCGTCAGTGGCTCCATTTTTCGATTCCGTCAAAAGTGAGGGGAGGAGTGGGTCATGGGTATTCCGCAAAAGTGAAGAAGGTGGGAGATTGAAACGTTAGAAACTTACCAAGTCTAGAAAACCCAACTGGAAAGAGACCGGGTTCGGATCGCTAGGATACTAATCCCGTGGAGAGAAAAAGAAAAGGAAAGGAGAAAATGGGATAGGAGGGAGGATGTGAAGGACTTATTAGTAGGTGGAAGAAAAAAGATCGACGGTCGCCAAAGATGAAGTCACCGACCGCTTCCTTAGCGTTTTTTACCCCTCAGCTCAAGCTACTCACAATCTAGTCCACATCACCGGTGGGATGCTCGTCCCCAGGTACACAAGTCACATCATGGGAATTTTTTGGTTCCCAGAAATTCTAATTACCTTTGTTGACCCAATTGATTTGATCAGAACTCTTGATGTCCTCGTCTCTTTTTGCCATGATAGTACTCTTTAGAATGTCTAGAGTATGGGCATACAGGCTTGAGAAAAAAGAATCAATTCGCAGAAAAATGTATCACACGTAACTAATCACATCGAGGGAACCAGCCAATGGAAACTGCTTAAGGACGAGATTCGAACGACGCCGATGTGTGGCTCGAACAGTCTTCGTGGATCGAACTATCCGAAAGTAGACAAAGCGCGAAGGCTCAGCCACAGTTCGGTGGCAAGAGCTGGAGAATCATTGGGGATCTTTCTGCATGAGTTCTCCACTCCAGTCAGGAATATATTCTCGAGTACATAGTAGATCGTAGGTTTAGCTATGTTTAGCTTTGAAAGGAAGGCTAGATAGATATATATTACCATCACGGCTCTAATGCTCTCCTACAAGTATCGAGAGGAAAATGATAGGTATCAAGTGTTTGTAAAAAGTCGCCATAACTCATGTTTGTCATCGGCCTAAGCCGTTCCATACCCTGTAAACCCAACCCATCTATCTAGTATAAACGCCGGTGAACAAATCCATACCGTCCCACCTCTATTGATATATGAAAAGAGAAAAATGGAAGCAACCAGGAGCACCCAATACCCGGTCTAATATAAATACAAAACGAAGTGAGATACACGCTTTTCTTCTATCGTGAAATCAGGAGTCTCAGAAATGTAGCGCCTCTCAGCGTCCAGCGCTGACAGTACCGTAATCATCATGAATGCACATGGCCGGAGATTTTAAAGTTCCCCTCCGATATGCAGGTGGAGCGGCCTCTGTCCTGAATCTAGACTCGGGCCCGGGCCTGAACGAGTCGCAGTCTCCGGTCCTCATCATCGTGACTAGAGGAACGAGAGTGACCAAGGCCCGGCCGGTGATGAAGAATGTCAAGGGAAGGGAAGAGTTGGCTAGATCCGCGTCCAACATTTCGGATATGGGCTTGCTGAGGTGACTGGAGAGGTGGGGGGACGGGAATGTCTTCCGCAACGACAGCATCATAATCCGGCAACTCAGAATCATGTGGGCGGACAGTTGTACGAACTGCGGTCGAATAACTCGGGACACGGCTCAGAGTCTCCACTTCCGCATACTGAGGATGGAACGGGGTGGCCATTCCAGATGGAACATGCTCATGGTCAACTTCATCAGAGGGTCGCCGCGAGAGCACCGGGCTCGAAGGGCTATGAGAATTAGAACCCGATGATGGTCCAAAGTAATCTGCAGGAACCCCTAAGCGCCGTTGTTCGCTGTCGTTCTGAGGCTCATGATCGGTGGGCGACGGCTGATGGGGTCGAGTGATATGGAGATTGGATAGATTTGATAGACGGCTGTGTAGCGCAGAAGCGGAGATGTCGGTGTTTGTCAAAGCATTCATAGAAGCGAGGTTTTCAGCAGAGAGGTTGCGGCTTAGAGTGCCAAATGGTGTGCCGGGGCCACTTCCAGGTCCCGGAGTACGGTAACCATTAGGGTCAAGCTCGCTATACAACTGGTCAAACTGATGCTCGCCGTACAACGGGGGTGCCTGCTGAGCAATATCGTTGATTGCCCGTTGAGCGGATTGTGGAGTCTGGTCGATTAGGTTATTATTCTCGTCGATCGCAAGGTTTGGAGAGATAAATATCGACACAGGAAGCGTAGCTCGCAGCTGTAACCAAACTGTCAGAACGGTCGTTATGGCGAATGAGTGGGGAATGACCTACCTCGCTAATGTGACCATCTGGATTCATCAATTGAACGCGAAACTTCAGCTTATGCCTGACCTTGATGCCCTTCGTATCTGTATCTTGCAGGCACCGTGTCAGGGTTTTAGGGAGGTCCAAATAACGCGAGAATTGATAGCCCTCTGCCACTTCATCAATAATTTCCAAGGCGTTATCGTGATCCAGCTCAAACTCGTCATTCAAGATAGTGCGCGTGTTCTTATATGTGTTGCGAATAGTGTCAGGATCTTCAGGGTTGAGGGTGAGATCATGGCTCTCGATAAGTTGAGAGACAATCTGTCCAATTGTGAGACCTTTGAGTAGTGGGATAAGTTTGAAGTCAATTCGGATGCTGGTCCCAAAAATAACCGCTTTTGTTGGAGTGCTTATCGAGTACTCGATCTTGTTGGGCCAAATATTCTCCACCGACTGGAGAAATAAAGGTTAGTAATTCTATACATGGAATGATGCGCAGGAGAAATTTTGCTCACCATAGCATGAGCAAGTTCGAGAGCACTAGGTTCCAATGTCCGAATGATACGCAATGGCTTCCGGACAACTATATCCTTCGCATATTTGCGTCCTATTTCGGCTTTGAATCGGTAGGTGATATAGGTATCGCTGAGACCCTCGATACTTTCTGGCATATTACCCTCTAGAACGAGATTGAAGGGGTATTCATAGTTGCCGGCAGGCAAAAGCTCCGTTTTGCCTTTACCTGAGTCTCTGAATTTCCATGTCTTTTCATAGATTACTCGTTCCCTCCACGATTTCCTACCACCTCCAGCAGAACTGGATGGCAGATGCCAGCTGAACGCGTCGGTCAGTTACCGGAATCCACCTGTAAAACCCGGAAAATGCCTCTTACCAAACTCGCGATATACCAGTGAGGTGAAGCCGAATATGCTTGATCGACAACGGCTCTGATAAGCAAAGAAGAAGCTTTCCACTCAAGTGTGCACTGGCAGCTTCTTGTTCTCCACCGCGAAAAAGAATATAATCTTCATCAAGACTGTGACAAAAAAAACAAAGGATGTTAGTCAATTCTAACATGGAACTCGGGTTTCCGGAAATGTTTGCGGCGGGATGTAACGCACCGGATATCGAAGTACTTCGCATGACTTGCACTGCCCCCACCACTGAAAAAACTTAGGGCCATGGCGTTTCTACTAACAGCCGCAAACAAGCAGCTGCCAGGAGATAAGTAAAGAAGATCAGGAGAAACTCGAAAGGCCGGTGCTTGAAAAATAAGAAAGAGAAAAAAAGGTGGGAGGACTGAAAAGAAAAGCACCAGGAAGTCGGTTGTAAAAAAAAAAAAAAAAAAAAAAAAAAAAAAAAAAAAAAAAAAAAAAAAAAAAAAAAAAAAAAAAAAAAAAAAAAAAAAAAAAAGGGAAAAAAGAAAAAGAAACGCAAAAAAACTATGACACAAGATAACGGAAGGTTTTTCTTTTGGTGCAGTTAGTATGGAGCCTGCGACTGATCGACCGGTCACTGTCCAGATTTACAGGCAAACCGGGTCACCAACAGGTCCCACCAAGGAGAGATAAATTGTTCGACAGTGGGGGCACAGGAGCCGTTTCCGTCTCCCTCAAAAATTTGGGCTTCGGAGTTTCCTCTCTTTTGGCCCGGAGTGGCGACTAAGATGAGTCTTTAGGTTGGGAGATGATGCGATCGTTTTTAGTCGGAGTGACTAAGCTGGTCGATAAAGATAGAAAAACGAATGGTAGGATGGATAGATGAGAGAGATGGAGAGGAGATTGTATGCTATACTTCAACGACGGTCAGTTTTTTACTGGGATAAAGGTATTGACAATCAAGTTTATGTAAGAGATAGAGAGAGAAAGATAGTCGGTATCAGAAGAATACATTTAAAGCATCGCGCGGGACCAAATGAAAGTGTGCTTGCTATAGAGAGAGTATGTTATAGCAAGGAGGTGAGATTGGAGGGAACTAAAAGCAGGAACAAGGGAGCCCGGAGGGGTGGTAAGGCGAATACGTTACATCACCAAACATACCGGAGAATTGGTGGTGGACACAGGGTCCCAGCTGTCAATGATACCTGGTAAGGGATGGTATGGAAACAACTGCGTTCGTGACAAGGCCTTTTCAGGATAAAGGCCGATAAAAACTAGAAGTTAGGCGAGATAGCCGGCGGTATTTATTTCGATGGCCTTTGGTGCTCCTATCTCCTGCAAGTCATTAGCATGAAAGGTTATGACTCTTCACCTTTCTGGGATCGCCGGGCTTTTAGTACCAAGACTCGGAAGGTTATCCTCATGCTAGTAAGATCGGCCGTAGGGCGGCAGTCGGCTTAGCCGGTGTGGGCTATCACAAGGGAAACCCTTCGGGAACAACTATAGGAGGAATAATCGGAGGTGCGCTTGCATGATTTTGCTTAAGTTTTTAATTTAATTTCCCATGTCCCGCAGGTACCTACGTACAGTGCAACTATTACCAATAAGTTTCATCAGCTTATCATCAGCGACAGTGGGAATATTAATATACTAACACATCCCTACAGCGGGTAGCATGCAGCATGCAGGGCGTGTTACACAGCAGTATCCTTCTCAGCTCCAGAGCGATAGTGGGATGATATTCGTCATGATTCTCATATGTGCGATCACAACCACTTGACGATCTGCTCATCCAACGCCTGAACTTTATAACTAAGGTACTTTTGCGAGGGAATCTTCGTGTGGAAATTGATATCCGATCAATTTTGAACACGCTCCAACTACAGTGGATTTGTGGTGGCCTGATATCCCGCTACCCAACCATACAGCTGTCAGTGACTCAGTGCGGCACTGATAAGAGGCTATTGAAATAAATCCTACACGGAAGACAAGAAGTAGGGGTGATTTTTCTTTTCTTTCTTTCTTTCTTTTTTTTTATTAACAAAAAAAAAAGCAAATAAAGATCAAATAAAGATCAAATAAAAATAAATAAATGAATAAAAAATTTATCAGCTTTTACACTTTGCTTATTATGGTAGCACAGGAAGAAGCTCATAAAGTGAAATCTAAGCTCGAACCAAGATTTGTGGACATGAGAACCTATCTTTGTACAACTACATTTGGGTTCCGTTGCTCCACCAGGGGAATTCTAGGCCAGTCGACACATCATGGATCTTCGAGTCAAAGAGCTCATTCAATTTGACGCACACTCGAAAATCCGATGATCAATCCTATAATTATTGATCTTTCAAATTAGTTCTGTATTACAGTGTCTCGGACAAATAAGTTGGTGATCACGTAATGGTTTGTATAAATAGTTGATTATGCTCATTCACAAGCATTATCACAATCATAAATTTACGGTTCGAGGTAGGACCAATGCGATTAAACTCGATCTATTCCCTGTGGTCTGTATCCGTATCACCGGGGCTATGCATATACATCATACGACAATGGAGCATAATCATGAACAGCCTCATGATACCGGAAGTCGAAAACCATGTGCGAGCATGACAGTTGTTTGAGAAAGCATGTTCTACGGAGTCTACGGAGTACACCGCCTGCAGAGGGATGCTGTCTACTTAGTACTAGCAGTACGTATTATGATCCACGTGTCATGCCTTTTGCGGGATATCCAGAAACCTCCGCAGCCATTCAGAGAGAAGTTCTGTCAAGTGCAGAATACAATTAAGGTAATTACCTATACCAAGTAGTACTACTAGTACCAGGTATAGTAGTAGTAACTTAGTGACACTAACCTTATAATACGGAGTACCCAAGCCAGACTGCAGAATAGGCATGTACCTAAAAGGGTAGCTCGGGCAGTCTCGGGAGATTTTCGCATGTGATCGGGAAATCTCGCACTTCTATCGGCAGCGCAACCCGATTCTTCAATACAAGTACTGGTAATCGAATACCCATCATAACCCTTGGTCATCATACAATATTCCTACCTCGGATCCTCGATGTCAACGTTTTGGGAAAAAAAAAAAAAACAAAGTCATTCTCCAGCTCCCTACAAGGGTAATACATCACGTTCGTGAAGTTGATTACTGCCTCGTAATGGTGACGCTGATCTAAAAAAGAAGCTCTCGGGCCGCTGTTCTTCGAACACTTACCAAATGCCTAGACCACTCGAAAGGGATCGTCTTGACGCAAGCCATGATATCACGGTTGAGCTTACGTCGCAAGAGATCCTCTTTCAGGATCTTTTCTTTATTTAATTTGTTATCCTTGTTCGTGTCCCACACCTACAACAAGGATGCTAGGTAAAGATATTTGCTATGAAAGGGTTTGCACCTTCCCAAAGTGAACATGCCGTCGATCATCAGGCTACCGTCCAGGATCATATTCGGTGAGCCATGTTCCAGAACAGAAAAGTGTCCAGGGTCGACATGCAGCTTTAAGCGGTGGTCACATCATCCGAGCCAGCGAAGTAAGTGGTGTGGGTCGGATCAGAACGCTAATCACGCACTAAATTGTCACAGATAACTGTTTCAATGACCAAGGCACGGCGTACCGACTATTAGGGTATGACTTGCGAGCAGCCCTTAAGGTTAGTGTCACTGCTCTCATGAACCTCTCTGGGATTGTCTCTGGAAGCATAGGCAAAGAAAAGCCAGCTAGTAACATGAAGTATTCTTTACTTGCATACATAGAAGTGTGGCAATTTCCCATTATCCATGCTATTAGACGTATTACATGTTAATGGCCTTTCGGATGCTGTTGCAATGCAGCCGAATGGCCACAGCGGATTGTTTCACGATCCTGTATTACTATAGGTAGATGAAGATCTTCGGAGTACACAATGCCGACGGCTTCGTCAATGCGAACTCCATCGGCATGCCGAGCAAATTTTCTGGACAAGCTGGGCGACTCGGTGTCTCTATCCGGCATAGTCCTGCCAAGTCGTAAAAAAGCCCGAATCTGATATCAAGAATGTTGCATCGCAGGGCCGCCACTTTGACTCACTCACCAGCAGAGTTTGAAAGCTGTTGGAAAATGAACTCGGTGAGAATCGCTTGGGCAAATGTCTCTCACCATTGCACTCAATTTATTCAAGACATGCGAACGACGTACCCCACTACAACTTTCATGAAACAAAGAGTAACTTGCCAGACTCGACCTTGCCAAGTAGATTTGCCAGGTACACGAATACAGATAGGCTCCATATTGATACCCGCTTTCTCGGAGCTGCCCGTCTGCCCGTCATTTGCTGCCGTTGAAGAAAATTTTGACCGCTACCTTGAGGCTAGAAAAAGTTTACTGCTATCTATGGAGACTTCGTTTCCACAGCGGACGGTTACCGATGGTTCCACCCGAGATAATAATATCAGTCGGGTAACCGTATCCCGTACCAACGGAGTACAATTGGAGTTTTGACCTTGGCGCAATTTCTCCTATCTGTTAGGTCCCGATTGCGACATGGCAAAGGGAAGATAAGCCAATGATTTTTTCCATTTGGCACACGTTGGCACACGTTTATTCTTTTACCCGAACTTTGATTTTTTACCCGAACAATAAGAACAGCAAGATCTTATATTAATCTCAAGATGCGCAGACCTCTCTATCTTTACCTATACCACGTGCGCATATAATGAGTGCGGCCACAATCTAACATCCGGGTACGACATGATTGTATTTGATAACTTCAGGGTCATTAGAAGCGTAGCCCTGTGGTTGCGGCAACTTAAGTCTTCCACGCGTGAGAATACGTCGGGGAGCAATTCAAGATCGCTTGGGGATTACTCCTAGTTTCAGTATAGGATAAATCGTCATATAAATCAAACTGACTTAACCGACGGAGTAAACTCGTACGTCAAAAATCGGCATGACAGCCGTACTAGTATCCCACACTATGTCAAAGCTAAGGGAATAAGATTTTGCCGGGATTTCTATACTGCGGCAATGACCTCAAGGCTCATAGAACAGCTTAAACGCTTTGAACATTAATAGGTTTTTTTCCTGGATCTGGTGCCCACGAGACTGCCAAGTGAGCAGTCCGTCGTCGGTGGCTGAGGGACAATATATCAACTTCATAAGTCCAAGATATACCTTGTTGAATCCCTTCTATATCAATCAATCTCTATCCATGGAAACCCAAACGCTCTAATGTGACAACCTTCTCGTTGCGCAATATTCCAAGCCACTGCTTCCCGCACTCGCCACCAATGCTTCATGGTTGGACTAAAGGCACCATATTAGAACTGCATCGGGACCGGGATCAAGAAACAGCTCGCTATAAGCATATACCAATCCCCGATCCATTGTGAGGTATTTAAAACAAGTCACCGCCGGAGTCCGTAGTGGCGATCGTCACCGTTGGGCTGCACCTCTAAACATGGACCGTGAAGGTTAGT